AGACCAATTTTTGTAGAACTTTGTAGTACTCAGTGTGTAGTTGAAAACTATACAACTCGAACTTCTATAGATCAGATTTTTGTCTAGATCGATTCCTCCCCAAATCGTGATTTTGAGCACAATCAAGATTTTGACGAAGATCTCCCTGTCCGACAGGAACTATCTAGAAGGATGAAATTTTTACTACAGGATAGTATTGATCAATTCATGAATGAATGATTTATCTGTTTGAGCTTATTTTTTATGATAAGTATTTGAATCTCAGATGTGCTCATACTGAAAATTTCAAGCCAAACAAATTTATCCATGATGGGATATACCTATTGCAAAAAGTGTGGGTTTTTGGTGATAGTGACTTCAGAAAATTCTATAGGAAGTCGGTCGTGGCTTATATGGAATGACTCTTAAATTATTTAATTAATTAATTTTTGTTTTTGAATAGCTTGTTGTTGGTTCAGAAGATTACGATATACGAGTATTTCGTGAAGATCAATTAATAGCTGAAATGCAAGAAACAGAAACAATTGTATCAATATGTTCATTAGATGGTACAAGATTTGGATATGCATTAGCTAATGGAACAGTTGGAATATATGAACGATCAAATCGTAGTTGGCGTATTAAATCAAGAAATATTGCAGTTGTTTTACAAGCATTTGATGTTGATGGTGATGGTGTTGATGAATTAGTCACTGGTTGGAGTAATGGCAAAGTAAATTCATATTTATTTTTTCTTTTTATAAGAAAATAAGTTTTTTGTTTTCATTTTTTGCATTAGGTTGATATTCGAAGTGATCGTCATGGTGAAGTTATATTTAAAGAAAGTCTTAATTCATCAATAGCTGGAATTGTTAAAGTAAGAATCGAATTAAATAAATTATTAATAGATTAATTTTTTCTTAGGCTGATTATCGAGTACCAGGTGAAAAATTACTTATTTGTTGTTCCAATGAAGGTGAAGTTCGTGGTTTTAAATTTTCTCGTCAAGATTCAAATGCAGTTGCTGCTAATCTATATAAAGATCGACAAGAAGCAATACGAGATTTAGCTCAGAAAAAACAAGTAAGAAAATTGTTGAAAATAATCAAATGAGACTTTGAAATTTTGTTGTTATTATTCTAGGCTCTTTTACTTGAACTTGATCATCTTCAAGAAGCAATAAAACAATCTCAAGTAACAAACAGTAGACAAAACAAAACAATGGTATTTGATTCCGAAGCAGAAATTCCAGTTCGTAAATGTCAAAAAGAAACGACGAAATAATCTTCGGTATTTCTTTATTTTTTTTGTTTAGGCGAATACAGAAATTCAAACAGTATTAACAGTAGAAAAACGACAAAATAATTTTCCAGTAAATAAACTCGTCTGATTTAAAACAATTGAAGATTCTCTTTTTTTTAAGGCACATATTGCAGTCAAAATGAAAACTTCAAATCGTAAGAATAATAATAATAATCTATATTTTATTTTATCTTATGATCATTCTTTTCATTCAGATACAATCATTCGAGTAGTAACTATTTTTGCTGAAGGTTTATTCAAAGGCGAATGTCTTGTTGTGTAAGTTATCAATATGATAAAAATTCCGCTAACTGTTTTGCAAAGGTCTTGTTGACTTTCACTCATTGTCACTAACAATATCCATTATCCAGAAATTAGTAATTCAAGAAAATGAAGGATTTAAATATGTGTGTTAGCAGCAGAGATGTCTATCGCTATTGAAAATCTGTCATTTCCGCGACGAGATGAGCTATATAAAAAGTTGTCACCGTCGCGACAGGATGAAAAGTTGACGGCATGGATCTACAATGAGGATAGTTTGAAATACTGTGATACACAACTCTGTCGAAGAACTTATAAAAATTGATACATGCAATCTCAATTAAAGACTTTCGAATAGTGGATTTCATTTGATTTTCTTGGATTCCTTGGATTTCGAAACATTCAAGACATTCTACAATGATGAGGTGTGAAATAGTGCTATACATCCAACCCCACTGACTGAGTTACAAAGACTAGCACATACAATACTCGATGTGAATGCTTCAAACACTGATTTCCACTTGATTTCCTTGTATTCCCATTTTCTGTGCGATGCATATATCTAACGTTTAGTAGATTCTCATTCATATTGGCGACCTTTTGGTAAATCGATATAATTTCATATAATTGATTTTCGCTGAGTTTAGTCATCCAGCTGCTAGTCAAGTTCATCAAAGTATTGTTGTACCTATTATTTCACCTCGAGACGTTCCTGTCGATTTACATATTCAAGTTTTTGTTGGACTTAAATCGAGGTAAAATAGAAATTTCTATTTACGTAAAATCTTATTTTGAACTTCATAGTACACTTTTTCATGTATTTGAATTGGCTCGACCATTACCTATTTTTGCAATGTATCTACTCATTGAAAATTCATCTGATCAAGAACCAAAAGGTTTTGTTACATTTTATATTAATGAACGTATTCCACGAGTGAGTTAACTAATATTTTTGCGTTTATTTTCTATATGTTATTATTTTTCAAATAAAAAAAAAATGACAGGTTCTTGCTTGGATTAATCATCATTTTCTTCTTGCACAAGAATATGCACCAAATTCACCAAGTTTATATGTTACTTTTCTAGCTGTTAGAAATGATTCAAAATTAATTATTAAAATGCAACAGAATGGACAAGTTAGTTAATTATTTTTTCACTAATGTTTTATTTATTTGAATTCTTATAAAAGGTAACAATCCAAACTGATGATATGGAATTAGCTGGAAATATAGTTCAATCAATGGGTAAATTTTTAAATATTGAAGATTTACAAACAACTGGAGATTTTCCACAAGAACTTGAAATGCTTCAAAAAGTATTTTCTCAAGTAAAAATTTATTAGTTATTTTTTTTTAATTTTATTAAAAATCGAAAAATAATTATTTTATTTATTTAGATTGAAGAATATCAAGTAGCACGTCAAAGAATTTCATCAGATATGGCTGAACATTCAAATATTATTCGAAGTTTTTTAATACGTGCTGAAGATGCACGTTTACTTGGTGATATGTAAATATGAATAGAAAATTTTTTTTTTTTCGATATAAAAAAATCATAATAATTATATTATTTAGATCTGTTATGAAACGAAATTATATTGATTTACTTAATTTAAATCGTGATTTAATTCATGGTTATAAAATTCGATCTACAAATCATGAAGAATTAATGAAAAATTTACGATTTCTTAATCAAATGGTACAAAAAGCTGGCAATTTACGAAGTAAATATATTTTGATTAACACAAAGAAATTTTTCTTCTATATTATTTTATTTAGTTGGAAAATATAAAACAATTGCTATTAATCAATGTCGTGAAGCCATTAAAGCAAACAATGCACAGTTATTAATCAAAACGATCAAAACTGGCAATGTTTAATACATTAATTATATGTGAATTTTCTTTAAATCTCTTTTATTTATTTCAATATGATAGAGTGCGTCTGTTTTATGTTGTTTCTTTTTTTAATGTAGAAGAAAATAAATAAAGAAAAAAAGATTTTTTTAATATAAAAAATAAGTATCTTTCATAACCCATGTCGTACTTTTTCTTCGCATTGCCACCAGTAGCAAACGTGTGTACCGCCTGTGCCATCGAAGAAAATTTTTATTGCTAGGAATTTCTCAAAATGCATGTACATCAAATGCTGAAAAGTTAAGAGAAGGAATTGAATTGTTGATAGATTCATACTTTCTGAAATACAGTTTCCTTTATTATCCCATTTTATACTCACTTGTTAAGTTTATAAATTAAGAGGTAATCTATATTGATGGTTTACTGGAAGATTGTGTCTGGTTTGAATCACATATGGGAAGTATTTGTCTGTATCAAAACAATTAATGAATTATTATTTCAATTTGAATTTTATTATTGCCTATACTGGTTAAAACTACAAAACGGTAATAGAATTTTGTTATTCATCTTGTAAGAAACTGTATCATGAAAATAATCGTTATTCTAGATCAAATTTAAGCATTTTTAGGAAAAAAAAAAATTTTTAATTAAAAAAGATAATTTATGTTGTATAATCGTGTTCATATGTGTTAATAAAACAAGGATAATCCAAATAGTGTCACTTTCAAAAAATTTTTATATTGTTGTGTACTTATCTTTCATTATATTCTCAAGATAAAATAGATGAAATTGTACATGTTCTTTAGTTATTTTATTCTAGAGACAAACATTATTCTAGATAAAAAAAGAATTTGAATATTGAAAAAACATTACACGAATAAAAATCATAAAAAATGATGCACTTCTTTTAACAATCTGAATACATAAGGTTCATCTTGAAATCAATTGTACACTTTCAAACCTTCTTATGGATTGATCTTAAACTATTTATTTTTTCACTGGAAGTAATTTCCATTAGTAAGAATAACAACTTCAAAAAAAAAATCTAAATCGATAGCGATGATTAGATATTATACTACAATGACTAAGAGCAAGAAAATGATTGTATAAAAATAACAAGATTATTAACTATGCGTTTTCTTTTTGTACAGATGTCATTTAATCAAAAGTAAATAAATGAGAAGGAAACAATGACTAGATTTAACCGGTACCAGAAAAAGGAATTTGCAAAAATACAGCAGTGCTCATAAGTACTCGATAGTATAGCGACAGTAGATTGCCGATGAGAGGAAAGCCAACAACTACTGGCGATTTTTCGTCCGGCTAAATTACATGGGTAAGATCTAATCTTCTCGCATCAGCAAAAAAAGAGAAATGTTAGAATCGACTTCAAAAATAAAAATTGTCTTTTCCATACCTATTATTCAAGCAAGGATCATGACTATCAAGATTTTTTTCATAGATGTCGCTATTATTCAATAAATTGTTGTGTAACATAGGTCGCTAGGTGAATAAATATAGAGGACAATGTCATAACTAAAACCTTAACTATGACTATTCATTATTCAACTGGAATCAAAAACATTTAAAAGATTCTATCAATATGACAACGTCAGTTTCTGTTAGACCTCCTACGAATCCCTTGCAACAATCACTTTCAGTTGACGATCAAGATCAATATTATAATACAATTAATGATGATACAATTTGTACGGAGTATCTAAATGAAATAGCAACAGGTCACCAATCACAATCGAAGTATTTACATTGATTTCTTATCTTCTTCCTTTTTTTTCTATTTTGTTTTGAATTTTTGTTTAAATTATTTTAGATCTGGAGTTTATCGTTTACAAAATGATCAACAAGCAATACCACCAACACGTTCTTCAACAAATGTAACAAAACCTGGCATATCACCATATCTACAAAAATTACCGCATTCAAATTTTCTTCAAGTAATGCTTCCCCGACCATCATCATCATCAACACAACAACGACGACAACAACGTCGTCGTCGACGTCGTTCAACATCTACAGGTCGAACACGAGAAGAATTACTTGATTCTGCTTATCAACCAACAAATGTTGATCATTTGGATTTAAGTTCATTTTTTGCTGGTAGTAATCATTCATTTAATCGTCCAACAAGTGCTCCAACACGAACGTATTTTTTAATTAAAAATTTATAATAATGAAAACTTTAGTTTTATCTACTTTTTAGTATGTCTTCATCAGCAAAGAAAAAACGTGCAGGAACATCACTTCATAAAACACATTCAAAAGGTCAAATATGTAGTATAACAATATATCGTAATGGTGATCATGATAAAAGTTGTTATTGTAAAGCACATTCTTTAAATGCAGTAAGTTATATTTTAAAAGAATAGATTTATTTCAAGTAAATATAAAATAGATTTTACAATATGCAACTGAAAAACTTCATATGGCAAATGCTGCTCGTCGTTTATTTGATGCAAATGGACAAGAAATATATCGTATTGAAGATATACAAACAAATCAAGAATATTATGTTTCAAGTGGAGAAAATTTTAAAGATCCATTTAAATCGATTCGAGGTAAATAATTGAAAAACAAAAACAAAAACAAAATACTATTTTATTTTTAGTACAAACTGAATATAGTCTTAATTCAACATGGACTATGAAAGGTTTACAAACAGACGCTGTTAAACCAAAATCATTTACAACAAAAACTGTTATTTCAAAACGTTTAGAGTATGTTTAATTTTATCATGAAATTACATTTATGCATTCGGTTAAAATAGTCTGTGGAGGTAGAGTTTGAGATCATGTTTTGAGAGGTCTTTAACAGCTGCTTCGAGTATATCTAAAATTGCATTGCTGTCATTGAGTCTAATTTTGTATAGTTGATATTTTAGTTTTATCAACAGAAAGGAGTCATCTGAGAAACATAATTGATCAATAGATACTTCCATATAATTTTTGTCAGCAAATTTCTTGAGAGTACTGTTTTATCCAAGTTTTCTCATCCGGAAGAGCGAACCCGATCTTCGGAGGGGCTGCTACTCCCTTAGCCATCATGCTAAATGAAACACTGCTTGGAAGTTGGAAATATCCATGGGCTTGTGTCTTTCAGATGAAAATTGAAAACTTGTGTTAGGTAGCTATTAAGACTTGTGTGAACTTTTGTTTCGATGAGCTTTAACTGTTCGTCAGTTTGAAATAGTTGCTGGCAAAATTATGCTTCGAGTGTCTTCTATTAATTCATATGTCCAATGCTCGGATAGCAGCTGACAGACAACTTGAACCGGTGAGATGAATTTCCTCGTTTGAAATTCATGAAGCCTATCGCGAACAATCCGATCTAAAGCTTCTCGATCTTACTATATCTGTTCTAAGATAGCATAGTTTTTTATATACGATGAACGAATTTTCTGTTCACATAAAATCATAGTCCGAAATTATTCTTGTGAGCCATTTAAAACATAATGTATGACTAATCTGAAAGAAATACAAGAATAAGATGTCGTACAAGATCGAGAGGCCTGAAACTTTGCGCATAATTCTAAAAACTTATTAATGGGAACTCGACAAGTGTCTCTTCTAAGAGGAGATTCTTTTAGTTAATCAAATTTTTTTGGCGATTTATTCTAGTTGTTATCGTTAAGGCAAAAAAAAGTCAAAAATACTTCGTTTCTAAAATTTTTACTTTCACTTTATCAAAATTTTCTATAACATAATTAATCATATTATTCTTTATTATAGCAAACAAATCAAAACAAGTATCTATTTAACAATTCTTGAGAATGGTTATGGTCAAAATGATGCTATTTGTCATATGTTAATTGATACAGCATTAAAAGAAAATTTTGAAAAGGTTTTTTTTTTTATCGAATTATTATTAAAATTTCTAATTGATTACTATTGATTTATTTTTTTTAGTTTCTTGAAGAGTGTACAAAAAAATTAGAATTAACAGCACATGCAAGAAAAGTATTTAATTATCGTGGTGATGAAATAAAATCACTTAAAATTTGTAAATATTTCAATAGAAATTTTCTTTATTGTTGTTTTTTTTTAATTAAATAAATTTTAGTTTTGGAATCAAATGAATGTACAATAAAAACTGTACATGATGAATGTGTTTTTGGACCAATATGGATTAGTAAAGGTGAAAGATTTCGACCAACAGGTGCTTATTCATATCTTGAATTACGTTATAAAGAATTTCAATTACAATATAAAAAATTAAAAAACCATTATAAAGAAATTATGATTGTTATTAAAACACGTAAAAAAAGAATGATGAATGAAAATGATAATAATGAAATAAGTGATGATGAACAAATTTCATCAACTGAGGGTACAGATAAAGAACAAAATAAAATTAATGATAAATCATCGATTAAAGATAAAAGTCTTTTATCAATGACAAATAAAGAACTTAAAGAATCTAAACAAGTAAAAATAATATTGAATTAATTTAAAGTCTGATTTTATTTTATTTTTTTGATTAGACATTAGAAGATAAAATTAAAGAAATTGAAGATTTAATGGAATTATATAGAATGAAAATGGCTGAAATTGAAGCAGCTAAAAATGAAGAAAAGGTATTTAAATTTTCTTTAATAATTCATATGAAATCTTTTCTTTTATAGGAATTAGGACCAAGATTTCCTAGTGATCATATAACAGAACTTGAATTTCATCATAAAATGGTTGGACGACATCCTCTTTGTTTAATAGTAATCTATTTCATTTTTATTTGATTTTTTATATTATTTAAATATTTCATTTAGATTCATGAAAACGGTTCATTTAATCGTTCTGATCCAATGATTTATTTAAATCTTCGTAGTTTACCATTAAAATATACGCTACAAACATCGATTGAATATCTTCTACAATATTTACAAACATCAGTTGAAATGTTTGCACGACAACGTCCTAAACGAGTATTTGATATAAATGGAAATGAAATAAAAATTCTTGGACAATTACAATCAAAACAACATTTATTTATTTCATATGGAGAAGATTATCGACCAGCATTTGGTATAATTGAATGTTTTCCCTAGTAAATGTACTGAGTTTAAAGCATTCGCAAGGAGAAAAGAAACAGCAGACTTCACGACTGTGGCCATTGCTGTTTCTCCCTCGGGTGCTTATGTACTTAGTGAATTGTCAACAAGAGACTTTTTCGAGTATCTTGTTACCAGTGTCCCATAGGATCTCGGTTGTATATTCCACTGAGAATTTGAAAAAGTTAGTAGATTGAACATTTAGAAACATTTTGCGCTCGGGACACTCCTGCGAGTCCGAACAATTCCAATTAATCGAGTCAAGATCCGATTCCCGAAACAGTTCAATAAACTGGGTCCGAAAATTTTCGACCCCCATGGATTCTAGTAGCACGGAACTCTGAACTTAGTATAGTCACAAGGGTTCTTAGTTCCATGAGAATAGTTTATAGAAATTTCTTTTTTTTGTTTTAGAACCATGTTTAACTATTCAAATAAATAGTGTGGATGTTTATGAAAAGGATGGTGGAAGATTATTAATAAAGACATTTCGACCAGATGATGAAACTGTTGGAGATAATGAAAAAAGAACAGCAAGGTAAAAGAAAGATTTGTTTAAGAATATTGTCCCTTTTTATAGCTTCAATGATATTTATTAGATGAAAAATGATTATTTAAACTAGAAATAGAAATGATTTGAGATAAGCTGACAAGGCAAAGCAAATATTTATCTATTAGTAGCGTCATAAAATATGGAGAGGAGTAGATTTTATTTTTGTTGTCACTTCTGACATTGAGCATAGAAAGAATTTTGCTAAACGAGACTTAAAAAATAGCCCTCTACTATTGTTTATCAGTTCTATAATTATTTGGTCTCAAATATAATTTAAGGAATGGTTTGTGTAGTCACTTTTTCTGAAACGAATTTTTATTATTTCACCACTATACTTAATTGTTTGCTAAAGGACACTATAGATTATATAATGGTATAATATTACTAACAGATCATTGAACTCGATTAATATAAAAGTTGAAAGAAAATATGTATGTAAAAAAAAAATGTAACATAAGCTTTTTGAAATCAATATATTTTACATAGATGACAATGGATTAATACAGAAAAGCATCATCTTAAATGTCTATCAAGCACTCTAATAACTAAATCCAGAAGTGCTCTTCCCGATATTTATGTTTAATGAAAGTTATTCCCTGTTCTGTTCTGCTTCTATATTGTTATCAATGTCTTCATCTTTTTCATTTTGATCGGCTTCTCAGTAATTGTTTGCATTCTTCATATGATGTATAGGTTTATTTGATAAAGAGTCATCATTAATAAGTTGTCCCAACATTTATAAGAAAGTATACTTCTTTTTCTGATCGTTTCAAGTGATAGTCGTCATGTTCAACACCATCGCTAGTGAACATTCAGTGTGTAAATTAATCTTCATTTCTTTGATAACTATCCGAATAAGAACACGTAACAGTGGTGCAAAGAAAAAATCAAGATAAGACAAGTGTCAAGTATTCATAAAATGAGTTATCACTTCTACCTGTTAATAGCTATCACCTTTTTAAAATAATACAAAAAACAATCAAAATTTCAACTTGAGTTTGAGATCAAAAGACTAAAGGTGCTTTGTTGATATCAAGGTTGTCGACATTTTCCAGGGATGGAAGAAAAAGTTATTTAAAACAGTCTTCATGGAACTTTATAGACCTAAAATTTTGTTTGTTCTCTTTTTCTCAATCTGTGGAAAATATACACACAGTATCAAAAATAAATATCATCTCAAATGCATTTATTTTATTTCAAGGCTAAGTTTTATCTAATTGATTCCAAAATAAAAACAGTGGACCTCAAACTCGAACTCTCTTCCTCGATTAAATCTCTTATACTTTTTAAAATCTTGAATTCAGTCACATATTGTCTATCTATACAAAATCTTCATGCCGTTTAAAATATGTTTGCAACTTCAAAAATTATTTATTTTTCATTTGAAGACAAATAGCAGCCGATTGGAAACCTATTGAAACAATTCCAAATGATATTCATAAAAAAATTTTTGAAAAGGATTTAACTGATGATGAAAAAAATGGAATAAATCAAAAACCTATACATGATCGCATTAGTGAAAATGTGACATTTATTATTAAAAATAAAAAATTAATTTATCCAGAATTAAAAATAAAACAAATTATAATACCAGATTCAAAACCAAAATCAACTTCTGGTAAAACACCACCAAAAAGAATTTTTTCTGATATTGATTTACAAGCATGGTGTTACGATAAAGTAAAAATAAAACAATAATAATTCATCATGACACTAGTTTATAAAATGTTTTTTATTTTAAGGATGGTTATATTTATAGTAAACAAATAAATTCTTTAGTATTAACTGTTATCCCTGAACAGAATATTCAATTAACATGGACATCTAGTAAATCATTAGGAAGTCAAAGGATGACACAAAAATTACTAGATGGTCATGGTGTTCAATTACGATGCAAAAAAGATTTATCTCCTCATCAAATATGGGACTTTACAACAGATGGTTATATTGTTTCAAAAGCTTATCCAAATCTTGTATTGACAAATGTAGCAATTATAGAATCAGATGAAGATGGAAGCTTTACTGCAAAAGGAATACAAGTGAATACTGACGATCCATTTTTTTTATATCTAGCTGTTTGTTCAAAATGTTCCGCAAACTCACCATTTATTTCTCAACAACGGTAAAAGCAAATTTCTATTAAAAATTAAATGCAAAATTTTATTTTTATTTTTATTTTCGTTTAGCTGGGGTATTCGTCAAACATCAGGTTTTACAATTGGTAATTGGAAATATTCAAAAGTTGAAAATCCTGTATGGCATAAATTAGCTTTAACATGGCCAGTCGATGGAACAGGTGCAAAGATTCCTGTAAGTTAATGAGATAGAAAAGAAAAATATAGTAAACCGTAAGTTTTAAGTCGAAGTTTTGAAGCTCTCTTCTTACTCATCAAGAGAAGAGAGAGAACAAGAAGAAGTTTAATGGTGAAGTAAAGATGTGTACAATGAAGAGCAAGCAGAGTTAATTATAATAATGAAAGAATTTTTGTAACTAACGAGAAAACGATAAAAATGAAATGAATACGAGAAAAAGTATAGAAAACAAAGCAATCACAAATATGAATAAATGTACACACAACAAGAAGAAAGAGAGAACATAAGTGACGACTAATATCGTCATAGGAGGGAAAGACCAACGGTCGTTAGGTACGTTTACATAGCAATCGAGACCAATACACATCAGACTTCTTTCCTAGAGCTCCTGAACAATGGAAAAAGGTGCTGAACGATATTAACAACAAGACTTAAACTGTTCTAGAAAATTTCAAAGCGTTCCTCGAAATTTGCATGGCTGGCATACATTTATGAATGTCCTAAATAGTACGATTTCTGATTTGTGTGCAGAGAAAAATTTATATTCAAGATGTCGACGATAATAGATAGGTATGCATTGATTTGTCACAGTCGCCATATGATCAATATGAAAAGCATGAACTGATCATGTGATAACTTTGGAAAATCATCTATATTAGTGTTTCTAAACTTATCGAGATATATCATAGTGTCTTGAGACCTTTTGTGGATATAATAGATACGTACAATAGGCTTATTTATCAATTAAATTAAGAAAAATGGAATACCAAGTAGGAATGTAAGCCGATGCAATGATGGATGGCGGCTGAAATTTTTCAATGAGTGTTTTAAAAATTTTCTTAATTTCGAGAAATTTTGAAATGAAAAAGAGAGAAAACGATGATAGAAAATTTATTGACAAGAAACCAAATGGTAACATCTTCGAAAACTGAATTAGGACATCGAAAATTTTTTGAAATCAACTATCTATTTTTGTGTCGCAGCGACTGAGGTCTTCAACAACTATTTTTGGCAACGACAGCAGTGCAACTGATATATCTTAAAAGTTGTGTGACTGTGGACAGGACCGAAAGCTGAACTCACACCTCTATGACGAATAAGGCAAAGAAAAAATTTCTGCTCGAAATGCAGAAATCAATAAGACATACGATTTCCCTATCCATCGATTGAAATGTGCGTTTCACATTTTAGTTTTAATGCGGGAAGCGCTAATAAGCTCTTTTCATAATATATTCTAAAAACAATGAAGACAAAAATAAATTTCTGCTCATTTGTTCTTTTTTTTTTTTAGGAATTACAATGGCCTATCGAGGGATGTCTCCTTCCGAACGTACCACCTATTAAATCACTCAAATCAACTCAAACACCACCAGCTTGTACGTTTGAAGTGATATAGAACAATAATGATTGACTGCTGTTGTTGTTTTGTTTTTATAGTTGTTCCTATTCGATTACAAGTATTAAAAAATGGAGAACGTGATCTTACTAAATCTGTACCAGTTGTTGGTCCTGATATTTCAAATGTAATGAATATATATATATCTATGATTTTCAATTTTATATATTAAAATATTTATTTATTCATAGCTTATTCTTGAACCTAAATCTTCAAGTGATATGTATCGACGTTTACGTATTCCTAAACCTGAAAAAGAACAACGTGCTCATCGACAAATTAAACGTATGGCTGATGCTCGACAACGTGAAATAAAATTAGTTCGTTTTTTATTTACAAAATTAATTTTTATAAAATAACATTTTATTATTTGTTTTTTTTTAAATAGTTTTTAGAAAATTGTACAACGCTTTGTAATCTACCATTTGCTGCTCGTCGTTTATTTGATATTCATGGTACAGAATTATTTGATTTAACATCAATTGAACGTGATTCATTCATATATGTCACATGTGGTGAACAATGGATTGATCCAGAATTAACAAAAGCTGAACAACAACGTCGATTATTATTAGCTTATTTAAGTAATGATGTTCGTATGATTGCTTTCTATTGTTCTTTGAGAAATCCAACTGGTAAACGAGTTTATTTATTTATTCATTTATTTCATTTATTATGAATTTTTTTAAAATTTTTATAGAATATGTTGTATCAACAGAACGAGGTCTTATTGAAAATTCTCGATTAATTCTTAATAGATGTTCTTTAAATGCTAAACAACGTAGCCGTGTTGAAGGTGGTGAATTAATTGAACATGTTATTGAAAACGAAGAACCAATGGAAGAAGCAGCCACTGAAATTGAACCAAGGTAAGAAAAAAACATTCTCAAATAGTTTTCTTTTGATTTAATAAAAAACAACGAACTAAATTTATCAGTTTAAACGAATTTAAAGAACAGTTACAAGAGAAAAGGTATTTTTCTCCTCCCTTTTCCCAATTAATAATTTATCTATTCTCCATGTTTTTATCCCTATCATTTTATTAATTTTTAGCCCCCAGTATGTATCCGAAAAAATAAAACACCCTATCACAATTTTGTGTGTGCGTGTGTATTGCAAAAATAAGCAAAACAAGAAAATGACATGATTGTTTTTTTTTTTCATCCTTCTAAAATAAGTTTTTTATTGTAGAACGGCACATGAACGATCACATAAAACAATTGATAGACAATCGAAAGAAAAATTTCGTTGGCCATGGGAGAAAATTGCTAATAAAAGTTTAAATCTAGAAACAGATGATGATGATGTTGTTATGTTAAGTAATGATGAACAGAATTTAGACGATTCATTTAATCCAACAGCAGATACGTAAGTTTATTTTGATCAACAAAAAAGAAAAATTCTTTTTTATTTTTATTTTTAAAGTTTATCATTATCTAAATCAAATCGAAAATTACCAAAATCAATAGCTGTTTCAATGCAAAAATTTAATTGGGAACCATCAGCTGGTTATATATCATGTACGGATGATTTCAATTTAGTTTTTGGCGTTAAAGAAATTGAAAGTAAAGTTGTTGAAGTTATATTAAAACGTCGTAATCCAGATGATATATTTCAACGTTGGAATTTGTTTGCAATCGGTGAAGAAATTCAAAATGAACATCATATGGACTTGTCAAAACCATTGTAAAATAAATTTCATTGTGTTCTTTTTTTCTTCAATACTTTTTTTTTCTTTCATATTAGTTTAATAGCTTCGAAAGCTCGACCAACAATGGTTTTAACTGTATTACTTCCATCATGTACAGGAAATGAATCAAATGAAGTCAATATTTCTTGTGTTGGCTGTACTATAACATTACAACAAAGACGATATGACGACAATGGTTGTGCTAATCAAAAATGGGCTTATAATGAAAAACTTGGTTTTCTTTTTTCATTTAATTCAACATCCATCGATAAAGGTAATAAAATAGTTTAAAAAAATTAAATTGAATAATTTTGGAAAACAAAACCTAATATGATTTTTCTTTTTAGAAATAACAGCAGCTAATCGAGCAAATATTTGTTCATATACAGTTAGTTATGAAGCATTATCTCAACCGGTAGATATGAATTAATTTTTAAGATATTTTTTTTGTAAACTTGTTGCTTGTTTTTTTTAAGGGATTTATTGCATCAATTCTTAATACAAGTGATCAATCTGAAGATGTACCTGTTTGTCTTGCATGTGCACAAGCAATGCGTGGAAAATATCGTTTAGTTAAAATTGATTCAAATAAAAAATTTACTTGTGCTATTGGAAAAAGTAAAATTTTGTTTTAATATAATTTTCATTTTTTTTTCTTTTGTTGTTTAGGACATGATCTTAAATTTCATGGACCATTTCAATGTTTAAATCATAAAATTGATTTAACACAAAATGAAGCTGAAAATACACTTCTTCAGCGAAAAGAACAACTCGAACAGTACATTTTTTTTTCTGTTTTTTTATTTGAATATACAATTTCATTTTTAAATTAAAGATTACGACAAGAAGCAAGTGTTCGAAATATTGCTAGAGAATTAGCTGCTGCAAAACCAATCCAAATTGTTTATTTACTTGCTTATCGTAATGGAGATGGACATACAAAACCAGGTCAACTTTTAGTTGGTTCAAGTATTATTGGTGTAAGTATCAGTTAGTTGAAAACAAAATTAATGGCAGAGTTATTTTAATTCTTTATAAAAACACATGTAGCAACTTTTTTTCTATATTGACGAATAGCAAAAAAATGCTCTATTTCTTTGAAGATTGTATTATTCTTCAGCTAATATTATAATGGTAAAATTTCGATAAGATCTAGTTGGATCGAACTCCATGAATAAACTGCTACTCCTATAAATACAGTAGTAGACAAAAGTTCCCCATGAATGAACTTTACATCCGTGTTTTGTTGTAGAAGTCAACGATTAATAAGTTGTGAGCTTTTTCCTTCGTAACTTCATTATGATGAGTTGACAAACATTATCAATAGGTGCAAGATCGAGTGTCATCAACGACCAATCAATTTTGTGAAATCTATTATTTATTCTTCAATTGGTCCCTTGCTTTGATGTATGTTTGGAGTCATTCTCTTCTTGCTGCTTCTATAACGTCGAGTCGTAGCCAAAATTGTTTTCGAGCTATTGACAAGAGACCATACTTGTAAATGTCACATAACATTTTCGTGTCTGGATTCTGTCCGAAACAGACGACGCGACTAAAACTTCGACCATTGACTTTGGTAGAATTCAGACGGATGATAGTTTCGTTAGAAAAATTCATTTGGTCTCAGTTCATAGCCTCGTAATCTTGCATCCATTTTAAACGATTCTCTCGATAAACTTTTTTTGAGTCGATGTTGCACTGTCCTCTCATTGACCATGACTCGTTTCCACTTCGGCTGGTGACGAACGTCTATTGTTTGATGAGTACAATAATTTGTTGACCATGTTTTCGAATCGAATTGAATCAATCCAGTCTTTTGACTGCCTCCATATTTTGAGCTAATATTTCACCATTGTCAGGCCACAATGGAGTGTTGTTGCCACAACCACATGACTGAGTTTTGGATCTAACAAATACTAAGATAAAGAAAACCTATAATTTCGTACTGCTGCTGCACTAGTAAAGTCATATGTCAGAGGTATATCAGAGATAATAAATAACAACAATGTCGAAGGAATGAACCATGATACTGATCAGAAGATGATTAGTGTTGTTTATCTATATTAGTCTGATGGAAAGTTCTACGACGGAGAAGAAGACTTTTATCCACTACTCTATGTATATACAGATTTGAATGCCTACGCAATTCGTCACTGCACACAAAAATCCGAAGATCGTAAAAGGCTGGTAGAATCCTACAGCCGAAATTTCTACATGTTCCGACAGTTGAATATCATTGGATGTTCTTCAGAATTCTGTCGAGTATGATCACATCCTATCGGATTTATCTACGTGAGGAGCTATTGGTTATAATATATGATGATAGTATTAGATTACATTTTGTTTTCGGTATGTACTGTCTTGTTGATAAATGTTCATTAAGTTTTTTATAAGGAATTAAAATATCTTTGCCACTACTTTTGCTATGTCCTAAACAAATCAAAGTTAATTCTAGTTACTTGATCAAGCTACTCATCGATTAAGTTTAATAAATGCTGCACGACGACTTTATGTTATTGATGGTTCAGTTATATTAACTATTGAAGATCTTATTGAATGGGCAAAAGAGTATTATATAAAACGATATAATAAATTAATAAAACCAAAATGTAAATTTTTTTTCTCATATATTCAAATATAACAAAAGAAACAATCTCTGCATTATTTTAGCTGGATCACTTCTTGATAATGTTGAATTAAATACACCATTACCACCGCCAAGTAAATAAGATTTACACTTTCTATTTTTGTCTTTCTCATATTTAACATCAATTTTGATTAGATCCTGATTCAAAACGTCGATCAAGTGTTGATAATCAATCAGAAAAAACAACATTATCAACTAAATTACGTGATATAAGTCCAACAAAACAACGTTTTCAAGGTTTACCAAAAGCATCTGATATAAAACGAGCAATAAAACAAAATTCATTAACAACAAAATCTGATATTGATATGAATTATTTATTAAAATTTCCTATTGAAATATGGGTTTCATCGGGTGAATCATTCGTTAATCCAACAAGTTAGTCAAAAAAAAAAGAAATAAAGAAAATAATTTTATCGTTTTATTTTCTATAATAATTTGATTATAGCTGTTGATCAACGACAAAGTCTACGTATTAGTCAACGTGAACAACGTACAATAGTTGAACATGATTTTGAAAGAGAAAAACATGCATTACGTCTTATGAAAGGTTTTTATTAAATATTATTTTCTTATATTTCTATTGAAATATTATTTAGGACGTCGTATATCGGGTCAATCACTAGGTGAACTTATTCCTCAACAAAATCCAGATGAACCTGTTTCGAAAAAAGGACATTGGACAGAAAAAACAGACGTCGAACTTGATAAACAAGATGATGTAGAATTATTACGAGTAAAAGATTTATTTCTAAAAAAAAAAAAATTTCTATTATTTTATTTCATTTTAAAGACATCATTAGATGAAATTCGTATGTCACAACAACCAGAAATAACACGACCTATATCATCATCAGCAACTGATCGTCTTGGACAACATTCAAAAATTGTATTTTATATTTATTTAAAAAATTAACAATTTATTTTTTAATATTTATTTAGAAACGAATTATGGTTTATTTAAATGGTGAACCAAAAGAAACAGCTATACAATGTTTTGGTAGTAATTTAAATGAATTAATGAATAATGCTAAACTTAAATGGAATTTAATGCAACCAATTCAAGCATTATTTGATGAAAATGGACATTTAGTAAGTTGTATCTTAAATAAAAAGGATTTCAAATAAGAATTTCTATAACTGTATGCATGAGCCATTTCAAATTCGAAAACTGTAGGATAGTCTCTACGACACGAATCGCATTTATGATGAAATTTTCAGCAAGATAAGACGCCAAAAAATGTTCCTCCTAAAAAAAACGATTTTCTAGAGATTCTCAAGAAGGATTTATACGGTTTGAAGTGGGTTGTCAACTTCTCATTCGGTTATAAGAGCACATTTTCATATTCCGTCAAGTTGCTAACGAAAAGTAAATCGATTTTTTTTGAAAAATCTAGACATGTTCAGAAAAGGCTTTGGGCATGGATTTTGTAGCTTCAGGAGTTGTCTAGAGAATGTATTATATAGTTTTCAAAAATGCTGCCTTCATTCGAAGTTTTTGTTTTGTTAAACTAAAATGCATGGAGTGAATGTCGATGTTCTTTTTATGCTACACCGTTAATGCTGGCTTTTTATCTGACACCTCCTCTGAACAAAGATTTCTAGTGCTGAGTTTTTTTCATATTTTTATTTTGTGAAGTCGTCTCGCTAACGAATGATTTTATCCATATTATAGATTGAACGATTTGATCAATTAAATCGTGATCAATTTGTATGTGTATCAACAACAAAAACCTTCATCACATCATCGGAACGACAACGTGAAGTTGATATAAAAGCAAACTGGGCTCGTACACGTAATAGATATGGTGATCAAGCAACAGATATTCGTGTTAATTCAACACTTTCATCAGTTCCTCAATTAGTTGATCCATTTGGTCCACCATTATTAACGTTAAATGATCAACATCAAATTCATCCCACAACAAAACCACCAACAGTACCAGCACCATTTTATCGAAGATTAGCTATTGAACAACCAGTACCAACATCAGCTATTGTCAGTGAAGTAACACCATCACCAACAATGATGAAAGATTCATTAGTGTTAAGTGATAATGATGATGACGAAAATGATGATGAACCTAATAGTGAAATCGAACGAATTACAAATGTAAAAAATGATGATGACGATGATGATGGACTTAATAGTGATATGGAACGAACTGCAAATGTAAAGAATGATGAAGATGAAAATAATCGACCGACAACACCTAGATTTGAAACACAAGCCAAGAGTCCTTTTTCACAATTATTTACTACTGAACCACCTCCAACAAAAACACCCGCAAGTGTACCATCGACGAATAAGTCAGATAGTGATGAAGATGAATTCATAGCCATGTTGAAAAGAAAATAATAATTCGATTTTAGAATGAGAATCATATTGTATGTTTGTCTGTTTGCTTGTGTTTGTTGTTTAACAAGAATTTAATAAAATGTAATTGAAAATTTACCTAGATTTCATGCTTACTACATGAAATCTTTTAATTGAGCAGTTGACATCATGATGAAAAAACAAACTCGTTTAGAAAAAGACACTGGAGATTTATATATAAATTGATTTAATTATCTGAAATAGTTCAAGAAATAATCGAACTTCACAATCTGTAGATTTCATACTAAAGACTTTGAAAAAGTAATTTTCTGTTTTGCATGTTTCTGCCCTTGATTTTTGTTTTCATATTAATTGACTGTGAGACTCAAGTCAACCACTCATAGTCATACACGAATGCATATCGAACAATTATGATGACCACGAAAAAAAAGCCGTTAACGACAAGCATAATGATACACCGATTATAAATGACAATTGGATAGTATCGCAAGCCATCACAAACATCAACTGTAAACGGTTTACTGCACGATTATTGTTTTTTATTATGTTTATTCATGAACCATGATCGACGTGAACGACCTTCACTTGTTAATTGCTATAGAATGTAATGAATCGATTCAGATCATATTATTCACTATTACTGCTTGTCATATACTGCTTAAAACTACATCTAGTAAACTTACTAAAGTATTTAGACATTTGAGTATAAATGTAAGGATTTAGTCATCGAATATACATATAAGGCTATATTAGTATCGTGATATTGGTAAAACGGTATAGCTTTAAGGATATGTGTCTAACAGTATGGCTATAAGTAGGGTTTGCAATGGCAATCTGGAACAAAATATTTTCGTATACTTTACTCGTATAAGTAAAGTGTATATTAACACTTTATTTTCGTTAACAAAGTGCATGAAAGTGTACGAAAATCAAGTTTGTCACAATGTAAAAAAAATAGAAAGTAATATTTCTATTTTTTCTTTCATGAGCAATATAAATTGATACTTAAGAAACAAATAAATGGTAATTACGCGAACAATTTATCATCTGACGCGTTAACAAGAAAATAAACGAAGAGAACAAACACGAGTTTTTATAACAAACGTAAGCTACAGATTATGTTTAGATGCTATTAGTACTATGATCAAAATATTAGCTTTGATTTAATCGTACATACAATACTTAAAATTCTGATACCAAAACGTAAATTTCTTCAGCAAAGTGTACTATGTACGCTTTCTTTTTCTGAGTGATGTATAAAACAGCGTATGTCTCAGAAGCAGTAGATGTTCTGTGCATTTTGCTTCTGCTTGGTACACTTACAATTGCAAGCAGTGTGTGAGTGTGGTGGGAATGGTTGAATAAAAGATCCACACTCGTATTCAAACCAATACCCACACCAACTATCAAGGAAACGACTTGAGTTTGTCACCAAAAAGTTTGTCTTTCTTTTCTATATATGATGTGCTATCAAATAATTGTAGTTGTTGATTCGAATGATAGAAAAATGGAATTATTGAAATAATTGCACAGAATATCAACAAAACACTTCGATCGCTTTCACGTCAAAAGCATTTTCTCAGTCTTTAGAACAATGTGAATCAACTTTCGCTTCGAAAATACAATATCATTTTTTGCTAGAAAATTTTCATGATTAACAGCAGTTGCTGATTTAGCGCCGCTTCGCCTGAGTATTGACTTTGTGTTGTTTTTCTTGGAAATTGGAGAGAAATACATTGCTGACAGCTAATAAAGTGGTGACATTCTTTGTTTTCTCGCTGAAGTTTTGCTGCACAAATGACAGCAACCATTGAAGTGTCCCTTGTGCGTTTTCTGCAAAAAAAAGGAGAAGGCACGTGCATTAACAAAATTTGTTCTCTCTCTGTAAATCGCTTATGTAACACTAAAGATAAGGTAAGGATCTATGGTGTGCCGATATACAGTATGTAAAAAAATTATTTGGACACCTATCTTACCTATCTCATAAATCGAATTTCATCACGAAGGAAGAATATTTTCTTGACTTTCTTGATATCATTCGATAGCTTGAAATCTCTACTTCATTGTCCAAGCAAAACAAAATTTAAAAACAACAAGATTTTCATAAGTTTTTGAGGGTTTTTAGGAAACCACTTAATTTCCCAGACAAAAAAATTATTTGGACACTTACGGTTTTTTCTCGATAATTCCTCTATTTTTCGTCAAAACCTATTCAATTATACCTCATCTGATAGAAAAAATAATTCTCTACACGTTGGTATAGCTAACAATTTAAAAAATACTGGTGAAACCTTAAAATCCCTCTAATGCCTGAAGCATCATAGGTTTTACAGAAAACCTTAGGATTTCAGTCTGAAGAAAGTTAAAAGTCAACTCAAAATATATCATTCGATAGAGAAAAAAAACTGAATCGAATGGTATATTTTATTTTTAGAAATGTTGACAAAAATCAGATGTTAATTACTAATTATAATTAGCTTTTTGTATAGACCTTCCATTAATCTCAATTTTTCATAAGAAAAATTACATTGAATATTTTTTTGAAAGATACAGACTTGTAGGGAAATAAATTCTCTACAAAATGATGTACTTGGTTATACGATTCCTATGTTCCTTAAGGTAGTTAAGGTCTTATCTTTTCAAGTGCATAATTGGTGCAGAAAGAAAAAATATTTTTGTCTCATTCTCTCTGACTAACTGGACGTATAGTCAGTCTATGACAGGACGAAAAAAAAATTTTTTTTTCTTTCTGCACCAATTATGCGCTTGAAAAGATAAGACCTTAACTACCTTAAGGAAAATAGGAATCATGTAACCAAATACATCATTTTGTAGAGAATTTAATTCTCTACAAGACTGTATCTTTCAAAAAAATATTCAATGTAATTTTTCTTATGAAAAACAGTAGTGTACAACTCATTAAGTCGTAACGACTTTTCAACTATTCAACGACTTGTCAACTATTCAACTTTTCAACTATTCAACTATTCGATTATTCAACTATTCGGGTGTGAGTGTCGGAGTGGGTGTAGGATGTGGGTGTTCTTTTCATCAACACCCACACCCTAGGTCATCATACCGACATCCAGAGCATTTATCAACTATTTTTACTGTTGTTGATCCATCCGGACCAACTACATTGACTAGCTTATTACATAAGCTATTTTTATTTGGATTGCCATTAGGCGTTTGTGGATTGAATTGTACTGAATTCAAGGCAGCGATATATTCACTATCACTGTGCAGTGTTCCACATGCTGTAAAATCAACACTAACACTATAATGTGTAGCTTCTCCTTTGAAAGTATCATCTAAACACAAAACAGAAAGATAGAACTATCTTAAGGAATTAAAAATAAATCATATTTTACTTTTCGAGAGTCACTTTTCTATCGACGAAACAAACACTACAATAAGTAGTCCAGAAAATATATTTTCTTTTTTATCCTCCTCCATTAATGAACTTGACCTACCTTTGCTATAAGCTGAGAATCATGTCAGTATGGTTCTGACTTTAATTGCTTCTCAAACCATCTCTGAGTAAGAACATATCGAGCATTTCAATAAATTTTTTCAAATCTGATTCATCTATTACAAATTGATCCAGATAAAGTCGTATTGACAACGATTTGTATTTGTCAAGAACATTCTAGTATAAATATAAGCTGAAAAAGCTCAGGACTTCTGTCTTCTCATATTATGCCTTTTGAAATAATCTTTGAACTCGAACCGATGCAATGTTCTAATTGAGACCAATAAAAGATCTACAGAAAACATATATTCACTGAACTTAGTAGTGTCAGGCTTCTATCTGATTCGCTGAAAGTCTAGTGTTGTGTAAAAATTCTACGAGACTTTTTTAGAATCTTGATAAATTTTCTGAAACTCTTTGGCGTCTCTAAAACCTTCTTTAACTAATTTTCAATTTCAATATATCAACATCGAGAATCGAACATAGAAAGAAACTACATAAAACATAAATTAATTCCACTGTTGCCTCCACTATTTCCCGTACAGGAACCAACTTGACAACCATCGCCACAATACTCTGGTTCTGTTTCACAATAACTCCATTTCGATAGACACATATTCGAATCACGACAGCATGAGCGAACAACTCGTTGACTCAAAAGACGTCGCCATCGAAACCTCAATGTATTACTCTCATCCTCTTGCTATTCTTTGCTGCATCGAGCGGGACTTCATATAGTTTTCATAATGAAATCAGCTCGAACACTGTACTTTTTAATGTCCCACTAAACAACCTTAACTAACATCTCAATTTCGAGACCATATGCTCAAAGACAACTACTGATACATGTTTTGAATTGGTGTTTGAATATCTTCACTTTAAACAAGTTCGCACACTAGACTGCTCAAACGTCATTCACAATCACACGGTATCCTAAAAAGCCCGATGCAACTCATTTTTATTTTTAGGATAGATAAGTGTCGTTGTCAATCATTTTGCTTCAAATATTTTTCAACTATATTCGGAATAAAGTTCTACACAATTCATTTACATCTAATAGGACTATAGTGACCGCTAAACTTATATGTATCAATGCTCACAAAAAAAACTACGATCCAAAACTACACATATAATTTTTAACTTGATTCTATGTCTTTTTACAGAAAAAAAAACATACTAAATTCAGCAAACACGTTTCAAATACGAAAAGACTTCAAAAATCGAAATATCTCCGCTCACATTGAATCGTATTCTATACACAGTAGCTGGATACCATCGACCTTTTATAACCTTATTAGAAATATAAGATCTTTTCATGACGTACTATTTGAAGTGGTTTGTGACGTGCTGTACACTCAAATATTTGTAATCCATTAAAAAACACGAAAAATACTAAAATATCCTGGGGTTGCATTAATATGCCACTATACCCACACATGATGTAAATGTGCAACGGTGAATAATCATGACAACAATCGATTCTTTGTCACGTTTTAGTGAATCATAAGCACGATTATGTCAAAGAAAAATTACACAAATAGTGGAATTAATTTTGAATATTAATGAAGCGCTACTGTAGCTGTAGTAGGCGTTCTGACGCCTTCTTTTTCAATTACTTTCAGGTATTTTGAATAAATCCGAATATGCTTCAACGAACATACTAGTGATTGAATCATATTCTTTCCTTCATGTTAGTATATAAATAGTGGAACTTATTATGAGCTGTACAGATAATTCAATTTAATACAAGTAAATAAATTTCGATTTTCTTTGTTTTCTTCAGGTATGCTTCAACGCTTTTTTTACTGTTTCGTATGATTTTTAAATTGAATACGTTAGAGAACATTTTGAAGTTCATGGTAATCAATGAATTAGATATCTTGTAGGACTCACTATAAAAGAATAGTGAGTGTAAGTTTGTATCCGAAAATTTTCTGCTTCCTTTTACAGACAGCTCCCTTCCTGCTTACACACAGTCCCTATTACAGGTACCACCACTTGAAAATAGATTTTCTAACCACAATTATTTTATCGTTTTATAAAATACAAAAACGAATTAATTCAGAAAATGCACTTTTTTCCTTCCAGTGCACTGATTGCTTTGTTTTTATAGTTCTAGATTCGCTCGTATTGCTATTCTTTTTTTCCAAAGCATGATTGTAAATAAGTGTCGAAGTATATAGCGAGAAAATGATCCCCATCTGTCCTACTTCCAATGTGAGTTCCATATTTTAGCTCCATGGGGCTACGCTAACAAGCTTGCTTCTTGGAGCTAGTGAATATAGTGCTGAATGCTATTAACCTGTTGGTATGATCCAATGAGACACCGTCACAACACAATGTAAATTCTTTCCTCGTTCTTCTTCACCGTGTGTGACAGAATAAGACGAAGTCTCGTGTTCTGATACACATTTACTAGCAATATAGTTTTCTGATGAAAGCTGCTGTTGTTATAAGATGAAGAAGAAAAGATACGCTGTCGATCATTTTTGTTATCTAGAGCAATTTAAGGTTTCAAAGATCGTTGACTAATCTAAACTTCAGACTGAATGCTTGATGGCACCTCAAGAATCTCTGCAGTAGCTACTAGATTGTCTTATTCATTTTGGTTTCTGATAGATATTTTTCTTGACGGATCATTAATGAATATGGAATGCTATATCCCAATTCATCTGTTGATGCAATATACAGTCGATCACACTCATCGTTGTATTATCACTACCGATTCAGACAAAAGATGCTTGTTCTCAAATGAGAACTATCGATTAGAACGACAGATCATCACACAAGATTAGGATAGTGTTGTATCAAGGTCTCTTATTCAATCGAATTTCGTTAAATTTTATCGTGTGAGAGAAAGGTTTCATCCCATCCTGATGATCATGACAGTAAAGAACAAGATAAATATTGGATTTTTCTATCTGTCTCATCTTCTTTCTATGTTCTATTTTCAATGATGAGTTGAAAAGTACATCATATTTCTTGTTGCCAATCCAATATTGTCGCTTGAAGCATTCTCCATTTCTCATTCGCATTTTCGAGATGAGTCTTTATCTATATGACTATCTCTTTACATACATTTTATACTGTTTTAGATAACAAAGTTACTAGTTCCAAAAAAATCAAATCCCACTATGTTTCGCTTCGTACTTTTTTATGCATTCATTTTACTTGGCATCTTTTTCAATGTTCAAGGCTATGAAAACGTTGACAAGTTTCGATGGCGACGTCTTTTGAGACAAAGAGTTGTTCGCTCAAGCTGTCGTGATTCGGACATGTGTCTATCAAAATGGGGTTATTGTGGAAAAGGATCAGATTATTGTGGTGATGGTTGTCAAGCTGGTCCATGTACGGGAAATAATGGGAATAATGGAGGTAATTCCGGTGATATCATCAACAGCGATACTTTTGCTTGTGCATTTAACACAATCGATGGTGCAACACTAAGCAATCGATTTAATGGATTGCAGGCAACAGGGTGGAAACCATCGAACAAAGATGAAGCAGCCGTCTTTCTCGCTCATGTTTTTCATGAATCAGACGGTCTCAAAACAGTACGAGAATATTGTGCTCCAGGTATGACGTTTTTAAAACAGTGAATTTATTCGAACTAATTCAAGAACAGTTTCTAATAGATAGTTAAAGATTCTACGCGGTATATAAATACGAAAAACGAACAATGAATCTTGAGCACAGTGAATGACGAGTACGAGTATTTGCTATGATTTTTTGAATTAGCTTTCTTCATCATCTTGAAATCTCTGACCTTGTGTCATTGAATTTGACATATGTGTATAGATTTTTAGTATTTCAGAAACTTAAAGAGAGACAAAAGAAATTTCGCACAATTTTTTTACAATTTTCCACAGAATTACAGAAAGTACCAAACAACTAGAAACATTTCTAAAATAATTTTGGCAGAACTAATCGGCTTCAAATTTTAACATCCAACCCAGTAATATGCAGACATTCGACATTGTATCATGAGGAAAATTTCAAATCTAATTTTCATTGATTGACGATATTGTTTGATTAGATTATATATCTGTAAAGTTAGAATCAATATAAAATAGATCATTACCATCTTTTTATCTGAAAATAGGTTGTGGTTCTGATTACGCTACAACATGGTGTGAAATCCAGGGTAATCCGAATAAATTGTATTACGGACGAGGTTGGTTTCAACTCTCGTGGCCATGCAATTATTATCGAGCTGGTCAAGCACTTGGCGTCGATCTTCTCAATGATCCGGACAAGGTCGAAAATGATCCTGCTCTAGCGGTGAACACAGCTATCTGGTTTTACAAGGCAAATAATATGGCCGGACCTGCTCAGCAAGGTGATTTCGCTGCCACGACACGTATCATCAATGGCCCACAGGAATGTAATTCTGGGCCAGGTTACAATAAACAATTGACTCGAGTGGAGACATACAAACGTATCCGAAACTGTTTCGGACTCGGAGAACCTTCCAAGAATCCTGTGTGTTAACCTCTCTTCTCTGCTTTGTTTTGTCGTCAAAGCATTCTATTCGTTGATAATTTATTAAACATTTTTTCACAGTTCAAATAAAATAAAACTCTCCAACACAAATAATTTTCAGCTGACGCTACGTAATAATATGCAGGTTCAGCAAGAATTTGTACACCACATGATAATAGAAAGTGTTTATCCAAAGCACAATTAATAGCCGCAATCAATGCTTTAAATAGTGCGTCTGTACCCACATTTCCAAGAAAACCACCGTCAATATCCATTAAATTCATGTCAAAAGCTAATTGATTACTATGATTTATTATTTGACGTGCCTTTCTTATTGTATCGACAAATGCTTCACTATTCATTTAGCCACTATCACAATGAAAACTAGATATAATATAGTAGTTCACAAAGATGCAAAATTGCAATATCATTTTCCGTGCTACAATCTACTACTCCAGTATAATCAGACTACATATGAATGTAATCGAAGATAGAGAATTTTTAAATAGAATTTTAACTAATTTAAGACTGAGCCGCTACATGAATGTTCTTAAATAGGCTCTCAGATAGAGATGACACTTTATCTTTATTTTACTTTGAAAAAGTAAAGTAAAGTACAATAAAGTGAAGTATCTCAACTTTACCGAGAACGTAAAATGAAATAAAATAAGATAAAGTAAAACATGCAATCGTTTATTATTGATTGATTAGTTTATCATCATGCATTAATAACATTCCAGTATATCAAAATTTACAAAAATAATTTTTCTATTAAGCAACTGGAAAATAATACAAACAATAATTAAAAAAAGACCAGTAGTGTTTATCTATTTATATTTTAAAGTATCTCACCTTCCTTCTGCACTGTTGAAATATGTGTGTCAGCAGTATGGAATGTGATTAATGTACACAGAAACTTTGTAAAGTTACTTAAATGAGTAGGGATGACAATCACTTTTTGATTTTATAAATCACAATAATGTAATGTAGATGTAAGTTAACTACGCAATAAATGACAACGAAAGAAAGTTTGAAACTACTTGGTGACAATCCAGTTGGGCATGAGGCGGAATTCGATTCTTGATAATAACAATATCGCCTGTTATTATGGTACTCTCTTCTCAAGTAAACTTGGACTATTCCATATAGAATGTTAAGTATCATGTGTTTCGTTGCTAATATTCATTGGTCACGCTTATATTCTCGTTGTACTCTGAATATTTTCGGGTGTGGGTGTACCTATTCCCTTCATTCATAGTCACACGGCCGCATCCATACCCGCCCGGTTTCACTTTTCTAATCGTTTGTTATTTTTTGCACAGACTGAAGCCTTACATGAAGGTAAGATATCAGTTTTTGAAAATAAGTCCTTGGATTCGTTTTTAACAAGGTTTTTTATCTCTCTGATGCTCAGTGATTTCATCAGTATCAATCTTTTATGATGTCCTATTTCACGATTGTCGCACTTATTTTTCTCATAATCTTTTTTGAAATCCATGGTATGCCTAGTTTCAATACTTTTTTAAAATTCTTTCCACAACATTTTGTGCAGAAAACGTATACTGTTCTAACAACACATTGTCGCAGATACATAAGGACAAACGGAGTGTAAGAATCCATTAGCGTATGTCGTTTAAATTACAGATTTCAATACATATCTATGCGATGTTTTTCCATGTTTATCTGTCTTAGTAATGATATTCTGTTTCAGCCTTTGATAGTACTTGTTATTCAGTTAGTTTACGTTTCCTTACAGTTCTAAGAACTGATTCTGTTTTGAGAACCAAGTTCAGTGACTTATTTTTTTTCGATAATTGGATCCGATAACCAGTTTTTGTTTGATAATTTGGCTCAGTGACCAGTTGTTTTCATAGAGATTTGGTGTACTGATAATGACGATGTAGCAATTCTATTCAGTACTTGTTCCATTTGTCAAAAAAAACCGTTGGTTTTCCAGTACCAGTTATTTTTGAAAGAACTGGTCACCAGTTTCAGTTCCTTTCAAAAGAACAGGATGGTGGACAGCAGTTCAGTTCTTCGGTTTCAAACTTTTCGAAGAATAAGATCTAAGGACTCATGCTTTTTTATTCAAAGTAAAATTGCAAACCAGTAATTCACAATGTTATACTCCAAAAAAATGTTAGTAAATGTTCACATTGTAAAACGTCGCCTGAATTAATCTGAATAAATACAATATTCGTAATGATGTCACTATTGAAAATATTAATTTTTGATTACTTTTTATAGTGCATAATTTCTAATCGGTAAAGACTCACATTTTAAAATAAGATAGTAGATAGATTATTAGGAAATTGCTAGGTTAATATTTTTGTGATTCTAGGCGCTGTAATTTCGACGGCGTTAGCAGCACAAGAGCAAGCTAAAGCAATGGAATAGTCTGTTACAAATTAGTATTGCCATGGAGAAAAGACATTTTATAATTCACGTGCTACAAGCAAAATGGCATGCATCACTCACGATCTAGATGGACATAATGGTGGTGCTGATAAAGTTGTCACAAAATCATGGTGCGAAAATAGCTGTCCGAGGGATACACGAACTGATACTCTCAACAAAAATCTTACTCTCAAAGTTCGTGACTAGATTATCAACGGACAGAAATTCGATAAAATAAACTTGCTAAAGAGTATATTCTTAATTCAGAAATAAATTTTAAAACACAATTACATGTTCACAAGCTTTATTTGAGCTCATCAGAGCGAACGATGTCACTAGTATAAAAAAAGTCCATCTCAAGTTTTATAAAGTTCTATTCGAGGTTTCCTGTCTGATTTATTTTTACCTTATGCTACTGAAGACCAAATCCTATGATGAGTAAAAGGCAAGGGAAAACAACTGATTTTGTGACTTTTTTGACTTTAGTGACATATATGACCTCAAAATGCCTCTCATGATCTTGATGACATTGAAGTCAACAAAGTCAACTATACTATATCTCATGTTCAGTGCATTAACCAAATTCTATTAAAAATAAGATACGTTGTAATTTTGTAAACAAAGAAAGACTCTCACCTGTCACTCTTATTCTGGCTAAAGAGTCTGAAATTAAGCCTCTTTCTAGCATCATATCTATTAAAAACATCAAAGAACTACCTGATACGAACTTTTTTTTCGCGTTGTTGACATGCGCAGACCTCAAGATTTGTTTATAGCACATGGCTTTCTTTCCATAGACAAGCATTTTAGTGCTTGCATGAGTTATGTGCTCATCTAAAGCAACTCATGCGCTGAACGCATGAAAATCATAGAAATGAGCATTCTTGAAACGATCAACTACAATAAAATAATAAAAGGAAATCTGTTCAAAACGAAAGAATGTTCCTCGCCATTCAGGCTGTCTGAGACTAATTATTTATGTAAATTTCCTTTTAGACCTACGTATTAAAATATGTGTTATTTAAACTGTGAATTTTTATTACAAATTGGATCCTTTTTCAACATAAATTTGAAGAAGAAACAAAGAAAAGCACATATAAGATATAATTAAAATTAATTTCATACATCATAAATTTTGTTTTCATCCTTGCGAGAGATGAGTGTCGGTGTGAGTGAGGGTGAGGAAAAAAATGTATCCAAACCCATACCGACACCCTCACCCACACCCACACCCGCAACTCAATTTTCAGATCACAGAACGACTATCCTGCGTGCAACCCAAACACCCTTTTGCAAACATTCTCCACAGCAATTTACTTTATTCTCCAGACATGAATCAGTTATCAATCCTGATCAATGTCAGTGAATAATCGCAGATGCAGCGTATAGCTCAGTCAAATAAACGATGAAAAAAATGCGTAGAAATTTTAACGAAGATAATATTGTAAAAAGCGCACATTTTTTTAATTTTATTTTTGCGAAGGTTTATTAACGCGTTTAATTTCGTTAAAAAATTTAACGCGTTGTTAATGCATTTAATATGCGCGCTTTTTTACAATTTTATTTTCGTTCAAGATATTTAACGTGTTTTTACATATTTTACTTTTAAATTGAGACTATCCCTAAAGTGAACAATGATATTCTATAAACCTGGCCTATTTGAGGGATAGTTTCGATGCGTTTATAGAAATTCCAATTGTTTTCTCGCCATATAATATGGAGTTGTTAGTTGATTTTGATCTACAGAACTTAAGTTTGGAAATCACCTTGTATTGTTCGAAGGTGTAAAATTGAATAGATATACCGGGTGATCCAAAAGTCACGATCTAAAGAAAAAATCGAATATCTTCATTACAGCTAAAGTAAACTGGCTGATTTCTTTATCAGTAATAAAAGGCATGTTCACACTTCATATCTACCTTGACAAGGCTTGAGAGATCCTTTGTTAAGTAGTTTGTTTTTTTTCGTATCTGTAAAAATGTAAATTTTTTTTGTTGCCATCAACAACGATACTTAATAAAGGATCTCTCTAGACATGTCTTTATGGATACAAAGCTTCAACATGCCTCTATCGTTGATAAAAAAATGAGCTCGTTTGCTCGAACCGTAATGGAGATATTCAATTTTTTTCAGTAAAGTGACTTTTGCACTATGCTGTGTATTGGTTTTTTTCTGTCTGTGAAAAAAGTAAATTTTTTGTTGTTGAGGTTAATAGTGATTCTTAACAAATAATCTCTCTAGCCTTGTCAAGATAGATATGGAGTGTGAACATGCCTTTATTACTTATAAAAAAATCAGCCCGTTTGGTTGAGCCATAACAAAGATATTCGATTTTTTCTTTGGATCGTGATTTTTGGGCCACCCTGTAGAAGACATATACTTTAGAGTATCATCTAGATTATGATTCAACATCCCAAGTAAGCAAAAAATGAATGATGACGGGCTACGTGACTGGTTCGAAACACCCACATCCACACCCAATCAGGTCTAGTATGAAACATCTTCCATACCTGTCATGATTAGTTACTTTGACAAGAAATGTCCTGGAACCTCATCCAGACTAATCCAAGACTCCTTGAATCCTCCTATGTCTAGTTCATTTGTTCATCTACCCCATCTAGACTCATTCATACGACAGAAAAAGAATGAAAGAAGAAGAGGAATTATTTGAATTCATTAAAAATTTTTCATACAAAATCAACAGTCATTTTATTTTTATTTGTCTTAATTATCACAACTCTATAATAGACAATGCTAGGGAAGATAATTATTTTTTCTTGACATCGAAATAGACTGTCAACTGATTATGATTATTTTTTAAAACTATATAAGTTCAAGAATCAATTTGCTTATGTTCACTAAAAGAAACATTTGCTTGCAGATGTCTCTCTTATACGGAATCAATATTGTAATCAGATTGGTCTATCGTAGTATTCCCTTAACCTCCTTTAATTTTGATCAGCTGTTGGTTGTATAGTTTCCTATCCTTACAGATTTCTATTTCAAATTATTTGAAAATAAAATTTTCCTAATGTCTACAATCTCTTCTTTATCGTCTAGTCATCCAATTGCATTACAACTTTCGACTTATCCAAATACTCAACTAGTCGTATGTATTAATCCATTACATGAATCTAAACAAGATACGTTACCAACACCATTGATTACACCAACAAGTTCAAATTTATTTGATAATGATGACAAATCTTCTAATGATAATGCACAAGAATTTATTCTTCGACTTTGTCATCAACGATCAAGATTAACACGATTATATGATTTAGAAATCGAACGTCGACAATCAACATCACAATTAAATACATTTCTTGATAAAATTGATCAGTTACTTAATGAATACGAAAGTCATAAATCTTGTAATCTAATTATAGGTAATCATACTAAAATATTTATACGAAGACTACCATAGTTTTTGGTTTTTTTTTGAATTTTCAGGTGATACTACAAATACTAGTAAATCTCTAGATGATGAATCATATTCAACCTATTTTAATGGTAGGTAAATATTTTAAAAACAAACTTTTGCTAGATAGGAAAGAAAATTTAATAAATTTAGATGTTTCTTCTCTCAATGATTCCGATGATGTTGATGTAAATGAATTACTTGTCGAACAAACTTCAAAACAATCTGAAAGACCTTCAAATAATACAAATGATGGAACTATGAATTATGAACAAAATGTACATACAGATTAGTAAGTAAACTTAAGATCATTTGTTTTTATTTTTAATTGAATAATTTTGCTTTTATCATAGTGATGATCATTCCTATTCAAAAATAAGTCGAAATAATAAACTTCCAACAAAAAAATCAACAGTAAATAATTATCTGTTTCTTTTATTTTTAATCGATTAAATTTTTCCATAGATACTTCAACTTAAACGTTATAAATATGAAGGATGTTGTCCATTAACAACACGTACTTATGGTCTTGATCCAATCAAACATGGTATTCGTCATTTTCCATGTACACGTGTTACAGCACCAATTAATCTTTGTAATATTTAATTTTCTTTTAAGTTTTATTTTATTAAATTTTATTATTAGATAAACATTTAATACAATATCATCAATTAACACATTCACCAACAATGCAAATTGTACGACTACTTGCTGATGAAAATGAAGAAGGTGATATTGATTTATTTTCATCTCAATCAACAAGTCTTATTGCAACACATCCAACTATTTATCGTGCACAATGTCCATTAAATCAATATGGAAAATTTGGTATTACAGCTGAACATAAAATTCGTTTATGTACACAACCTAATCAACCAATTGGTGCACCATTAGTTGCACCAAAAGATGTTTGTTTATATGATCATTTTGGTTAGTATTAATTTAGTCAAATAATACAAAGCGAACATCATAGCGCAAAGCTTTCGTTTTTCAATTTCTATGCGTTAGGAGCACAAATATATTTGCAAGTATTTCAAAAAATTTATAATTGAAGTAAATTGATCGACTTTTTCAATTGTTTGACAAATTCGTACAAGACTGACTAATATAAAAATATCTAAGTTTGTTTCTCAACAATTTCTATGTAAGAATAATGTTATTAAGAAATCAGCAAAAATATAGGAAATTGAATCCGGTAACTTTCATCTATTAGACAAGCATTTAGTTGTTTACTGAGTTATAATTATGTACTAATAAGAGAAATAGACCCTGAAAAGACTAAGAAAAACATTACGTTTCTTAATTTAGATTTGCATTCAATATGCTGTGCTAACTCCTCCATCTTGAAAAATTTTCATTTTTCTCTAACAGAGTTCCAACGTTTCATTAGTTTTTTGCTCACTGGTCCCCAAAAAGATGTTCGACCTGTCTCTCCAAAAATTTTCCAATCCGCCTCATGCCAAGAGAAGTCGTCCAACTGATAAATCTTTTTTGAGTCGAAACTTTGTGCATTATGTAGTTTCGACTCAATAATGATTTGTCAGTTAGGAAACGCCTCACGTGAGTCATTAACTTCCTACCACAGCGATCTGGGGACGTTCCAAAATATTCTTCTTAACTGATTAATTAATCATGTTGAAACTCTATCAAATTGTTGAAAAATAACTTTGTTTTCTCTATTTAAGTTGTATATCATCAAATGAAACGTTCATGTGCTCAACGTTTAGCTGAAGCTATTGTTAAAAATAAAACTGAACCGGTATTTCGTCCCGATGAACAATTATTAAATGATACATTCTATATTCAATGTCCTCTACGACACCCGAAAGCTATTTGTTGGAAATCACCAATCTCATCTCGTCATATGGGTCAACATTTAACTGGTATACATAAACTTGATGGAATAGCAAGACGTCAAATAATGATGACACTTCGAAAACAACCATCATCATCATCATCATCATCATCATTATCATTATCCGATAAAAAATTAACTAAAGCAACTTCTTTTTAATGTTTTCTTATTTTTTTTGTTTTGTACAATCTATTTTATATTAACTATGAGCAGTATTTTTTTTGTTCCATGATATATATATATTTTTATTTTTAGATATGTCAGCAATAAACCAAAATGAATATCGACAAGATGCATCCGATGATGATGATGAGTATGATGAAGAAAATTCTAATGATGAACAAGAAGAAGAAATAAATATACTTGAACAAGTACAAGGATTGTTTTCATCAGATATATTTCCAAATGTGATAGAAATGTTTCGTGCTTATCAATCACAATTTGATCTTGTGGAATTTCTTAAAACGCATCAAATTGTTTCACAATATGATTATATCCGATTAATTAATTATATTCGTCTTGAAGTCAGATTTTTATTTAAAAAATTTTTTAAACAAAATTTTCTTTTTTTTTTAGAAACCTTCAATTGATGATTTAAAACAATTAAAACTATCGATACCATCACCATGGGCAGATGATAAATATTTCACAACAGTTATCGATAACGATCCAGCATTACAATTTGGTAATAATAACAAACATAGATAATAAATGTTATCTCAATGTTTTTGTGAAACACGAACTAAAAAAATTACTATGAAAATATCATAGACCATGAGAGCAGAGATATCTATCGCGTCTGAAAAGTTGCTGCTGCCACTGTCGCGGTAGCGACACGGCTGTGCCGTCATGGATATCTCTATATGACAGTCGGCATTGACAGACGCGTGACAGATGTTATTGATATACGATTAATGACCATATATCAATAATGTCTTGTTATAACGAATGAATCACTTCATTATTGCATTTCTAGACAATTAAGTAAAAGGATAGTGAAGAAATGTATTACTAAATAGATAGAATAAAACAATCTTCGTGTGTTTAGTAATAGTACCTACGTCGTGTTTCACATTTTAATGCCACAAAGATTGTGATAACAGCTTTGTTTTCGTGTTTCAGATATTGAAGAAGATTTAAATCAACTCGGTGATTTAACAATATCAAAAACTACTCAAGAAAATGATCAATTAATAAAAGCTAATCAAAGAATTCGAGAATTAGAAGAAATGATTGACACATTAAAGTAATTTAAACAAATGCTTTTTTTTTATTCTTAAAGAAATTATATTATATTTTTATAGATCGATGACATCTCGATTATTAGATGATCAATCTACAGGTGAAACGACAACATCAAAAGCAAAAACTAAAGATGATATTCAAGATGATAATTATTTTGCTACATATAATCATTATGATATTCATAAGGAAATGCTTCAGGTATGGTAAGTAAAAGAATTTATAAATTTCTATTTTTTTTGAATTTGATGATTATTCTAGGATAAAATTCGTACTGAAAGTTATTTAAAATCAATAAAAGAAAATGTCGATGTATTTCGTGATAAAATTGTATTAGATGTTGGATGTGGAACAGGTATACTTTCTATGGCATGTATTAAATATGGACAAGCAAAAATGGTTATTGCTGTCGATATGTCAGATATGATTTATGATGCTATGGCTATTGCTAAGTAAATGTTTCTTTATCTGAAATAAGCTATTAAAAGAAAAAAAAACAAGATATTTGTATTTTTCTCTAGCGAAAATAATATTGATGAATCGAAAATTGTTTTTATTCATGGAAGAATTGAAGATGTGAATTTACCTGTTGAAAAAGTAAACAATGAATTTTATTGATATTAGAAATTGAATGTTTGATTTTTTTTTTAACAAAAAGGTTGATATTATCATATCTGAATGGATGGGTAAGATAATAATGTTGAGAAGATATGTTTATTCAAAATAATAATTTTTTAGGCTATTTTCTATTGTTTGAATGTATGTTGGAATCGATCATCTTTGCTCGTAATACATATTTAGATAAAGAAAATGGTTTGGGTAAGTTATTTATTTATTCATAGATATTCAACATGTCTCGAAATGGACTTACTAATCCAAACTGGACTTTTTTCTCAACGAAAATTTATCTTTTCATTTAGGCAATAAATAAAAACTAAGTATTCCTTCAATCAATAATATTCTCTATCGAAACAAAAAACTTTTAGGTTATTCATAATATAGAAAACGAAGATGAAGATATTGAAAATATGAGTAGTTAAAACAAATATGAGCACGATTTATTTTGAAATCAACATATTATTTTTTCTTAAGCCCCCCCCCCCTCAGAAACGATTTTCTACTTAAGATTGTGCTTTTGGGCTGAAATTTTTAGAAATCAGTGATCTTGGAGAGGTACGCTTCTGGTAAAAATTTCAGCTCGATTGGTCGCACTAGACCGGATTTCCAGCTGATTCACAGGTCATTTTTGGCCTTCACGAGAATCGATATAACTTCGTCGTAAGATGGGGTAGAGAGCTCGGGTTGGTGTCAAATTAAAGCCAATGTGAGTATGCAACTTTTGTCTGAACAGAATTTTGAAATTCAATCTCATTCATTTTTTATGAGCATTTTAGTGGGATGGTCTTAAAATTAGCATAAAAAATGGTGGTCCAACGACAGTAAATCCCACTTTTCTCAGTCCAGGAACTAGCTATAAAAAATCCGTTCGAACAAAAATTCACTCTCATTAAGACCTTTAAAACAAAAAAAAATTATTGGTTATAGCTTGAGACAGGATGGAGTTATTTCAATTTTTCTGTCTGAAAACCGTATATTGAGAAAAACGCTAAAGAAATTTTAGAACTGGATTTTTCCATTCAAATCCAGAAAAAATCATATTACAATGGTATATTATTAATTCATTCCAGTGGATCGTTTTAGACTACGTAAGAGATGAAGGTAACTCATGCCATCTGACATGCTGAGTAATATAAAAGTGTTCTACTCAACGCTAATGCAAGTGGCAACACAGTTTTTCCAAAACTGAAACACCTGAAAAATCACGAAAATTTCTCCGAAAATATGGTAGTAGAATCAAAGTTTTATATGATAAGTCTTTGAAAATCTGGTCATTTTCCAAAAAGCTATATATATTCTGAAAGAGGAAGCTTCGCTGCATCTTCCTGTGAGAAAAATTCAACTTCGCTATTCCCTTGAAAAATTCGATTTTCTAAGAGGGGGTGGCCTTAAGCAGTACACTTTTTGTTTATTAGTTTCGTTTTAATTTTTTTTGTTCAGTAAATGGAATATAAGTATTATTTCAAATGCTAAGATACGTTGTTGCATCTCTCAACGATTTTCATATAATCTTTTAGCATATATATAAATCGTGACTAGAGATGCGCGAGACCAAGTTTTTGGATTTATTTAGTCGACAACCAGCACTTTTTTGAATGATCGTTCTTAAATTATGTTCTAATTGATGATTTATAAGATAATTCGCTTAAAATCGTAGAATATCTAACTCCGGTTAGAGCAACTTTTTCCTCGTCTGGCTGGGTTTGGTCTAAAACTGGTCTCTTACATTTCTAGTCGTGACTATATGACATTCGGCGCAAGTTTTACACGACTATGAAAGATATCACTCCTAATGAAAAGTGTTGATCCCGAAAGTATATTTTCCCATATCTTCTAAAAGCGAATAATTTACTCTTGAGGGATTTCTATCCATCAATGATAATCTTTATGAAGTTGAAGTCCTAACGAATAAATCCTGGTTTTATGGTTCAATTAGTAATTCGAGTTATCTTTCATGTTGTTTTTACAAGCATTAAAATAATTTGACTTTATTAAAATTTTGATAAATTATCCAAGTTATTATTGAGTTTTATCATGTAGAAACTTTTCTTTTATAAAAGAATTTTATTTATAATCAGTGCTAGTTCAAGTCCGACAGAGCTTTCATAGTGTAGAAGTTTTACTCTATACAATCGAAATATAATTTTATAAAACTTTGAAATTAAACATTTCTATATAATTAATTTGACATGGAATATTATCTGCTAAATGTTTTTCTTTCTTCGTCTAAAAACATGAGAGACTTATAAAATTTCACTAATTCTCTCAAAATATTTCATATTTAGTATTACCCGATGATTTTTCCATACATATGTCGGGTTTTCATTCGGATGATCTTTATCATGAACATATTGGTTATTGGTCAGATGTTTATGGTTTTGAAATGGATACCGTTGTAAAAAATATTCTTCTTGATGGTCATGTTATAATTGTACCAGCTAATGATGTTATGACTAGTGATTGTTGTATTAAAGTAAATTGAATAAACTTTTTTTTTTCTTCAATAAAAATTTCATTTTTAGACTTTGGATATTTATACATGTTCAAATAATGACATCACTTTTACACATCCATTTACTGTTCAAGCACTTAAATCTGGTTCTATATCTGGTTTTGTTTGTCATTTTGATGTGAATTTTGCTAAGAATCTTATTGAAAAGGTAAAACATTATGTCCAAAAAATAATAATATCTTAGTTACATATATTTTTTTTCTTATTGGATTAGAGACGAATATTTATTTTTGATTTTTCTTTAGGTGCATTTTTCTACATCACCTCGGTCACCGAACACTCATTGGAAGCAGACAGTATTCTTTTTACCTCGATTATATAATATTCAAGAAGGTGAGAAGAATATTAATTATTTGATATATATATATGTATATATTTCTAAATAATTTATTTATTAGGTGAAGAAATAACTGGAAAAATTTCATGTCAAAGACATCCAAATGAAAAACGTGGTCTTATTATCCATTTACATGTATTCGATTCAAAATTTAAATTCTATCTAGAATAATGAATTTTGTTCGATTGTTATTCTTAATTTTCGTTTTTTTTTCTTTTGTTTATTGTTAAAAAGAAATAAAAAAGAAACATCAATTAACTGGGATCAGAAGAATAAGACAATATTTTAATCAGCAGTTTCTTTATACAATAAGGTTTGAAGTGTAAGAAAAAAAAAAAGAATATTATTCATTTGTTTGTTGTCATGGCATAGAGATTTTACTTCAACTTTATATCATTTGATGTTATTCTTATAAAGAAAAAGACCTTCTAGGTATGTTTTTTTTTGAACTTGCTTTAATGGTGATTGACAAGCAATTGTTGCAATACATTTGAATATAAAGACAAGAAAAAAGATGTGATGTTTTATATTGCTCTTTCTTTCTTTGCATTACTTCTAATGAACACCTAATGCACACAAAAAAAGTAAGAAATAACCGACAATGGATGCTGAGTGTTTATACTCTAAAACATACTGATTTTACCGAACAATTATAATATTCCGTAAAAACACCTTTCTTTAACGACATACATCGGCAATCAAATTCCAACTACGTCGTAGTAAAGATAAAAAACAAAAAATTCATATGTAAATATTATGATAATACTAGTGTAGAAAGTTTATTTGTAACTAAAAGAATTTTTTTTTTAATTTTATTATTGATCTTTGTGTCAATAAAAAAAAAATCTATGACTTGTGAAATACTCATTTCATGATGTGTTATTTGTTTAATTGAAACTTTATATCTGCTCGTTTCTAACAATACGATAAAATAAATTTATTTCACTATACATGAACGAAATCTTTCTTTTTTTTTTCTTTCTCACCTACTTTTCGTCTTATGTGATTTTTTTTCTATTTGGATGAAAAAAAAACAAAATGTCTATATTCCATTTGCTTCATCATAGAAACATATTGATCAGTAGTGTGCTTTGTTGTTGTTGTCGTTGCCAGTTCTCTTTTTTTTTTCAAGTTATTTTTGTATGTGAAGGAACGATATAATGATCAGATTGATTGTCAAAGAGTCATTGTAGACGATTGAATACGTCTTTTCATTTCTTATATGTTTAACTTTATTCAAGGTTATCAATGATTGATTTTTATATCTATTTCTTCTAGACTTTGCTTTATAAAGTATTCAATTAATTTTTGAAATAAACGTATTGAAAATTATGAGTGATAACGAAGATAAATCAACAACACTTGGAAAAATAGGTTTACTGGCAAATAATCCATTAGTTGCAGATTCGAGTAAGATAAGATTTTTTTAATTCTAGTATTTTTTTTTTTTTTGAATTTTTATTCTTAAGATGAATTACAACAAATAGAATCCACAACAAATATGAATAATGATACTAGTAAAGTAACAACTAATGATGATGTTGACAATGAAGATAATGAAAAAAAAACGAATGATCTCATCAAAGATTTACAATCAGAATCAATAACACCTGATGATAATAATTTTCTTTCTGGAAGATTAGTTACAGCTGGTCCTTTAACTAATGATCAAGATAATAGTTCGACACCGAATATAATTGATCCATCAGTAAATCATATTAATCAAGGTCCAAGACGATCGATGAGTGAATCAGTTCTTATTGATCACCATAATCTAATTGAACAATCATCACCATTACCTATTCAACAAGATGCAAGTTCAATTGATGGTGATGATCTTGGTAATCTTCAAACAGAAACAAATAATACTGGTAATGATGATTCTACTAATCCAATTCAACAGGATTTATCAGCACAAGAACAAGAAAATAATACAAATCGTACAATGGATAATGAACCTTTCCATTCAAAAACAGAAACTATTAGTGATAGTGAACGACCATCAAGTGCAACGAAACATGATATTCTTGATGAAACAACACATTTGGATACGACGTCACCTAAGCCATCAACATCAAGAATACAATCTGCATCTAGTAAACGATCAGTATGTATTATATCAAATAAGTTTGATTTAATTTTAAATTAAATAATTTTTTTTTTAAAGCAACCAATTTTTGGTGATGAAAAACAAGTTGAATTACCTAATGAAAGTGATACCAAGACAGATGATAATAATAAAGAAGTAGAACCTATTGTTCGACCTTTATCACGAACTAAATCAAGTTCATCAACATCTAATGATTTACATAAACCATTAACAGATGTTGAATTACAACGACCACAATCACCATTTGTTGGTGAACAAGCTCAACCATCATCACGTATAACAAGTCCACAAATAACAAAAAATGACACAAATATATTAACTATTGATCAATCTTCTCCATTGAATGATCATGATGAAGAACAAAAACAAACGTTTGAACCATCAACAGTTACAATTTCATCAGCATCAAGACGAGGAAGTACAAATAAAATTGATCAACAACAAACATCACGACCATCAAGTGCTATTAAATCTAAAGTTAATGATAATTCTTCGGAATCATCAACAACGAAATTAAACAATGATTTTACAATAACAAATGAAGAATTAAAATTAATAAAACCTGGCGAACAACTTCAAATACCAACAAATGATATTGATAATGAACAAGATAATAGTCCACCACCGTCACCATCAGGTATTAAACAGATGATAACAGCAAATCCTGTCTTAGCAAGTAGTCTTGTTACAACAGATCAAGATCGTTCTCGACCATCAAGTGAAATAAATCGTAGAGGTTCAGCATCAAATTCAATTAGTAATGAGAAAGTTATTGATGGTGATGTTGTTGCATCAAGAAGTCGACCAGCTAGTAATGCAAGTCAACAGCAACAACAAACAACTATTATTGATCAAAAACCAAATTTACCTTCAAGTCGTAAAGGAAGTGCTGCATCTGAACAACAAGTATTAAGTAGACGAGGAAGTGTTGCAAGTCAACAGCAACAACAAACAACTATTATTGATCAAAAACCGAATTTATCTTCAAGTCGTAAAGGAAGTACTGCATCTGAACAACAAGTATCAAGTAGACGAGGAAGTATTGCTGATGAACAAAAACCTATTAGTCGACAAAATTCATCGGATCAACAAGGAAAAACATTATCAAGGTCTGACAAAAAAACAGTATTTCATTTTTTTCATTAAATATATTGTTTTCGATTTTCAGCAAACCATCTAGTCGAAAAACAAGTTTAATCGAACAACAACAAGTTCCTAGGTATGTATAACATACAAACAGAATAATACATTTTATTTTAACATATATTCGCCACATAAAACAATTAAAACTGAATGAATCTTGTCCTTTTAAAGAAACTGTAAAGCGAGTTATGAGTGAAATAGCTTCATCAGCAAAATATAGACGGAGACAGTTCATAAGTAACTCAAGTCGAATCATATTCCGTCATCCTATTTGACGAAGAAATATGACTATATCCTAATGAAAATATATACGATTTTATAGATTAAAATTACAGTGAAAATATGGATAACTATATTTATCGACCTTAGGAAATAACAAAATAATTACCTAATAGCCCTGCAGTCATTAACAACAATTTTGCAATTGATTTTTTTTTTCTTTTAATTTTTAGCCGTCGACAAAGTCAACAACAATCAGTTACAGATCGAGATAAACAATTATCTAGGTTCAATATTAAAAAAATGCTTTTATTTCTTACATGATATTGTTATTTCTTTTTTTTTGTCTAGTTTTCGTCGCGCAAGTTCTACAAAACAAGAACCAACAGTTACTAATAATGATACAAAAGACAATCGTCGTTCATCAACAGCTATTGATGTTCCTCTTCGAGCATCACCTAAACAAAAACAAGAACGTATTTCATCAAATGATAAACGGCAATTATCATCACCAAAACATTCTGGACAACAATCAATAACAACAGATCAAACTACAATTACTCCGATAACAATGGATTCAAAACAATCTCAACAACAAAGTGAAAAAGTAAATTAATAGAAATTTATCATTTTATTATTTCTTGTTTCCCTTTTTTTCTTTTTATTTAAGCGTTCATCAATTATAGATTCTGATTATGAACAGTTAAATACTTCAAAATTACCACGAGTTAGTTCAGCATCACAACAAGATCAATCTGATCATTCTGAAATTAAGCAATTATCATCATCAACTACAACAACACCTAGAGAAAATAATCAAACATCACAATTGATTAAACAAGTTCATGTTCCATCACTTCAAATAACTGATGATGAAACTCCATTACCAAGACCACTATCACCAAATGCTGAACAAATTGCTGAACATAATCAAAGTTCAATAAAAAATAAAAAACAAAATACTAGTAAAATAGTATTTGTATTTTTATTTATTTATTTATTAATGAAAATTTCTTTTCAATTTTAAGATGAACAAAAAAAGGAAAAACAACATCGAAGTAATAGTGCGGAATCACTTAATTATATTCCACTTGTTGATGATAAATCAATTGATTCAACATCAGATGTTAATACAGAAGATGGACAACAAAAACGACGACGTATTAGATCGAAAAAAAAAGATGTTGAAACTAATACAGATCACAAAATAGATTTAAAAAAACAACAAGGTGAATTTTGCTTTGTCACTTTGGTGAAATACGATATAAAACGAGCGTTAAAGTATAGCGATAGAAATTTGGGCACCCTCTCCTCATAAACACTGATATACGATCACCAGAGTCTTAGAGGATAGTTCAAAATCCCGTTTTTATCATTTCGCAGAACAAATCGAGATTGGTTGTCCTGAAAATTTTTTATTTCTAACAAATATCTTAAGATGTAAATAAATAACAGAAAAAAGAAATAGACTGCCACTTAAGTAAAGTCCGAATAGAAAAAGATGGTTGACTGTATGAGACTGAAAAATGTCAGAATGTCATCCAATAGGGCATCTGCTAGTTCTAATTCTTAGACTTTCGTAGAGAAAATCATAATGAATTTCAATCGTGTTCAGCTGAGAAGTTAACAGATAATGAATCTAAACTAACTATTCCATATACTATCTGAAATATCTATAGTCTTTTTCAGATTGAGTGATGTGTATCATCATATAAAGAAACTATATGCTTTTTTTTTCAGTTTTTCTAATCGCGAAATCCAAAAGTCTTGAAAGAGCTTCATTGTAACCAATAGCTTTTTTTCTGTTTGAAAGAGCATGTGAAGCTACAGAGCCCGGTTATTTTGAATTAAGCTTTTTTATTATTATAAAAATTTAAGAAAAAGGGTACTACAATCGAATATGCTTTTGCAAATAAGAAAAAAAATTAAATCTATAGAATAAGAGCTTACAGAGAATTTCGACTTGTCAAATGAACTATTTTTGACTCTTGTTTGTTGAATATCTTCCGAAAACATCATGGTATAGAGCTGAACATTTTTAGCGTAGCCTCTCACCTACAGTCACAACATATCCTGAAAGTTTCATATGATTTGGATATACTTGTACTAAGATCAATTTTTGACGGTGAAAACTAAATAAATCTATGAATCATTCATATTTTAACAAAAATAAAAATCATTGATGGTTCATTTTAAAATAATTCTATGATGTAATCAACAAAATTTTAATTCTCATTTTCTAGAATCAATTTCTCAAAAACCTGTAAAAGCAACGAAACCAATATCGAATAATCTTCAAAGCACAAATCGTCGTCGTTCAACAACAAAAGAACGAACATCAACATCAACACTTGATACAGAACTTGATTCCGGTAGACATATTGTTCCACGTTCAGTTAAAAAATCTGATAGTGATATTGAACCAGTTAATGTTAATTTAACTGTTCTTGTTAAAAATTTAACTGATCAAGATAATAGTGAAACGTCTCAAACAACACCTAAAGAAAAACCACAAAAGAAACAAAATATAATTAAATCATCGACCGATTATGATCGTCATACACAATCGGATACGGAACAAATTATAAGTGAAAAACAAAAAAAACATCGTCGACCTAAACGTATATCACGTACAACACAAACATATGAATGTGTTTTTCGACGTATGGAACGTGAACAACACGAAGAATTACGTCCAACAAATGATACAGATAAAAATATTCAAACACGAAAATCACAATTATGTCCAAAACCAAAATCACCAAGAAAACATTATCCAGCTTATCTATCAACTGATGCATTCAAGTTGTTTTATTTCTTCTTCTTCGATACTGGTTTTTTTTAATATGTCTAAATAATATTATTTTTATTTTTATTTTAGAATTGAAGAAATTTTACCAAAACAATTTCCTCAAGTTCAACGTAGTACATCAAAAACATCAATGGTTGCTCGAAGTATTTCACCACAAAGTGGTAAATTATTAATTCTTCGTCCAACACTTCCTTTTCATCATACTGATGCTGTTAATGTACAACGTGTATGTCTTCAATATGCTATTGATTTAATTCCTAATGAAAACAAGTTAAATGATTCACCATATGCTCAACGACATAAATCAAATGCTCTTAAACAATCTGAACACACAACTAATTTACCTATGATACGTTCATCGTCACCAGCAACAAATAAATCAAATACTAAAGATAAACCAACTTCGAATAGAACTGAAGATCGTAGTCAACAACGTAAAAATGATGGTGCTGTTTAATAATATATATATATATACATATAAATCCAATTAAATACTTCAAAAAAAAACCACATTTAGCTAAGCGTGTCTGTGATTGATTTTATTTACTTATAATTTCTTTTCCAAAAAAATAAATACTTTACAATAACAGAAAAATATCCGAAAATCAAAAATTGAATTTTATGAGATCCATCTTAATATATATCTTTCAAGGAATGTACTACGCCTTGCTCATATAGTGTATGTAATAGAGAATTTAATATGAAAAAATAATGACACGTAAGTTAATTTAATATCATCTGATTATAGTATTTATTGGGAAATATCGTTCACGAATTTCTCGAACATTATTAACCAATGGTTCAAAATTAGATATTGTTGAGTTATACTCAAATTGGACATCATATTTAGCTTGTTCATCGATATAGATATCTATCCATTCAAAACCTTGATTATAACAATCGAGACAACCAATTGGTGAATCAACTGATTTCCATAATTGAATATTCTTGTTGAATTTCAGGATAATTAATTGAATTTATTTTACTTGTTTTTAAAGTTATAATAGTCGATGCATTAATATAAATAGAATTGTAACAATATCCTAGACATTAACTAAAACCTGCTCAACTTGCAATACATACAATAGATTCGCCTTGAATAGTAACAATACTGAAAGTAACAACTAGAATTAATCTTAACATAGGTGTTTGTGCAAATAACGAAAAATAACTGATTAATAAAATATAGATTTATTTTTACATAAGTATGCATGTAATGCACTGTTCAATGATCCTTGTAAAAAAAAAATAAAAGAAATATAATAAAATATCTATTTGAATTTTACTTTAACCTAGATGAATAAATTGTCTAAAGGAAAATTTCATCTTAAATATTTCATTGAAAGATACAAAATAAAACATTATTATATGACTACATTTAATCTTGATAAAAGAGGGAGGATTCCACCCTCTTTCTAAAGTTTCTGAAACAGGAGGGTTAAAATCATTCCGCTTTCACAACTGAAATAAGTTCAATAGAGTTGAACTTTTTCTTCAGATACCAGACACTGTTTGGTAGGCCTATTTTTTTTTGTGTGTGTAAAACCTGATTTCGAGAAAAACGAAGAACAAATTTTCCTGTATGTATAAGACTTTATTTCTCCAAGTAAAGTGATCGAAAACTGGTCGTGTTCAGCAGTGTTAGCGATCTATGACTGATGCTCTCAGTACCTTTAGAAATTATCATTAGGAGAATTTTGAATACAAAGAATAATCGCCCCCACAAGTTTTTCTACTAGGAGTTTCAAGAGTTGCGTTTCATAAAAATACTAATTAACAACAAAGTGTCCTCAGCTATATGGCAAATGACAGAAGACATTTCCAAGCTATACCAAACATCGAAAAAATTTTGATTTTAACATCCGACAAGTGGAGAAGGTCTCCTTAAACCGTTTCTTTACTCTTTTCCATAATTTCTTATACAATAGCATAAAAAACATGTTATGGTATACGTTTATTTTTTTTTACATGTTTTCTCCGTAATATTTCAGTTGAATTTTCTTTTCTATGTATACCTTGCGACCTCGTGATATTGTCTTCATCGATATCAGTAGTTCTTATATCACAACATGATTCATCAAAATAAATATTTTCGTCTAACAACTTCTCATTAAAAGTCATTTTTCGACAAGTATGTTGTCCAACTATTGTATTAGTTTTTTTTTCACATTATAATTATTGACTAATACTTTTCAGTATTGGCCAATTATAACTACTTGTACTTATTCAAGCAATTTTAATAAATATTGGAAATTGAATATTCATATAAATTATTTCAATATTTCAATTTTCGTTGTGTTCGTTCATATTTATTGAAGTATGGTTATTTCATTGGAATAGTTTTAAAAATATTTTAATGTATAGAACAAGATAATGCGATCATGATTGTTTTATTGTACACGTCTATCTATGACTTCTTTCGTTCGTTCTCTTCCCGATTCAGTCCATTCTTTTCTGTATGACTCAGTTTGTTTTACATCTCATTAGATATATGTTATGTAAATCATGCGCACTTCCATACACGTTCTTATCTCAAATCATAAGTTAATTTAATTAGAGATAAATTCTATTAATCAAATTTAGTTACTTCAATAGACAGTCTTGATTAAGGAACTCATCCCTCATTTTTTCGCTATTTCATGTTCTCGAAGACGACACAATGGGTAGGCATGAAATTTTGACTACAGATACTTGAAAGCATTTTCCGGAGGTAAAATCAGTTGTTTTCGTTTCTGATCTTCCTATTTGGATTCATAGAGTCCTGAACGACAACACCCTAGTTTTGAATCTGAACCTTTACTTATTTCTCTTATAAAATAAAGAAAGCACGTTTTTGAAAAAGCTTAGAGTTATTTCTAAGGTATAGTCTAAGGTATCTAAAACAAAAAGATTTTCAACTCAATCGGACATAGACGAGGATCGCAAGCGAGTCCGATATGATTCGATGGAAAAACAGAGTTTTTCCGACAAAACTGCAAAAATCTTGTTTAAAGTTTTTTTCCTCGAACATGTGTCTTCTTATTTTAGGTGCTGTAACTTTGGAAAAAGCTTCATGACGATCGGTTGTACCCTATTCGAGAACTAGAAATAACCAAAAAGAAAAAAGGAGAACTCTTAAAACAACGAACGTCTATAAATATATATTTTCAGTAACAAATACTATCTTTTATCAAACGAAATTTATTATAAGAACATGTCCGACAAAAACAACAAAGACACTATAAGATAACTGTAGTATATTAGCGTTTTAAGTGATATTCTTAAAAATGATGGATGACAGATATTATAAGTCAATTTTTTTTCTATTTCATTAATCATATTTGACATGAAAATTTCATATAATATTAAAAATTTCAATTGAATGTCAAAGATTATAATAGAAGAATTCATTATTTCTATTTTTCTTGTCATTCATGACACACAGTTAGTTTTATTTCTTTTCCTCAAATAGACAAGAAAATTCTTTATTGAAATACATGCATGACGTATATAAATATGAATTATTTTCACCTATATGAACTTTTTTTTTGACACGTTCTATTTTTCTTTGGAACTTTATTATTATGCCAAAAAAAGATAATATAAAAACAGAAAAATTCTCAAAGGAAAAAGTTTTTGCTGAGTTTTTTTTCTATCTTACTTCTGTCAGATGTTGTTTAATCATTAGAAAATTGTCATGTCATCGCTACCTCAAGCCGAAATCCGTTAGACAACAAATTAGTTCAAAACGAATATAACGGTAAAACGACTATAATCATCATTATTTGCGATTACATTCGTTCAAATGATGTTCGTTTACATTGAATAAGACAAAAAAAAAGACGAAAAATAAACTCTCAGCTTTTGTATTCTATTCATCAATCTTTTATTTCGTAGTAAGTATATATTGTTTGTCAATTTCACCGCCCAATTTTTGATTATTTTATCATTTATATGATTTCTGTTTTGCTTTTTATTTAACTGCGCAATAAACCATTGGATTTTTCTGATTATAAAAGAAAACGACGCAAAACTTTTATCCTTTTTCTCAACCAATTCATACATTTTTGACTTCTTTTCATGTTTATAAATTAGATGGAGCTAATAAGATATTTACATCGATGATACAAGAAGCAAAAAAGAATTGTCGATTAGAAAATCAAAGCTTAAAGTCAGTTTACTTGCTCTTTTATATTATTATTATTTAAGAATAATGACCATAAATATCAATACTGAGTTATGCTCTAGAATAAGACGCAAAAATGTTATAATGGAAATGATGACGATCGACCATTACTGACAGAGCACATATGCTCTGTGTAATCAAGATTTGACACATTTCCTCTGATTATCTTTCATTTCTTGTCGAACATCTAAGTTGAACACATTAAGCATTATTTCTTCTATTTGCCTTCGTTCTTTCTATGTCTCTTGTCTCTATCTTAACCTTCTTTTCTGCTTAGAAACAAATAGATACACAAATTGATCACTAATTCAATCATGCGCACATCCTCTATAACATCTATGTCAAACAACAATCCATCCATCAGTGAGTTAATTTAGTTTTATCCTATCATATTTTTAAAAACAGACAAGAAATCTTTCTTACATTATTTCAACAGAATTAAAAGTAAGAACTCGAATGTTTTATTTGAGGCCAAGAAAAAAAGGAATAGTTCTTGTTTTTTCAGTATTGTACAAAATTAAAAACATGGAAACAAACGCCCGAACAGGGGCTCGAACCCTGGACATTGTGGTTAAAAGCCACACGCTCTACCGACTGAGCTATCCGGGCTTGGTATTTTTTCACAGGTTTATGTCTTTTATTAATTACGTAATAGTTGTAATAACAAGAATATTCTTTTCGTTCTTTTATGATCTTATCGAAACGAGAGTTGAATAAATAAAGATAACAAAAAGAAACAAGACATCCGCCCGAACAGGGGCTCGAACCCTGGACATTGTGGTTAAAAGCCACACGCTCTACCGACTGAGCTATCCGGGCGTTGTCTGAAGGCCTTGACTAAGATGCCCTGGTCTTATATGTATATATAATAAAAAGTTATTTTCGAACATTTTAAATCAGACACACATGATCCTTTTTTTTCTCGTTCTTACTCTGATTTCGATTAGAATAATGTTTTTTTTTTATCCAATTCAATTATAGAAATTCTCCTTAATTTTTTCTAAGTTGCATTTTCATAGATAATAACTAAGCAAAGCTCTCATGAGATTATCATCATATAAATTTTCTTTCTCTTTTCAATAGAATGTAAACGTAATAGAGCATTCAGTACAATTTTATGATGTCTTGATGACGTCTTCATTCTCATTTTCCTTCTCTATTATTGTTATGACAGAGACATTGTCATTTTATTTTTAACAATTCTTTTTGTCGTATTTATTATAAACATTCCACAATTCATAGATAAGTCAAACTGATTTGTTTGAATCTTTTTTTTTTCTAATAAAAATCACTCGAAATGATGATATAAGAATTTTATTTTATAAGATTTTGTTACAGAAAGTCTTGTATATTAAATCAGCTAAGCTTCTGCGTACTATTTTAAACATTGGTTCTTCTAGTTAGATAATCATTCATCAAAATCTACGCAAAAAAAACGCATACTGTGTACTTAAAAGTAAACAGGAAAAGGTATGACCTCTTAATATCCGACGTTGAAGTGTTTTTATCAATGATTACTTCATCAAGATTAATACTCTTTGTCATATTTGATTATATTATTTTTTTTCATTGTAACGTACTCAGTAATTCTCAGGATATCTTCTCTCTACATTGATAAGCATGACCTTTACTCACTTAGTTTTAAACGGAAGAAAAAAGTACGTTTGATTTATTTATAGTAAAAGAAAAAATAATAGTAGTATCTCTTTTGTTTCCCTGGGTTTGTAACACATGTTACACGATCTGTATATATATATAGTTATATTTATTTATTTATTTATACATTAAAAAAACGTTGATATGTCTAGTAACAAAAAAGGATTCATTGTTAATGGAAGGTACGTGTTCTTTTTTTTTCTATTTAGATATACAGAATTTCTTATTAAATAATTTTTATTTTGAATTCTTCAAGAATTTTAGTAATTATAGATCGATGACGTCTGTTTTCTATAAAAATTGAGAAATATAAGCCAAAAGTACGCATAGAAAACAAAGCAAAATAAAACAAACATGATAAAAGTGATAGTATTAATAGAAACAGCAAAGAAAAATGAATGCATTATAACACATATGCGCATGCCACAAGAATGCATAATTATCGGGCATATGTTCGTGTATGTACTGTCAGTGTAATACTTTGTCTTCGACAGAACTAGACAAAGACGAAGACATGACGAAAAAAAAAAAGAGAAGAAGAAGAAGAAGAGGAAAACTATCATTAATTTTTTTTTCCTCCTTTCTTGTTCCTATACACTTGTCACTTGTTCTTAGTCTCCCCATATATGAACATTCTATACGTCATTCTATTCTTATCTAGTATAGTTAGTAAAATAGATATTATTTGAAAATAAATACCCTAAGTTTGTATTGATTAAGTTATATTTTATTAGAATATTAATGTAAGATTTATTTATATGAGAAAACAAATTGAACAAATAGAATATAGTTTGAAAACGAAAAGACAAAAAAAAAAGAAAGAATAATTTCTTAGACATTTTTATTTTCCTCATTTCCAAAGAAAAAAGGAAGTGTACTAGTTTTCTCTTGGGAATCAAACGAGAGAGAAAGGTTATCATATATTTTTTGTAATGTTAACTTTCCACACAGTCTTGCCGATATCAAAAACAAAAGAATGCATGTTGAGGCAAGTTTTTTTTCCTTAGGCTATTTCCAAAGCGAACTTAATGATAAAACCATTTATTACTCATTTTTTAGCATAGGTAATTTCCTTCAATTAAATCGAATAATACTCATAGCAATTATATAGCAGACAGAAGTAAATTTCCTTTTGTTTTTTTTTCTAGTCTTAAATCAAAATATGAATTACTTAGAAACATTCTTATAACAGCCTGACATGTACTTATCACGTACAGTTTTGATTGTTTTCTTTTATAATTTCTTTTTTTATTTCTTAATAGATGTATGTCAATGATTGTCAGGCTTGAATTCATTATGGTACAAAATCATTAAAAAGAAATTCTGACATGTTGACAGTTGTAACCTACTTTTTTTTTTGTCATAGAAATAGAAGAATATATTTCAACATCTATTTCGTCAAACTAAATATTAGTTAATTGTTCATCTATTCCAATAGTTTATTTTTAAATTTGACAAATCAATTCAGATGATTATTAGAATCATTTAAATTAATTTTTTGTTTTTATTTTTATATTTTAGACTAAATTAATTTTTAAAAATCATTACGAGATATAAAACAAAAATCGAAATCAATGGAAACAAACAGTGAATTATTACCATTAATATCTGATTCACATGAACGTTTTCGTAGAATACGTGAACTTGGTTCAGGTACATATGGTCGTGTTATGCTTGCATTAGATCGTGATTTACAACAACGATGTGCATTAAAAATTTTACAAAAATCAACAACAAAACATCGTGATTTTCAACGTGAATATAATTATTCATTATTATTATCAACACATCGTTCGATAATAACTACATATGAAGATCGTTGTTTTCAAACACTAGATGCATATATTCTTGTACAAGAATATGCACCATTAGGTGATTTATTTGAATCAATTCCACCACAACGTGGTCTACCTGAACGAGCTGTTAAAACAATTATTAAACAAGTTGCGTCAGCATTAGAATTTATGCATGATAATGGATTGGTATGTCTTTTTCTTGGTTTTTTTTTGTAAAGAGAAAAAACGAAATTTATTGATTAAGACTTATTCCAAAAATAGTCTCATTAATTTGTAATCTAAAACAAAAATAAGATAGATAAATTAAAAAATTATAACGAGAATGATTATTTTTTACTAATGAAATTTACTTTGCTCAATCAAAATGATTGTATATACGTTTAATTCTATAAAACACAAGACACGAATATGATAATTCATTCATAAGTTTGATTCAATTTAAAATCAATAGACACATGATGAACATATAGCAATTATCATTTTCTTTAATATAACTCTATATACTTTTATTCTATCGGATTATCCATACAAATTCATCAGTCTCATTAATTTTAATAGAAACACTTGAATTTAATTTCCTATTACCATTGAGAAAATTCGTATAATAAAATTTACTTTTTTCTTTTCAAATGTATCTTCTTGATTGTGAAATGTTCTTCTTAATTGAAGGAAAAAAATATCTCCATTATGGAAACAAAGAAAAATAAATATACTAAAATGATCAGTGTAGTTAACTCGATTTAAGAGAAATTAATATAACATTTTGTAATATTATTGAAGAAATTAATAATAATATAAACAATTTTCTCATCAATTCATTAATTTCATACTTTACTAATCGAATGATAGCATTATATTCGAATGGAATCTTTTCATTTTTTCGAATAATCTTTTAATATAAATATATTAAATCAAAACAAAAAATAGACAATTAATAAACTTTTTTTCCATGTTTTTAATACCATCATTTTATCTGGAAGTTAAAAAAACTTCGAAGAACATTATAATTAATATTTTCTAACCTAGATTTAAAAGTCGTTTCTAATTAATCAAATATCAATATTTAATAATGAATTATTAGCAAACATTAAGATATTTATAGTTCAATATTTAATATTTTCTTTCTTATTTAAATAGGTTCATAGAGATGTTAAACCAGAAAATGTAATGATCTTCGATGCTGCTTTTCATCGAGTTAAATTAATTGATTTTGGTATGACAAGAAAATATGGTTCATATGTCAGACGTTTAATTGGTAGCATACCTTATTCACCACCTGAAGTATGTAATGCTGTTAATAATGAAATACTTGTATCAACAACTATGGATGTTTGGGCATTTGGTGTTTTATTATTTTGCAGTTTAACAGGTATGAAGATAATGAGATCGATGATTTGTTTGATCAGTAAACAAAAACAAAAATTTTTTTTTTTAGGTAATTTTCCCTGGGAACATGCTCAAGATTCAGATGTTTATTATAATGAATATATTCAATGGCATCGACAATATCCATTACAACGTCGTTATAAACTACCATCACAATGGTATAGATTTAGTAATCGATTAATGAGATTATTTCGAAAAATGCTTGGTAAATAATCTAAATAGATGTTTCTTTTTTGCTGGATTGGAAATAAAAGATTTTGTTTTTTTGTGTCTTTTCTTTAGATCCTGAACCATCAAAACGATGTGGAATAATTGAAATAAGTAAATATTATGATGATCGATGGGTAAATGGTCAACTTAATTCTCGACGACGTTCATCAAATGAAGATGAAGGTGTAGAAGAAGATTTTTCTTCGTCAGGCAGTGGAACTGAAAGTAATACAATAACAACAAGTAATACTGATTTTGAAGAATTAACACAAATGATGAGAAATTCTTTAATTGGTTTTGATAATTTAATTCCTATTGAAAATCAACAATCATTATCAAACATAGCTAAAACTTATTGTTAATCAATTTCACAAGATATTTGTAGTTATTCATTCCGAGTGCAATTACTATTTTATACACACAGTGAACATTTAGTAGTAAAACAGTGTGTATCTATAACAAATGGCTTTTTGTCAAATAGAATTCCGTCCATTGTATATTTCACACTAAAACTGTCTATTATTATTACTATTCTTGCTTTTTCTTTCTTTGTTCAACTGTTCACGCATATATCTTCTATGTTATAAATTTTGATGGGTATATTAAATAAACGCTAAAGAAAACAAAAACCTAAATGAACTATGAATATCGATTTACTATTAATATTAAATTATCAATGATTTTAATAGTATTAGAATAAAATAAAGAATTATTTAATAAAACAAAAATGCAAAAAAAGAAGAATTGTAAGTCTTTTGTTATATCTCAATTAAAAGGCAAAATATTCAAAGATATCAAATTCATTTTACAACGAATAAAAACAGAAAATTTTATAAATCAATGTAATACTTAGTACTTGCAAAAAATAATTTGAAAAGATTTTTCTTCTTTCGGAATATAATTTATTTATCTTATATTTCTATTTTGAATAATATATTGAACATATTCGTTTATCGAATGTTAATCAATAACGTTAATTTTGTTAAAAATCTAGCAGCTTCATACTAACAATACAATGTTTACTCAAGGGGATTTTATTGGCACTTTTCTCCAGATAGATTTCAAGGGGTTAATGATATTAAAATATAATAAAAGAGAGTGTAGAGTTAAATATAGAAACTATTCATTGATACAATATGCATAGTTTTAAAAGAAAACAATTGTCTTCAATCATATGAAAGAAAATAACTTGAGTATGAAAGAACATAAAAGAAAATAATAAATCATTCTTATATTCATATTCAATCTATTGAAGATAATATTTTGTCATTCATTCATAATTAGATTTATAAATTTTAATTACTATACGAAAAAATTGATAAATTTTATTGAAAAAAGTATTATAATAATTTTCCATTTTTAGTCTACTCCCTTGAGAGATAGAATAATAAAAGATTATACTAATAACATAATCTATATACACATATAAATTGTTACCCCTGATAATCTTCTTAAAGAATAAATTACGAGGCCATTTTTTTTTCTTGACATACTTCTTATATTAATTAATATCCTTTCAAATTTTCTCTTATGTAAACATCAAAGGTGAACACCCGAAAGCTTTTTGTTTTGTTCTATTGCCTTACTTCATCCTGGTGCGTGATAGAACACGATATTATTTTTAGCTTCGTCCTCGCCTGCAGGACAGTAGAGATTCTGATTATGACTTTCGATTACCAAAATACATGAGTTTATTAATTATCTTATAGCTAATTTATTTCAAATAATAACTAAAGTCTTCAATAAGGATTAATATTATGATACAAAAAAAAAATAATATCTTGAGTTATTTTAATGATATGCTCATCATAAGAAATAAAAATTATGAATTTGTCAGGTTTTTATCATCATTATTTTAACACATAGTGGATGCTATCAATAAAGCAAATAGACGATGCAAAAAATACTTGATGACAAAAATGATACAAAAAAAAAGAAAATAACATACAAAACTCAAAAAAAAACAAATATTTTTATTAAAAAAACAATTTTATTTTGCACTGTCCTTATCATTAAAATGTTATCCAACTGTTTAGAATTAAGATTAGTTCTTCTTTCTTGTATAAATAGATCAATTCCAGAGAATTGTCTCTCTGCATTACGTATTTGATGTAGCAAATATTGACTGAATTGATCGGGCATATCAAGACAAATGGAGGAATTTGTTTTAATGCTTCTTTCAAAATGGCAAAGGATTATATTCTAGTCTAGATTTATCAAGTTTTAAATTGGGATACTGATCAAATTTGTCGGCTTTTCTACCACAAGATGAAACTACTTCTATTTCTTCTTCAACACCAAAACTGCTTGATTCAAATCAACTAAGTAATTTTTTTAATTAAAAATTTTCCCATGTAAAGGTTTATCAACTTGTTATTGATCTGATTCAGAAATGAATACAAGACAACTTTTTCTATCTTGTCTTGTGCTCAGCTCTAGTAACAATACTTACAAGGGAAACATACCCAACTGTCGAACGTTGTTCGACCTCATGTTATAGTTACAAGTAGATTCCTACGAGGCAAAGAAAAGCTTAAAAGGATTCGAGCCTATGACATACTCATGTAGAGTTATGGCTACTTCTATGAAAATTTTACTGACGAGGTAATATATTTAGGTGCCCCCTTCAGAATGAACATGAGATCTAGCCTATCTTGTAGAGAATTTTTTACAGATTACAATTATCGATATCTGAGCTGCCACCGATCAAATATTTAAAAACACTCGAAGGACGTATAGACGAGTATTTTCATAAAAAATACTTGTCTATATATTCCTCAGATTTTTTCATGCGTTCTATTGATGGCAGCTAAGATATCGATATTCGTGATCAGCAAAATATTCTCTACAAGATAGACTAGGTCTAAGCCCGTTTCTAGAACGGACAATTGGATATATTACCTCATCGGAGCAAGTAGAATCGAGTTGCAACCTATTGTTTTTTCCTTACTGGCACCGGTCTAAACAGATTAGACCGGCATGAATCATTCTTCAATTACTTTCTAACCATGTAATAGTCAAATCAAACTCTCAATTAGTTATATCTGCCTCTTTATCATCATAGTAATGTGTTAAGAGCCCTGGCTCACTATTATAACTTTTTCACTATCTATTTCCATAAGTTCTCTCTCTGTCAGTATCAATCGACGAATAGAAAACTTCATAGAACTAAAAGTCTTTTCTAAGCTTTGCACACTGTCTAAATGCTCGTTAGACATGGACATTCATAATTAACTGTATACTTGATTGCTGGCAATTTTAGAAACCAGTTAACATTTAAGGAGCTGTTGTATGAATACATTGTAGAGTGTCTTGTCTATAATAATATATATAGTAGCTCTATTTTAGGTTTAGTTCTAATATTCTTTCAGATAAAATTCAATTTCAACAAAAAACAAAATTTGAAAAATGGATAATGAATTCGATCGATACTATATTAAAACTTCGGATTCTGTTTGGAATTGATGCCAAGACAGTTCACGAACGACTTATAACAGTATTGAGGCCTAACGCTTCATCATATCGAACATTTGCAAGAGATGTAAATATTGAAATGATAAGACAGATGATCAACAACGATTTACCTTTAACTTATGATGATATTATAGTTAAGACTACTTTCTCTCTTGCATGATAAAATAAAACAAATTATCCATGATTGTCTAAAGATGAGAGAAATTATATAACGTTGGGTACCTTATCAACTTAATGATGAATAAAAGTATGAATTAGAACTGGTCGTGAGATTTTGACGAAATTTCGTGATAGATCATGGATTTATCGTAGACAGGTTAATACGCAAGTCAACTAACACAAGCTAGACCAATGAAGGTGAATCACCAACGACTATGGTTTGTTGAAATCTATTTGAACTAGAAAACTTTGTTTTCCATATTCTCAAAATCAAACGATTCTGTTCGCATACATAGTGTAGATAAAGGTAAGACTATAGATTACAACTATTATATTGAAAATTATCTTAAATCTGTTGTCAATGAAATATGGAAATCAAAAAAGTCATCAGGTGGAAAAGGTATAAAATTACTTCATGACAATGCTCAATCTCATACTCATCGAGATACTATTAATTATCTAACACGAGAAGGTATCAATTTAATGCTGCATTCACTGTTTTCATTAGACCTTGTACTATGTGGCTTTTGACTAAATGATTATATTTAGCGTCATTTAACTGATTAAACCATTGAAAACTGGTTGACTCGTGCAGTGTTCAAGATAGTCAAAAATATTCCAAAAGAAAAGTTTAAAAAGCCATTTGACAAATTGTTAGAAAATATAGAACTTTGTATAAATAATCATGGCAACTAACGTATGATATAAAAGTAATGGAACAAACATCGGACCCTATTTTTTGTAGTTGGAAAAGTACTGAACGAAAACTTCTTTAATCAAAGGATAGAGCTTTTTCTCCTCTTTCGAATCGTATATAACTTATTTTTATAACATGTTCATAGACAAAACGACGCAACATAAAAGACAAGTACCCTTAAAAAGCGTCCGTACTTTTTCTATAAAAGAACCGCACTAAATGTCGATCCATGCATCTCTTTAATAAATAGGTTCTGAAAAGAATATTTTTTCATCACTTGATAGAAAATTTTCTCCTCTGCCGAACAATGTATGATTCATATTTATTGCACACTAGTAAGTGAAAAAAGACAAGAAAAAAGAGAAACACTCACGGAATAAATTTGTAATTTTTATATGAATTTGTCAAAAACGTCTTGTAGACGACAGTTAATTATAATTAACTGTTGTTTTACAAGATATTTTTAACGAATTCATAAAAGTTGAAGTAACCCCACCGTTTTACGCAACTTTTTGAATGAATCCATAAAAATCAAATTAATTTGTTGTCTACCAGGTTGTTTTTGACGAATACATTTATATCATACATTGTTTGAAAGAGAAGAAAATTTCCTATCACACTAATAAAAAAAATATTCTTTTCGAAACGTGTTTATCAAAGAGAAACAGATATCAACATTTTGTGCTGTTTTTTTGAATCACACGGAAAGTGCGAATGCTTTTTAAGGGTGCTTCTCTTTTCTATTGCGTCGTTTTGTCTATGAACGTGTTATAAAAATAAGTTATATATGATTCGCAAGAGGAGAAAAAGCTCTATCTGTTGATTAAAAAAGTTTTCGTTCAGTATCTTCCCAACGAAGAGAAATAGGGTCCGACAATTGTCCTATTACTTTTGCATCATACCTTGTTGTAAACATCTAATAAAATTAAAAAAACTCAGAAAAATCTAAACCAGGCGGTAAAGAATTCTCTACCGAAGCGGATCGGCTGTTTACCGTTACCAGTTACAACACTGAAGCAGAAACACATTAATCCCATAAATTTTGCCCCAAGCATGCTATCCTTTCAGAATCTAAAACGACTTATTCCAGTCAAGCTTTTCGGTTAGACTTGACACTCTTGGATTGCTCTGCTGGTAGTGGTTACCTGACTTTGCTAGATACGATTAAAATATATCAGAATTGGCTAAAAATTCTGAATTTTCAATCAACTTTAGCAACGCCTGTAAATAGATCCATTCAATGTGATCAAGTCTAACATGGAAATTTGGTTGGAATTAGTGTATCTCTACGCACAAGGCATTTTCGAAAAACCTAAAACAGAGCTTCGAGCTGGAATTTAGTCTATAGAGACGTTTCAAAGTCCTGCAAGTTTCAACGAATATGTGTCTTTCTTGAGATATTCTATGTTCAAATAGGTATGATTACTATATCCTTCTGTGGTCAACCGTTGGTTTTTTTTTGAAAATTAAATATCTCGAGAAAGATATATTCGTTAAGACTTTCAGCACTGTAAAACGTCCCTCTAGACAAAATTTCAACTTGAAGCTCTTTTTGTTTTACATTTTTCGAAAACTACTTGCTCTTAGTACAAATTCCATCAAAACGGTCGTAACTCGTCATTAGTAGGCGATGAACTTGATTCCTTCTAAGCTTTTCTTAGTACCATCGAAATCTATTCGTCGCTATTTTATGAAGTCAAACGGCGTCTGAAAGTTGAATATATTCGCTCGTAAGATGCATTTACTTCAAGCATATATTAAATATACCCAAAAATATTGTTACTTTGAACTGAAGTAGCTCCTCTTTTCTTTTTTTCTCTTTCGTTTTCATGATGTTGAACAGATAAGAAATAATAAAAAGTTAAGTTTGCACAAGAATTTCATAAAAACTTGAATCGGAATGATAATTTACTGTTTAATTTGAATAACATACACTCATAAAAATAGTCGTTTTTTATTTTTTTTTATATCGAACTTCTTTTTAGAATTTTATCAAGTTGAAGATATGATCTTTGTAAAGCAGTATTTTCATCAATTTCAGTTTTTGTTTTTAATGAATCAAGAATTTGTTCTCGAAGTGATCGTATAACAAACATTTGTGGTTGTATTAATGTTGGTTTTTGATGATGTAATATATTTTGATGTTTACGTTTAAATTTTGTTTTCCATGATGTTGGTATACATGATGACAATGATGGTTGAGCACGACATGAACATATTGATAAATCACTTGTACTATGACCCATTGTTATACGTTGTGCACCAACAGGTCCAAGTAATGATGGTGTATCTTCATCATCTTCTAATGTAACAAGACGACCATTGGATGATATAACATCACCAACAACACGAACTTGTTGACGACGACGTTCTTCCATTTCATATCGTTCATGTTGTGAACGTTTTGTATTCGTTTCAACAAAACGTAAAATAAGTAAATTACCACTTGATGCAACAATTGTTAAACCCGTTAAAATAAATATTATACAAAATAATATATACAACCAATCAATATGTCCATAATCTTCCTTTTGCATAGGTACTAAATCTCCAAAACCTATTCATGAATAAAAAAATTTCTCGGGTAAAAAAAACAACAACAACAATAACAACAACAAATATTTACATACCAATTGTTGTTCTAAAATGAAAAAACAAAAACAAAAATTAAAATATTTATATCAATGTTCTCGTTGAAAAATTCAAATTCAATAAAATACTAATTTATCTTTGACAAGAAATTTATATTTTTTATTATTCGTAAAATTAATCTTTTAGAAATTTGATATTGTCATAAAATACGTTAGAGATGTCCAAACATAGTTAGACTGAATCCATTAGATTCATCATGATTCTGACTGTTGAATTTCCAGACACTCAAATCGCGTGCAAATTCATGTAATTTCACAATCTTCTGAAAAAAGAAGCTGCTGTTGGTGTCACCATGGACGTTTCTGCAATATGTTTGAAGTTTCAAAATAATAATGAGACTTCATAGTTCAATCTTCTACTGAAGATTAAATTGAATAATTTGTCAAAAACAAAAAAGTGTACGTTGAAGTGATTTTATACTCAATTTATAATTCTACTCGGAAGAGAAAATGATCAAATAAGAAGGGCGGCCATGATTGAGTCGCTACGTCGTTCGATAGGTATCCAGAAAAAGAACTGTGTTCAAACTTGGATATCAACAGCGATGGAATGATCCTGAACAACTTAATAACGGTTGTTTGTCTTAGATCACTCGTCCGATACCATGCTGACTACGCGATGACAAACGCCTGCTCTTAAGGTAATCTAGTGTGTATGAGAAGTTCAAGCAATTGAGCACACGAACTCTAAGTCAGACTGCTCTTCTAGCTAAGACTACAGCTGTCATTAGTTATAGAGAAGATATCGGCATACTAAATCTGCTACTAGGCAGTACTCCATAGCTCAAGATAACCGAAAGGCACAGGTATTCTTTCTTCCAAATAAGAATATCCTGAAATAGGAAAAAGTATAGTGCTTTTGAGGTTTAAGACAAAACTAAAAAGATTGATTGATATGAAGATTGGGCTTTCGCCATATCTTTTTCGCATTTGTACGTTATAATCTTCTAGAATAGGTTTACATTTTTAAACTTTTATATTCCACTGTATCGAAAAAAAAAAGAATTTGACACTATTTTTCAAATTTGAAATCCATGTTTAGTATTGACTTTATTTTTCTTCTACATTTGTAAACGATATATGTCTACAAAAATTTTAATAGACAATTAAACATATGATTGTTTCGATTCGAAAAAGAACACGAATCCATCTCGTCTCTACTAATAATCAAAATCAAATCGATTTCATACTAACTACTTACAATGTTAATAAACAATAATAAAATGCATCAAAATATCGCCAACTTTCATATCGATGAAATACATAAGATCCTGTTGCAAGTGTTAATACAGTTAATAATGCTTCACATGTTAATAATTCCATAGCTGTTATTTGTGGTTCTCGTTTACGTTTAATACGTCTTTTAATATGTTTCAAAACAAATCTTATTAATGAATTAAGTCGTTCACCAACACTTTGAATCATAATAAGCCACATTGGTATACCTATTAATGCATATGCTATTGTTACAGCACGTCCAGCTTTTGTATGTGGTATAGCATGTCCATAACCTATTAAAGCAAGTACAACAGTTGCATAATAAAATGAACCAATAAATTTCCATTGTTTTTTACGATAATGTAAACGTAATTCAACAGTTCGAGTTAAATTTATAAAATCATTATCACTCAAATTATGTTGTTGTTGAAATATAGCAATACGTGCTGTTAAATTAGCATGTCGAATAGCTTCTTGTGTTGATTCTAACCTATCGAATATAGCTGCACCAATAACAAGATAAACAAGTGTTGTAACAACATAAGCTAGGGTACGATAATTTTGAATACGAAATGGTGTTGATGGTGGTGTTAAAATAATATCCGAACTATTTGGCCTAGTGATTATAAATTAGACAATAAATATAGAACATATTTAGAATATATATTTAGTTACATACATATTTGTTTAGATAATTACGTCATACTCAATGACTCTTATATATTTATATATAATATAATTTGATTGATGACTGGATAACAAAAATAATCAAATATACTATGTTGTGACAGCTGGTATCTAAAAAGAGAGCAAACTATATTTAACGAAAGACAAATGAAAGCACCCATATTCATTCTTTCATAATAATCCATTAGTAATTCTATATCATCTTAAAACTGAGAGCGTCGTATAAATATCAAGTAACAAATTGCGTTGTTAATCGAAAGAAAAACTGAAACCATAGATAACATTTATCGATTAAGTAATATGTAAACAAAAATACCATCATTTAGATATATCTATATATGTATATGTAAGAAAACAAAAACTCATATATTCATATGTAACTTTATTTGTTATGTATATCTGTCAGATATATTTGTACATAATGTCAACATAAAGAACGACGAAAGATTTTTTTTAAAATCAATAAGCTTTTCCATTTCAACTTAGCTTTTTTTTTCTTCTTTCATTGATCACGATAAAAGAAATGATATATAATCGAATATATTGGATTAATGTGCAAATTGAAAAAGAGCCTATCATACTTATCGAAAAAGAAAATTGGAAAATTTCGAGATAGTCGTAATCATTATATATTTTTTTCTTCATCTTCTTTTATATCCTATTAGAAAATTTTTTCTCAGCATCATCATTCGGTCTCTTTCTTCTAGGATATTGTCCGATTGCAAATTCTATTCAATGCTTATCACGGTTCGATCACCACCAATCGATCATAATCCAATAAAATAAACTTAAGAAGCAACACAAGGAAAAAAAGAAGAAGAAGAGAATGACAACGAACGAAAAAAAAAATGAACGATGGCTCGTGACATATCCCTCTTTTTCTCTCTCGTTCGGTGCTAATGATGATCGATGAGTGAACACAAGCGGCAAATGTCTTCCGACACGCGCATGTAACTGCAAAAAGAAACATGGAATAAAACTTCAACAACTGTCAACTCAACGAAGAGTGAAAAAAATGAATAGAAGCTAAGGCACCGTCCTTATCAGTGAATGATCAAAGCAATGAAGACATTGTCGTCAATAGACAGAACAATACTCTAAGTGTATACATGTATATATATATTTATTTATTTATTTATTATTATTATTATTATTATTATTGTTTCATTCAACCACATCCGTTAGGCGGATGCTCTGATATGTTTGATTCAATGCTGCATACTCATATTATTAATTGGAGCGCAAATCAATAGAGAACAACAAAAAAAAGAAGTCAAACTCACTTGGATAAATCAGCCAAAACAACATACCACTAAATAAAAATAAAAAAAAGAATTGAGATTTACTACGATTTTCTTTTTCGTTCTATATGCCTATTGAAAGGAAGAATTGTTTTCGAACAAAAACAGGATTATATAGTAGAAAATGATTGAGATATATAAATTTGTTGTATATCTATGAAGTTTTACATGAATGGATACTATTATTTCTTGCTATTTGCTTGTTTCCTTTTTCCATTTCTATCTTGTCTTCTAGTCTATCTATCGGCATGTGTTATACAATGAAACGAGACGATAAGAAAAACGACATTCATTACTTTATCTGTCTCTCTCTCTCTCTCTCTCTCTCTCTCTCTTATATTCCCTCTTTCTTAGCACTCATCAAACAAATACTATCTAAAGAGAGAGAGAGAGAGAGAGACACTAGAATGACATGGAAAATCTTTTTCTTTTTTTTTTCTTAAATGAACATGCAACAATAACACAAACTAATAAAAGCAAAGAAAGATAGTTTTCTATGATTGCTTTCCATTATTATTATTTCCCAAAAATTGTCGAGTATTGGTCTTATATATGTGAACGTCAGCAACAATATAAGAAAAAGAAAAAAAGACATAAGAATTACTATAAGAAAGCAAAAAAAATTATAAGAATGATGAATGTATTTTCTTCTAACGATTTCGTTTCGATTTGCCAGATATGAGTGTCATTATTTAACAATAAAACAGATAGTCTCAAGTGGCAAACATAACAACAAAAAAAAAAAGAGGAAGAAGAAATACTTTAATCATTGACAAGCAATTCCTAATATTTGACAAGTTCTTTTAAAAAATAGTTTTCTTGCAAATTGATATAATTCAATATCATCATTGTTTATTTGTCTTATATGATTTATATCACTAGATGTTAAATTTTTTCCTATATAATCATATGTTTGATTATTAAGAAAATTTTGTTCAAGATATAATTGAAAAGAACATGTACGATATAATTTACAATATGTTGTTTGTTCAAATAAACGTTGACTTAAATAAAGATATTCAGTTAAACCAAAAAATTCCATTGATTCAAGATTTTTTTTAGCTGTTTTTATATTAATTAAATTTGAATATGTAAACGATGGTGATAAACAATTATTTATTGATGATGATAACATACGTGTTTGACGATTTATAGCTGAATTAAATGGACATAAAATAAAATCCGTTAGATTTGTATCTAATTAAAATAATAATGAAAACAAAATTCGTTTTTTTTTTTTTTGTTGATTTAATATTACTTTTCCAACAAGCACTTTGATTTCGAAGTTGTTGAGCTTTTTGACATGATAATCGTTCTGAAAGCCAAGTTGCTCCACGAAGTGTATGAAGATATTCACTTATAAAACGTGCGACAGGTTCACGAAGAAGTGTTGCATAGATAAATCTAAATATTGAATATTTTCAGAAATCTTTTAATAACTCTAGCTTAAAACTACATAGTTTTAATGACATAAGAATTCAAATTATTATAAATATTTTCGAAGTTAAAACAAAAATTTTTCTCATGAGGATATTTTTAATATTATAATTTTCTATTGAAAAACTGGTGTTTTTTTGCTTTGTAAAAGAAATCGTATGCATCTGTCGATAAACCTAACATATAAATATGGTTTTGTAATAGTTAAAAAATAATTAATAACATTTTGAAAAACATATCAAATCACGTAATAGACTGGAATGAAACAACAAACAGAAATTCTTAAATCATAACATACAATAATTTTCAATATATTATTTCTTTATCTTCAATAATACTAACATTAATTTGTAGAATGTTAATTAACTGATTATGATAACATATTTTAAAATTATTTTCATCATATTAAATATTTTAATTTTTACTTATCAAATTTTCAAATAGTTTAATTAGATTTTCTATCTTTTTCAAAAACAAAAACAAAAACGATTGCAATATATTAATTGTTTGTAGTACTGATAATAGACAGATTCATTATGAAAATTAGAGACAGATGAATTGTTGTCAACATATGCCGCCTATCTACAATATAAGCCATGAAGGTTATATTCTCTGTGATTGTTTATTCATACAATTGACATGTAAACTGACAGCTGGAAACGAAAATAAAAACTCACATATGTAGCTCTTTCCTTATCTAGATAATGAAAAAATGTCTTAATTTTAGTTCATACAGTTGCTTTTGTCACTGAATAATTTATTTCTTATTTATTTCGATCACCTGTTTCTGTCGTCATTAAAGATCATTATACTATTCTATTGTTTTTGTTTGTATATATGATATATGTAACATAGTTACTGTTCATTGGTAACGAAAATTTCTCAAGTGTTTCTTGTCTTTTCAACTTACAAAACCAATAAAATTAATTTCTCTAATTAAACCATAGATAGTTTCTATTTAAAACAGGCAAAAGAACATCTTTATAAAAGTATAACAAATTATTGAATTTAAAATATTCTAAACTTCAATCATTAGAATTTTCATAATGTAGATTATGTTTTTCAAAACTACAATGTTCAAATTAGTTTACTAAATATTCATGTGATTCAAACCGAACAGTGCGTTATACCGGCGGTAGTATGCACAGCATGAGTAGTAATGAATTTATTTTCATCATGTCTTTGTCAATTTTATAACTAAATATTTGATTTCTTGAAAGTTTATTTTTAACTAGATTTGATATCAATAGCAAGAGTCGATAATGACAAAATCTAGTTATTGTCGTTCATTAATTTACGTACTTTCGTTCGTGAAAACCATATTCAAAATTCATTTTTGGTGGTAAACATCGATGATAAGTAATCCAATCTGCATGTACTCCACACCACCATCCAACACTAAATCGACTAATAAGCCATGGTTCATTATTTTTTAAACAATTACATTTTAATTTAATATTTATACGTTTAGTACGGTTAGAACGCGATATTAATGGACATCGACAACTTGGCTCTGTTCCAAAATAAAGTCGACGAACAACTGACCGTTCAAATTCGGAACCAGCTGTTTTTTGTATATGAATAAATACTAATATTACTCTAACATTTTGTCTTGTATTATTTGTTAAAAATTCTAATTGTTGTTTTAAAATACTACTTAAATAAGTACAAATGATGAGAAAAATAAATACAAATGTTACTAATTTCCACTTGACCATTCGCACACATAAGCCAGGGTAAAAAACGGAGACGAAGAAGAAGAAAAAGAAGAAGAAGGAAAAAAATAGTCTAGTCAGCACGAATCATGTATAGTGGCATTGTTGACCGACATGATTGCTCTTCCTTCTCTATGGACGGCGAAAGAGATAGCGAGGTCAATGGGAAAAAAGATGTGCAAATACATCTGTTCCTTTCATTTCTATTTAATCATTTATCATCTGTCTAACAACGAAAACAGAAAAAAAAAGAAAACAAGTTTCATGTTGAATTCAATTACTTGACATCTATAACAAATAAGAAAAAAAAACAACCTTTCTCTCGAAACTAAATTAAAACGGAAATTGTTAGTTCTAGGTATTCTTGCATATATATTTACCCTAAGGTTTTTATTATCAAGGTCTGGTATTATATCCCCTTGTAAAAGAAAATAATATCAACTAAATGCCACTTATTACTGATATAAGCCTAATTTTTTTTTTTTTTTTTTTTTTTTTTTCTTCAATAACACAACATTTTACTGAATGACAAATATACAAGAATTAATTAGATAAATAAAAACAAAACAAAACAAAAAACATTTAAACATGATCATAATGACTTCGAACAGGTGAATTTTTACGAATAAAACCATTCAACATTGTATCTTGATGTCCATTTGTTGTTATAAATCGATGACTTTCTTGACGCTGTTGTTGTTGTTGTTGACGTTTAATACTACGTAATGTCGATGATTGAGGTGTCTAGATATAAATTAAAATAAAAATAGAAATTTTAAACATCGATAATGCATTTACTTCATGTCGATGTGGTGTTGTTTGTGCATAATGCGAATTCGTAGATACTGGTGCATAAATTGTTGGTGAATTCATACAACATGGTGACCAAAGGCAAGATATAACAGCTCCAATCATTGACAAAAGTGCTTGAACAAGAGCTAATGTAAATGTAATTAAAAGTGCTAAATTAGCAAATGTTGATGGTTCATCAAATGGTACAAGTGTACGTCTAATCGAATAATTATTTTATTATTAAAAAAATAAAAAAAAGACTTTTTTTAATAAATTAAACATACGTTGAAATTGTTGTTGTAGATAGAATAGTTTTATAACGATATGATGATATTGTTTGCCAATATTCAAGTGTATGCACAATAAGAAGACCTACATATATTGATGATGAAATAAAACTAATCATTGATGATATACAAATAATTATTGTCTATATATATAGAAAAAATTATTTTATTTAAGATAATATTTGAATTTTATTCGTTTATTTTTTGTTTTACCATAGCTCGTCGTTTAAATAACGCATAGATGACACAAGCAACAAACGGGATAATTGCCTATAGAAAAGAGAGAAAAAACAAAATGAACAAGATATTTATCATGTTTCTAATTACGAATATTAAAATGGGTAGAGTAGAATTAAACACAAGGGAAAAGTGTGATTATAATATGAACTATGTACATGTTTTTGATTGAAAGAAAATAACCTCCGGATGTATGATAATGCATTTCACACTTACACATATGTCATAGATTATTCTATCAAGCAAAAAAACAAAATTTTATTTTTATAGGAATAAAATTCAAAAAAAAAAATTTATCAATTCAATTAAACGATAATAAGAGACAATGAATAATTTTCATTTCTCAATGATATTTGATTTGTCTATTGAATATAAATATATTAATTCGTTTGATAGAACAAAGAAGAAATTTAATTTAAACTAAATAAATGAAGAATTTATTTTATTTAACAAGATTAATAAAGGACAATGAAGATTTGTTCAATTTTAGTTAGTATTCACCACACGTGACATTTTGACATGCTTTATATCCACCTCTTCCTGTATATATATATTCTATAAGAATCAATTCATTTGATAATCACTCTTCTTTTTTTTTGTCATGAAAACTTACTAGTGAAGCTGATGGATAAATATACCATAAATGAATATCAGCTATAGTAAATGTAGCTGGAAGAAAACTAAGAATATTGATATTATTATTATGATGAATAGTTTTTGCAATAATATATCGATGACTTAAAGTTACACAGATTTGTGCCAAACCAGTTAAAAATAAAAATATTCCATATATAAGTAATGTTTCAGCTTGAGCAACAAATGGATAAGAAAACTTGCGTGGTGTCATTATGTGTACGAGTGAAAATGAAGATGAAAAGAAGCAAATGCAATAGTTGTCGTTGTTACTTTGCCTGATCTCATTTAATGAACTTTTTTTTTTCCTCTGAGTGACTGTCTTTCTTCTTGCGTGTGTATAATGAAAGAGAAGAGAGAAAGAGAGAGGGAGAGAGAGAATAGTCGCTCAGTCTAAAGAAATAGCTGAACGAGAAAGAAAGAAAAAGAGAATAGAGCTGAGACTGATTTGTCAAGAAGTAAAAGCAACAAGACAGATTTTTATCTACAGTCGAAGTTGAACTTGTGTAATGGTTCAAGAGAGAAGAACAAGCTAAGAACAATTGGAAAAAAAAGGAAGAATTATTATTATGCTTTCTTTTGCTTTAAGAGTAGAATGTGTTTCCATCAACTTCAACGTTCATCACAAAAGGTGACAAGGACATAATATATATATATATATATATATATATATTACGTATATTTTGTTAAAGAAAGAAAAAGTATCGGAAATATTATCAATAGGTTAAAGATGTTGACACATATTCATCAATCATGATCAATCAATATTTATTAGTCTCCATGACGCCGCCTGTTCGATGACCCTTAGTCTAATGACTTTCATACGCGTTAGTGAATGATATGTTTACGTATACTTAGGAAAGAATGTCATATTAGAAACAACTGTCATTAATCAGAGTTGGCTAATTTTAATGGTTCAAAGACATATATATATAACAAAGAATCATTTCATGGAAAACTCCTATATTCGTGATTTACAAACAAAAAATAAGACAAACAACTTTAAAGTTATATAGTAATTTTAGAATGTCAGAGAAGATTAATTTCCTTCTTTTCAGTTCAATTGAAATAAAAAAAAAAAGAAATGCATTTTCTTTTTTTGAAGAAGATACATTGTGTCACGCAAATAGCTTCTTGACAATTGAATTCATTAGACGTTCTATATTATGGTCAGTTAACTCTTAATTCAAATGGTGAAATTTTGGTTTTAATGAAGCCATGATTCTTAAGATTTTTTTTTATTACTGAATGTCACATAATCAAGTTTTTTTTTGTTAGAATCTAAATTTGATTCATCTTAAATTATATAATCAATATTACAAAGTGTTGTTTCGAATATTATTAGTAAGAAAAAAAAAAGAAAGAAATATCTTTATAATAGACAGTGTGTCCTACTAACCTCAACAGTCATCTTTTTGGCCTCTTCAAAGGAAACCATTATATAATATACAAGCAATTAGTTTTTTCGTTTAATTTAACACTTACTCAATGACAATAGATATCCTTACTGTTACTTTATTATGTTTTCTCGAAACTAGGTTTTTTTAGATATATTAATTTCAAAAGAAACCGATGCTTATGTTTACTTACGACAAAGTCATGTTGACAACTATTTTTTATGAATAACATTGAATGTGTTGTCTTTTGTCATCCTAATATTGATTATTAAGTAGACTCATGTTATTCTTGATTACATATGATGTATAGTGTGATAGTAAAATCAATGCAAATCTTTCATTTTGTATGCATTCTAATGCGTCTGTTGTATAAAAGAAAAAGTTTTATTTTAAAATTACTATTATATAAATATAAGCTCACGATCAAACACCACTATCAGTCGTGGTTTCAACTTTAACTGTTGAGAAATTAATCATAAACAATGTCTATTTATGTTACCTTTCTTTTTTATTTCGAAAAATAATTTTTAATTGAAATTTATCAATAAAAACTATCATGATTTCAAAGAAACAAAATAATAAAATAGATGATTTTATAGAGTAGAATGATAAAACATAATATGAAATTTTCATTAATGCTTAGATGATTTTTCTGCGAATCTAAAATATTTATGTTCACAATTGAACGTTAAAGATTAAATTTCAAAATAAAGAGAAGAATGTCAATGACATACTTTGTCAACATTGTACAAAATTTCTTTTTATCAAATTTACTTCAATGAAAGGATTCTCTGTAAATTTATCTACATACTAAATAATAGATAGGTTCAAACACTAAGCTTAGATCAATCGTTGTTTGTTTAATATTATCATTCGTTGTGTTCCATTCTCTTTTAAGCAAACATTTTCTTCGGAAATAAATCCTGAAATAACAAACCAATTTCAAATGACCATATTACATATGTTATTAGATTTATAAATCTAATAAAATAATTTTTATCAACGGGAAAGGAATAATTTTTTTGTTAATAACATTCTTCAACGGGTAAAAATCAATTTAGTTGGTTTTTCTTTCAGCATCTCGATAAACGATCACACTAGAGTTAACGACATCACTGCATAAGAAGATAGTTTATTTATTTCTTCATTAATTTATTTTTTAGAAATCTTTTTTAGCATCTTCTAGTTGTACATATATATTAGTGTCGACGATATTATCGGAGGTTGAATAGCTATCACTCTATTTGGCATGATTTACTGTCGATATATAAGTTACTTTGGTGAACGATGGCTTCAAAAGAATATTTCATTGAAAGTAATACTGAATATCTAATAAAAAGAAAAAACTATATTTTTAAAATGTTTATGTATGCATTATTTATTATTGTTGATTGTGCAATTGTACATATAACAAAAAACAATTTTTTTTTGTAACGAAATTCATAACAAATATTAATCATCATCTAATTCTATAATAGGGATGTTATTTTGAATCGGTGCTGAAACTTCTTGTTCAGTTGATTCTAAAAGAAAACACAAATAAAAATGAGATGATATATTTTTCTTTTTTTCCTTTTTAATCTCTGTAATCGAATGAAAACTTACTCGTACATATTTGTTCATCATCTAAATCATTATCAATTGATTGATCCATATCAATGGAAGACTTTCCATTATTTATATTTTCAGATTTATATATTTCTTTTTCACGTTGTGCTTTTCGTGAAAGTTTTTCTTCTTCAATAGGTTTCCATTGTCCATTTATTTCATATTCAATAGCTTTTACATTCAATGGACATTTACTAATAATATCAATAAAAAATTGATCAATAAATAAATCTGTATATAGTGCTGATTTATTACATACAGGACAAAGCCAAGCTTCAATAGACAAAACAAAAATAAATAAATAAATATAATTCAAAAATAAAACATTTGTAATTTTATTTACTTGGTTTTTTTTCATTCATACGTAAATAACCCTCTAAATCAAAACAATGAACATGTTTACATGTTGTTGCTCGTCCAGGCAGTCTCATTCGTATACGCGTTGCTGGACATTCAAGTGGTAATCGAAGTGTCGTTGATGCTACTTCAAGATCATCATCATCAATTCCGTGTGAAGTTTGTTGTACTGATAATGTTTGAACTATAGTACGTTGTGTTTCAATAGATGGTCGAATTGCTACAGGACGTGAAATTCGTGCTAATAATTGTTGAACTGTTTTACGTTCAGTTAAGTAAACAGCAGCAACATAAGGTGGCAATGGACTTGCACTATCCTGTGTAAACCAAGATATTTCGACTAGATTAGATATTAATGGACATAAACGACAATATTCTGTTATATCTATTGGTCGACCTAGATAATAATAATGATATTAATTTATTGAAAAATAACTAACAAGAACATTGAATTAGAAGAAATAGCTCTAGTGAATTATTAAAAGTTTGAGAAATTTTATGAACTTCTTGTCTCGAATTTTTTTCAATATATACAGAGAATGGAAGGTGGGAATTTCGATCTGTGATCAAGTTTACCTCATTAATTCTTCATAAAAAGTCTTATTTATATGAATGATTGATACACTCTGTCGTGCTCAGCAGTAGGCATATTTATTCAAACATAGCGCTCAATACCATGTCGTCCTAATACATACTACGCCATCTTGCTGAGCACGACGTTTTTATGAATATGCATACTGCTGAGTACTACAAATTGTACCAACTATTCATAGAACTAAGACATTTTATGGGGAATTAATGAGATTTACTTCGGATAGGATCGAAAGTCATGTAATCCTGTAGAATTATTTCTTTGAAGTATTTTATTAGAAATTTTCCTTTTCTTTTTTGAAATATAAGCTGTAGTTTGTACTTTGATTTTGATTGAGTCAAAAAAGACAGTTGGTTAGAAATCAGAGCATGAATATTAACACATCCTATTTATTAACCTGGTCGAACAACATCAGCATTTGGTTTAGCTGTTGGTTTTGGCTGAGGTAATGGAACAACTTTATTATTGACGAAAACATAAAGATTTGGTGGTAATTTATCAAGTGCATATTTTCCATTATTTGTTACATCACCAATAGTTGTAAATCTTAATAAAATTTGTTTTCGAAATTCAAGTTTTGATTGATCACTATTAAAATAAGTCGATGTTGCAACATCTAAATAAAAACTAAAGCAGATGATTTTTTTAATGATTTAATTTATTAATTTAAACCTGATGCCTGTTGTGCAGATAATAAAAAATAAAAATTAAGTAAATTTTGTGATTCATTTGTTGTATGTTTAACAGGCGGAACTGGATATGGTGGTGATATAACACATAATTCTTCATTAAATGTAAGTGGTAAAAAATGTATATCAATATTTGCTGGTTGTTGATGTATATGTAGATGATGATGTGTTGCTTTTGCTGTATTTTTTAAATCTTGTGGATATGGTATTGTTGGTAAATCACCTTGACCAAAACGTTTATTATATAATTCATCAAGTTTATCCCGTATTAATTTCGAAGATTTAATTAATACATAACATCTTTCAAGTAATTCATGTCGTTTACCTGTTCGTGATTGCCCCGAAAATGTTAATAATAATTGTAAATCATTAATAGGTAATGATTTTAATTGAAGAAGATAATGTTCATCCGATAAATTAGTCATTATCTTAAAAAAAAAGAGAAACAAAGAAAAGAATATCTTTGTTATTGTTAAAATTTTTTGTCTTCGATAAAGTTCTTTATCACAGAAAAACAAAACTACTATTAATCATCAATTAAAATAGGATCATGTGATGATGAAGTTAAATTTATGTTTGAATCAGAACCAACTGATTCATTTTCTATTTTCGATTGTAGGACCGGTATCCATTGAAGATCAGGATTAATTGTTATTTCGGCTATATTTTCATTTTTTATTGAATTTAATATTGATTCTGTATATGAATCAATTTGTAAATCTTCATATAAAGCTGATTTATTACAAACAGGACATATCCATTTGTTTGACTTTTCATTTAAAGCTAAAAGAAAATAAGAAAATATTTATATGTTCAAAGTAATATCTCATAAATTCATTTCAAAGGTAAAACAAGTCATTGAAGTATAATGTAGAATAAAGATATAGTAGGGGACAAAAGTCTTGTCCCTTAGTAGAACTTTTCATAAGACTAATATAAATAAGCAGCACTAGTCATCTTCTGATCAGAATCACTGTTTATTCCTTCGGCATTGTTGTTAATCATTAGCTCTAATATATCGCTGGCATATGGCTTTACCAGTATGCCAGCAATCCGAAAATATATTTTTATCTCAGCATTCGTTGGATCCAAAGCATAGATGTCCATCGCTTCTGAGTATCTACCGCTGCCGCCATGCGATGAACGGCAAAAAATGTTGCCGCTATCGCGATTATATCCAAAAAAATGTTTTGATTTTCAAGAGTGTGACTGGTTTGAACTAAAACTGCTGCTGCTACTCGATCAGATTTTCTAAGTTTTACAGTATCACATATATGAACACCGAGATTCAGTGTAAATTCATGTCTTTTTTGAAATTTCTTCCTAAAAAAAACTGCCGCTACTGTGTCGTCACTGCCACGGTGGCAGCGTTCTCATGAACATCTCTGCTTCAAAACTCAATTGTACGACTACGGCGAAAGCAGTCAAAAGACTTGACCAGTTCAATCCGATGTGGTCGACCATGTGCAACGACACAAAAACAGGATCAATAAATTATTTCACTCGCCAAACAATAGATGTTTGTTAGTAGCAGGGATGAATCCAGGAAATTTTGAAAGGCATGGTGGATGAGAACAAGTTATTGACGGTTTTCGTGATGTTTTTCTAATTAAGATTTTTCTACTATCAACTGTTCAAATTTATGCTGCAATCTGTGGAAAAGAAAAACAACTAAAAAACAAGTTATACAAGAAATTCGAGTTTTTTGTTTTTTCGTTTTTGAGAAAGCTGTCAATGACTTATTCGATATCAATGTGAATCATTAAACGTAAATACATCATAGCTAGTCCATTTAGATATATTTTCAACCACGATACTTTGAAGATATGTTTTTATCAGCTTTAATGTCGAAAAAGCTTCGCTTGCTTGTGACTGTTGTTACTGGTAAGATTGCATAAATTTGAAAAGGAACTCTGCTATTCGGGAAGTAGGTACAGCCACTAGAATCCATTGGGTCTAAGAATTTTTGGATCCGAACCCGATCGACTCAAAATCTTTAGACCCAGATCCGATGGATTCTAACAGCCACGTTGATCATGAAATACGTACATCTATTTACTGAATTCTATACTTATTTATTATCGACAGAACGAGCACAAATGAACTGTTAACATGATCGCTGGTTATTTCAATGTTAAACTCTACAAACGCTCATCAGCTGTGTGACAGGAATAGAAGTCATATCCAATAAGAGAAAGAATGTTTGATACAAATAATAACACTGCGTAGAGTATGTGTATATAAATTGTTGTCCTTCTCTGGAATCGATCATTTCAGAATGCAAGCACTTTAAACTTAAAAGTAGTGAGAAATGCACACTATTTGTCTCTGTAAATTTTTATAGAAATACAAAGATATTTAGAGTATAACATACATAAATTTCAAAGGAAGAGACGGTTGCTGTTTCTCCACTGGTTACAAGCCGAGATTCCAATGGTTGTTTTACTCGTCTTGAACCACTACCTATATCAATGACTTTGGATCACAGTAAATGGCCGTTTATGCAGTATATTCTGCTGCATACGATAATATATGGTCACCTTAGAACGCTCTAAAAATGTCGTAATGTTGCTGTATTCTTTCATAGATATGATTGTATTAATAACCCTATATTTACAAAGAAATGCAGATCTGTTAACATCTCGAATATTACTTGTAAACGGACCGTATTATTCCACCAGTCTACTTTTCTTATGATGAAAAAGTTCGATATTTTATTTTCGAAATAATTTAAATATACATTATCTACAACAATAATGGGATTAGATTTGTTAAAAATTCGATTAGCTAATATCTATATAGTTGTTTAGAATAAAAATCTTCATTAGAAAGAGAAAAGTTCTGAAAATGATTTGTATTTTAATGAATGTCATGTCAATCTATAATGTAGTTTCTTACCACAAATTACAGCAAGCATATAAAAACTTTCCCTAACTATACCCAAACATGACAACACAGTGCTTCAACTAATTCAAGTGTATCATTTGACTGACAAAAATTTTGAAAGAATTTTTAATCTAGATAACAGATGGTCCAGAAGAACTTATATTGTTAGTATTTTTGAATTTTCTTCTTTATTATCTCCTTCATGAAAATACCTTTTTTATCAAAAGATAGCGCTTGAAATTCGACACAAAATCTCATAACTTATTTAGCGAATATAGTTTCCTCGATTTTTTTTTGGTTCAAATGTAATTCTATAGAGTGTAAAATTTTTTTTATCAAGTTTTTTCACAGAGCGTTTTATTTTGTCTATCAATGTTGCCTTTATTGTTATGTGGTCCCAATTCATAGGTTCAGCTAGGTGATTCCATAAAACTGCAACATAATGGACATGAATCAAGTGAATTTGGTGGCTAGCAGTTCTTCGACATGAATGCAGGAAAATGATTAGTGCACCACTTTTAGCTCAGATGATGTGTGTGAGGTTTTACACAGTCATGCTAATATGTCCAGGTGTTTTCTAACATTTTATTGCCGAATTTTAGAGCTATTGGAAGCACATCATTGATGTATCCTTCTGCATCCATTGTTCCATCTTCCTAAATCACTGGAATTGTCAACTCTTATTCACATACACCTAACCACATCATCACCTTTACCGGGAAATTTGTTATTACATGAACAACATCTTTCTTGTTAACCTCTCCCCTGTTCACGATCCACATCTCGCCATTCGGAACATGGTAATTATTGTCGGATTTTTTTAAAAGTGTCCACCACCATTTTTCGAATAGCTTTCAATGGTTTCTAGCTATCGAAGTCGGGTCTTCACCATTAGATAGAGCAATGCGGAGGGCATTTATCTATGTAATATGCATTAAGTTCTAGGAAATTTTTCAAGGATACTTGAAAGTGAACATTTTTTCTACTGCACATTTCTACAAGTTTTCATAGCAACCTATGTTCAAATTACACCAAAATATAGCCTAAAGAGTGCTGTATTCCCTATATAATTGTTCGATTGTTTCATCCTCACCCTGAACTCATGTTTTAGGAGAAGTTTTCTGAAATTTGAAAATTTTAGAAACAATACGTCTGACTCTGGACTATATTTTGGTATAATTTGAGCATAAATTGCTACGAAAATTTGTAGACAAGTGCAGCAGAAAAAATGTTCACTTACAAATATCCTTGAAAAACTTCCTAGAACTTAATGTATATTACATAGATAGATGACCACCGCACTGCTCTATCTAATAGCGAAAGCTCGACTTCGATAGCTAGAAACTATCGAAAGCTATTCAAAGAGTGGTGATTGATATTTTAAGGAATCTAACAATAGTTTATGGAATGTACTATCTCAAACTATGAGCTGAGGTTGTATAACAATAAAGGCAATATTGATAGACAAAATAAAATGTTCTGTCAAAAAAATTGAAAAAGAAAAAAATTTATATTCTATGCCCAGGTGAAAAACTCTTACGAAGATTGTGTAAGATTTTACTGAAAATCGGATGTCACAAGATTCGTACTGTATGATCTTGTGAAACCGTACAAATACCTTACTGTAAGATTTCATATTTATCTGACTATAGGATGCTATTGTGAATCTTACATGATTCTTGTAAAGTCTGATAGTTGGAATATTGTACGATTATAATTTTAGATCTCACTTATGCAAGTATCCAGATGAAACAATCAGAATTTAAAATCGCACCTCTAATCTTATATGACCTTGTGATATCAGACGGAAATCGTACAAAAAATTTTGGTGTCTGCAACACTTACATCAAGTCTTGATGTACGATTCTTACAAGGTCGTACAGATAATTTATGGTGCGAAAGTCTTGACACCAATTCTACAACAAAACGAATTTATTTTGTTGTAAACATTGTGCCAACCTAGGTCAAACAAGCAGACGGTAAGATCTTATATGATCGTACGCCTGATCTTGTATGATCTTCTAAGATCAGACGAAAAATTGTATGAAAATCTTGGTCTCGAAATTCTTGCATCAAGTCGTACCTTAAGATTCATGATAGATCTTGCTTTTCTGTAAGATATTACTGTAAGATTACAGTGAATCTTATGCCACGGTAAGATATAATAAGAATCTTATCCTGCGATTTGATGTAAGATTTCTGATACCACGGTTTTTCGTATGATTTCACTTGATCGTACAAGACTTGATGTTTGGTTTTTTGACCTGGGAGCGTTAGAGACAGTTCTGAAATATAGTATATTAAAACCATAGGTTAAAGAAAACAATTTAGATGATATTGTAAAACATTTATGTATGTATCCAGGACATGCAAAAGCTCGCAATATCAAAATTTATATGCACCAAAATGATGATGAAAAATAAACAAAATGCTACACAACTATTCGAGGGTGGCACGAGCGGGTGGTTAGGGGAGGGTACCCCTTCTGCTTTTAGAAATTTTACGGTAGCTTTCTCCCATTTTGGAGAAAGTTTTGGATTCGTTTTCTCCGATTCTCGAGACAGTTTCCGCAGAACTTTCTCCGATTTAGGAAAAAATTTCTGGTAAGGTCTCTGTGATTTCAGAGATGATTAATGATTAATTTCCTCTGATTTCGGAAAAAGTTCATCGGAAATTTTCTCCCAAATTAGAGAAAGTTTCTAATGAAGTTTTTATGACTTCGGAGACAATCATTGATTAGTTTTCTCTGATTCCGAAAGAAGTTTCCGATGAACTTTCTCTAATTTGGAAGAAAATTTTTGATGAGATTTTTGTGATTTTGAAGACGATTACTAATTAGTTTTCTCTGATTTCGGAGAAAGTTTCTGCAGAACTTTCTCTGATTTCGGAGAAAATTTCTGGTGAGCTTTCTCTGATTTTAGACACAATTACTAATTAGTTTTCTTCAATTGTTGACGACAGTTTCTGATGATTTTTCTCAGATTTTGAGAAAAGTTTGCCTACATCGTTCTGTGATTTGTACAGATTTCGGCTATACCTTTCTTTTATCTTGAGTAAACTTCAGAGCTCCTTTTTCTCCAAGTTATGAGAGTTTGTAGAATATTTCTTTTATTTTTTCTATTATTTCGGAAGATTTGAGCTATACCTTTCTTCGATTTTGTGAAGATCTTATATAATGGGACTATTTCATCTATGCAATACGACTGAGGTTATCAAAAAACTTGATTACTGTCTGCGACAAGTCGAGATGCTTTTAAAATATCTAGAGTTTTTCTAGCAACGCAGTTCAGAACCATTCATTTAATTTCCTTAAGTAACTGCATTAGTTTTATTGGTCTTGTCGATAATAGATGAACTCAAAAAGATTTTGAGAACCTGGTCAAAAAGGAAGAACTGATCCCATGGCTTATGCGACGACTAAAACTTCGAAATATAATTAAAAACTGTCGCCTTCAGCAGTAACATGAATTTGCCTATTCTTTGAAAACTTAGTATCAGCTCGAGAGTTTCTAATGGAACTCAAAAGTCATCGCACTGCTTAACAGTTGTCGCAAGCGTGGGCGCCTTCAGCAGTGAAAAAAATTGAGAAATTTTTCTGGTCCGAATGGGAGAATGTTTCTGCTAGAAAAAGTTTCCTTCTCCTCAAGAATTTTTTAGGCACCTGCACTAATGTTTTCTACACAGTGAATATTTTGAGTTCTCTATAGATTTATGAACTTGTCTGACAGTTCGACTTTTATGTAAAGGGGAATCGAAAGCGATAACATTTTTGTGCAAGTCTAACTGGAAGAGAAAAAATTCACAATATGTCCACCCAATTTCAATCGCTTAAGAGTGCCATTACGTTTGACCACATTTTTCTCCCACTGTCTGAATATTTCTCTCCTGCTTTGACTACTTCACCCCACTCCTGCAACTATTAGAAAGAATATTGCTTTTGCAACTATTGCTGTAGACAGTTCTTGTGTGATGTAAAACTATATTTGTTTCCATTGAGCAGAAATGCTCTTTATTAATTAATTAACACGATAAATAGCAACAAACACATATCGCCAGATGTTCATCGAAATCGACGATTCGAATAAATTACTCCTTTTTTTATCAAGTTTTTTTATAATTTGTTTATTAAATTAATATTTTCAGTCTTGAAGGGATCAATTTTAACTCAAAAAAACAAAATTAAGCAGAAGAAGCCCGGTTAACCGGCGGTTTGCGCGACATGAAAAGGAAAAGTATTCACGATTGATAGCGCGAGTAATAAAAGCGTCGGTTGAGAGTATATTTTTCTGAAGAAAAAAAATGATGAATGAATGGTTTCTCTGTAGCTTTGAGAGAGTTTTTTTCTGTAGCTCTTTCTCCTCCTTAACACAATCAAACGAAAGTTATGATCGACTTATGAATGTATGTAAAAAATAAATAAAAGAATTTTTTTTTCTTACCAATATAATTTGTTAAATCAAAACATTGTAAATGATGACAAGTTGTTGCCCGTACAGGTTTTCTTAGACGTCTTTGATCAATTGGACATGTTAATTTTAATTTTTGATCACTAACTTCTAAACCAAGATCACGATCTCTAGCACGTGCTTTAGCTAATAATTTGACTAAATCTTGACGATAAAATTTCGATGGTTTTTTTATAATTTTATCACATAGTTTATCAATTGTTAAGTGTTCAACAAGAAATATATGTAATGCATATTTAGCATTAGCATATTGTACATGTAAACTTGTATTATCTAGGCGATATGACCATGTTATTCGAATTTCATTTTTTAATATTGGATTAAACATAATATATGATGTTATATCAACTTCACGACCAATACGTATCAAATCACTTTGTTGTCGTGTAGAAGCTTTTGGTAAAGGTAAATTTGTTAAACTATGTCCATTAACAATAACAACTAAATTTGGTGGAAGATTATCTTCATATTGTCCATGAAATGTTGCTGGTTGATCAATACGTGCAAGACGTAATAAAAGACATTTATTTGTTTTATGAAGATTAAGACTAGGATCATAATCATATGATAAACCTAATTGATTACATACATCTAATGGTAAAATAAATTCGTCATATGATGAATTCTGTTTTCTATATGTATCATAATGAAATATATTATAACGTTCATAAACACATGTTATTATTTGATAAAATGGTAAATTTTTATAATTTATTTTATTCATTATTGAATATTGTAAATTATTTGTTGAATGTTGTGAATTATTTGTTGAATGCTGCGTATTATTTGTTGAATGCTGTGAATTATTTGTTGACTGTTGTGAATTACTTGTTGCAGGTAAAATAGGAGTTTGATGAGTAGAAGATGAAGCTGTTTGGACAAACGGTGGCGCAGATAATATTGGAATTTGATATTGTTGAATAACAGATGTAGATGATTTATTTGCCATAGATGCAGTTGAAGGAGATGAAGATCTTATATGTTGTGGATGAGGAATAACAGAAGTTATATATGAAGGTTGTTGAGGAGGACGAAGATCATTACCATTAGTTGATTGAGGAGGATTTAAATTCGGTCGAGCTAAACAAATAAAAAACTATCGATAGAATTATTAGGTAATGTTGTGCAGTTGCGTTATTATTTGTTGTTGTTTTCAACAATAACTGAAAGAAGTCAGTAATATTTATCATCATAATTAACCAAATATCTCTAAAGTATTACTAATAAAAGAAGATTTAATTTAGTCTCATGAATGACTAAAGTCTAGAAGGATCTCAGGCGACTAATCAACATTTAGCTAGATTTGAAGTTGTTCAATCACGCAAACAAATATTGAATTCTACTAAGTAATCTATTCGATTATAAATGTTTCTAAGATATATTAGGTTATTCTAATGTTTTACGCATGTAACTAGAGATCTACGTGACCGTGACTCATTTGAAGATCTATATATGAAACGTATGGCACGAAAGTCTTGACACGAAATATTCGTTCATTTTTCGGCTACTCAAGGACAACTTGTTAGAACCAGAATTTTTTTGCTATTTCTGAATATATATTCAGATCTTTCTTCTAGAGCAAGAGTGAACAACTATCAGTAAATTTTGTGAAAAAAAAGTTCAAAATTGTGTTTCTACAAAGTAAAATATCGGTTTTGGTGCAGTCCTTAGTTTGTGTCTTGAAACAACTTCTACTCAATATTATTATAGAGCATTGAATTCTATAGAAAATAAGATATTACAATAAGCGAAATTTCGTTTTAATAAAAAGCTAGTTTCTATGAAAATTGACATTGGTCAAAACCTGCTATTAAAAATATAAAAGCTTTAAAATCTCTCATACCTAGATGAAGAAGTACGGGTCGATTCCCATAGGAAAACACCGCAAATCGACGAAACATGGAAGCAGTATTCCGATTGGGAATTTTTCGAATTTTTTTTCGGTGGATTCCAGCCAGCTTCTGCTCTTTCCGGCAGGAACCGGTCGGAAATAAAGTCCGGAAAATGTCTGGTCAAAATACTGCTTCCGTGTTCCGTCTATTTTCGATGTTTTCTTGCAGGAAATGGCGATTTTCCCGCATCTTTTCTGCCGGTTCCTGCAGTATCCGGTGGTCGGAATGATCGACTTGAGTGCAAAAGTAACTAAGCCATTAAAACCTATGTTGTATTTTGAATCTAATAGATTTTGAATCGAAATACAAATTCATCAAAACAATATGCTGTAGAATCGCTATTTTGGATCTTTTGAAACAATCTGGTGATAATTTTTCAATTTTATCTCAGAAAGAAATTCCAAACATATATTCAGAAAGAGCGAAACTTTTTGATTCTGGTTCTAACTATTATCCATTTCAAAAAAGAATCGACTCGTTGGTTCGTTGAATAACTCGGCAACGCTTGTAGCTATTGAGCTCGGGTTTTCGTCGTTCGAAATAGCATAAATGGGGGGTACAAGTCTACCTGCAAACGAAAATACTTGAAGAGTATTCCAGGGATTGCAGGGATTTTTTTGGAAAATCACCGTCTGATTCGCTTGATTAGCTGTATTTTTAAGTGAAATTGAAAATCCGATGTCTCGAGAAAGGAACATCCTTTTTTGCTAAAACTTTTAGGATATTCTATGGGCAAATTTTTAGGTTGAAATTCCGTAATTTCATTTTCCGACAAATAAATACCTAGGAAAGGGTCGAAAATTTAGTAAAAATGGCCATCATTTTTTAAGAAAAGCTGCAAAACGTCTAAAATTTTCGGAATTTTTAAAGTAGACATTGAGCTACAATATGGCTAAATTGAAATGGAAAATACAGCTAATCAAGCGAATCAGACAATGATTTTCCAAAAAATTCCTAGAACTCCCTAGAAAACTTTTCAAGTATTTTGATTCTCAGGTAGACTTGTACCCTCACAAATGCTCTTTCTCACGGTGAAAATCCAAGCTCAATAGCTATCAGCATTGCCGAGTTATTCAACAAACAAACGAGTCCTTTCTTTTTTGAAATGAATAATAGTTGTCGTTTAGTGTCCGAGAAATGAACGAATATTTTATACAACAACTTCCGCATCATCAGTTATCATATCAGAATGTACATGAATAAAATTTGAACGAACTTCAACTACATTTCAGAATGTAATTAACAATTACTCGAAATTCGCCAATAGGACTTTCAAAATTGACGAACAACGGGAGTTTCGTAACTAAATGATGATTTAAGATAATAATAGACAGTTAAAGTCAATGTTAGTCGAAAAGATAAAAGAGATATGATAGAAAAATCAAATGAAGAAAAAATGTTGAAGAATGAGAAAAGATTAGAGTGTTTTTACTCTTCATATTTTTACTTTCCACATTAGTTAAATAAATAGATAAATCTTCTCTTCAAAGAATAATAATGAATTAATGTTTGATCAGTAAGAAATTTTTGATATTTTTAAAGATTTTACTATGTATTTACTTGCTCGTGGATGTTGTGGTATTGCCGTTGACGACGGTAAACGATAGTTTGGTTGTCCACTATATTGTATTGTTGTATGTGTATAATAAGCTGGTTGTTCTTGATTGTATGATGCTCGAAAAGTTGCTTGTGTTTGTTGTTGTTGTTGCTGTTGATAAAAATCCGGTGGACAACGTTTTTGTCTTAAAGCCAGTAATGTTTGTTCTAATTCACTTGTATAACAATTCTCAATAAGTGTAAAACATTCTTGAAATAGTCGTGTACGTGTATAATGTTGTATTTCATTTAGTATTGAAGAATTTCGTAAATGTTTTGTAAGAATTAAACGTAATTGATCATTATCTAATTCATTTAACAATTGATAAATATGTGTACGATCTTCTTGTGAAGGAAAATAGTTTTGATTATTTGATGAATTTATTACAGATGATGATTGCATTGTTTTGAACTAAGGATTTATATGTATGTATATGTATATATGTATATATATATATATGTATGAATAAATATTATTAATTAAAAATGATTGAAATATGAGATTAAATTAAAAATAATCACTGTACATAAGACAGTATATTTTTCAAGAAAACGAAGGTTCGATTTCAATATGAAACGCTTGACTAGTCATAAAGGAAAAGATTCGCTAGTTTTCAATGAATCATATTATCAGAGAAGGTCATCTAGAATAGAGTATTTGAAATTTATATATTATAAAAATATATTAAGAAACATATTGTTAAGAAAAATATATTAAGAAATATATTGTTAAGAAAAATAAATCGATTAAGTTTATTTATTTATTTTTTATCTTATATTAACGACATCTATTGAATGTAAAAAAAGAAAAAAGACTATCTACTTAGAAACTGTAGACAATACATGATAATATGGCTGTGAAAGTTAATTGAAAAAAGACGTTCAACTTGAATTTATTCAGAAATAAAATGTAAGTTAATGTATATTGTTTTTCTCTTGAGATTTTTATAAAAGATCTAAGCGACCTTAGATTTTTTGCAGTGTTCACTTATAAAAGATGAATAGTTATGTAATCTAACATAGTTTTAATTTATAAAAAATGGCTTTTTTTTGATATCCTTCATTGAATAATATTTTTTAAGGATAAATTTTATTTATATATCGATATTATGAAAGATGAATCTTTCTAATTTATTAATCTGTACATACATCTTCAGCAGAATCATTTCAGAAATTGGTCAATCAAACAAATAATCGTCAATTAAATATTGTTTATACTGATATTGAGTGTTCTTAGAAATTAAATTATAAAATCTTCCAATATATAATTTCATTTGTATGACTAAGTAGATTTTGTGTATGATAGTCTTTCGATTTGAGATTTGATTTTGTTTATAAGAATATTAATTCAAAGAAAATGCTACAAGTATGTTTTCATTACTATGAAAGCATTTTAAAATTCTTTATTTTGAAGTTAATTGATTTGAACCTATCGATTATATTAAACGTACAAATTCTTCACTTTTTTTATTGTAAAATGTATAAAACTTGAGATGGGGTAATATTTTGAGATATCCTGCATGATTTTGAATTTTTGTACTCCATAAAAAAGCAGTGGTCTGCAGTGCAATATATGTATTCTATTTGATAACTTGTTTCACTTCATTAGATACAATAGTTTTTAGTTACAGAAATTTTTAAAGAACTACAAATAGTGCTGTTATATTATTGTTGGGACTGAATTATTCTTTGACATCCAAATTTTATACTCAAAATTAAACTGAATATCGATAAATTAAAAAAAATCAAGAAAACTAGAATATTTTGTATAGGTAATTTGCACTTACGGTTCAAACTGATTGATAGTTGACTGTAAACAAAAACAGAGATGCATTTGTAATAAGACTTAGTCGATGAATATGAATAGTTAATGTTTATTTCATTAGCATGTTTTTCTTTTTGTTTTTGAAACAGAATCATATCAAAAAATGCTTTCTATATAATAAATGCAAGAGAGTTTCACTAACCAAGTAAAAGTTTTTTATTTTATATTTTACCTATAAACATGACCTATGGGAATAAATCTTTTGAAGTTTCTTTTTTCTATTCGCACCAACGAAAGAACCACCCGAACTTATAGTCATCGTTTGAGCCTACAAGGGTGTCTTGGAGAGACTAGCAACATTCTAAAAGGTTTCATTTCCGTGGACTTTGAAGCCGAGTTATGATCGTTTTGCTGAAATACATTCTTTTCGATTGAAACTTGTACGATGGTCTAGGAATCATGAAACCTATCTATGTGCGAAGAGAAAAACAAAAACATTGTAGTCGATATGCACTCTATTTGAGCTCGTACTCATTATAATTAAACTTTCTGTTAGAACGGACTGAGATTTGATGTAAAATAAAATCAATCTACGAGGAAAGTACTCCAACTTATTTCAAGCTTTTAGAATCTTTCTGACTCTCACATTGACCTACTGATAATCAAAAGATGAAGTTGACAACTCAGAATCAATTGAAGTATTAATTATAGTTACATAATATCAAGTAGAACTTCACTATAATATCAAAAATTTTATCTCATAAAAGAAACGTTTTTCGTTTAGTTAATTATGTCGACAGCATCTTCATTTCCTGATCAAGTCAAAACTAGTTTGATAAATATATGTCATCTATTTACAACATGTATTCAACGTTATGCTCTTCATTGCAGTACGGATGGTCATTTTGCTCAATTAATCTTCGGTGCAGATTTAGTTCGTGCTCATCGATCTCTAACAAACAATAATTCTCCTGCTGGTATTACACAACTTCTTACCAATCATTTTGTTTCATTTGAAGAAAAATTAGGTACAAATGTAAAAACATTAGCATTTTTTATACGTAATCTATTTATGGATCATTCTCTTATTGAAATGAATACATGTGAACGACGTTTATATTTATCAAATATCAATAAAAAATTATCTTCAATTAAATTTATTTCAACAAATAAAAATATTGTTAAAAAAGAAGATATTAACATTGAATTGTTAGTTGGTCATATTCTTGATACATTACCAAGATTAATCTTTGATCGACAAGAATTCTATCATGATCTTCTTTCTCATTTGGTTAAACGTACGTATTTACCTTCTTTCGTAAAACTCACATATATTTTCGAAGGAAATAGTGAATAGGGGCGTAGCCAGGAGGTGCATCCTCCTTAACCAAAAAAATATCTAGAGGGGTACAGATGAAAAACCTTTTCACAAATAAAAAAATTATTTTCCTGCTGACGTGCACCCCGATAACAAGTCAAGCACCTTCCTTGAGAAACTTCTGGCTATGCCCCTGGTAGTGAGTGTAAGTTTAAATCGAGATTTTTTTGACTCCATAGTAACGAGGGAAGGAGCCAACCGTAATCGGGAACTTTCTGAAATCTTCCAAATCATTCAATGAATCTAAAATTTCTACTGTAGATTCTAACTAGTCTAAATATTGTGGATCTTGATATTTAATGCAGCGAAAGGATCTTATTGTAAGTATCAATCAGTAGAACGATGGTATCATTAAACTAGAAGAATCAGAATAGAATGGACATAGAAACGTATGAATTCATCGAATTTTAAGTTTAGGCAAAACTCAACAGTATATGTCAAAGTTCGTCGAGCCATAGGATGATTTGCTCGGAACCTTGCCAAACGATGAAATCAATATGCATAGCAGGCTAGTATGGCGGTTGTACTAACGAAATGGAGATTAAAATGATATTTGCCGCTTCCTATGGCATGTATTGTATATATTATTAGAAGAAAAGAAATTAAGTATTGAAGATATATCTGACAAATACAAATAACGATGCTACGTGAGTCTAATAAATTATTAGAATTACAATTCTAAATGCAAACATCTTCAAAATGATAACATTTCAGAGCACGTATATCAACTATAAAAATTATTATAATTTTGATTTATTTGGCATTTCTCTTCGGAAATGTACTATAACTTTATAACAGTCAGAGTTTTGTGTGTAAGTTCTACACTTTGGTTCCTCATGAATCTGCACTGACAAGTTTGTTAAAAAACAAAAAAATTGTATTTTTTTCTCTCCTTTAGATAATCTTGATCGAATTGATGATTATCTTATTTATAATCAACAATTATCTTTTGTTACAATTGGTTCTTCAATAAAACAATCACGTTTAATTGATGGTATACTTTTACCAATTTATAATTCTCATAAATTACTTTCATCATTTATTTCAAATAGTGAATTGATAATTGTATTTTTAAATATACAATCAAAAGAATTTAATAATAAATCATCATTATTTACAATAATTGATCATAATCAAGAATTTATTTCCTATGATACATTAATTTATCGACAATTTATTAAAAAATATTTAATAAATGTTAATTTAATTATTTCATTATCATGTATAAATGAATTATTTCTTTTTGAATTACATCAAGCAAATATAAATGTTATTGATTCATTAGATGAACAAACATTTGAATTTATTTTAAAAGTTTATCAATGTTTACCATGTAATCGATTATTAATTTCTGATGATGAATCAATTGATAAAATATCAACAATTTTACTTGATCGGCATGTTATTGTTAATCAACAAGCATATATTTATTTATCTTCAAATGGTTAGTTAAAAGACAATTTTTTTTTATTAGATCACCGATTGAAATCATTCATATCTTTGTATTGATCATACTTAACTTTGATTTTATAAACAGCCACTTTTTTCACTGTCTGCATAATACAATAGATAAATGCTTTGTTCTACATTAAGGTCCATGATACTAGGCTTTGTTACATCTGTAATAAACTGTTTTCTCATTTTCTGTATGGTTCGTATAATATTTTGACCATGGATTTCCATTTGTTGCTTCTGCACCATTAAACATTATCAAATATAGCCTTGTTAACGTAATATTTTGATTTCCTTTTTTTAAATAAGGTCTTTCGTTTCCATCTATTTTATCATTTTCTGCTACAATCTCTTTATTTCATACATCATTTTCATTTTTTTTTACTTATGAACTGTAAGCTGAAATCAGAGGAAAAAATAGAAACCAAAATTACTTACATATATACTCTTTGACTTAATTGACTGTTAGTAAATTTTATTTAATGGTGTTTAGTTTATTAACAAACATGACTCATCACTAATTGACTGTCTAAATAATTCACTGACCAAATATTTTGTTCCTATAAAGAATTGTAGATAATTTTATCCAATAACTACATTGTTATTAATAATAATTCTTATCTAATCTTGATGAATTAAATAACGATTGTTTCAAAATATATATAGAAATTAAAATCCAAACTCGAAATTATATCTTTCTTATATAAAGTATATAGATTATTGGTATTCCATATAACGTTTATATTTTCCATCGGAAACTGTCGTGTTTTTTTTTTCAATATTTTTATGAAACAATATACAAATACTTGAATATTATAAATTTGAATTTCTTTAAGGTTCTCATCAAACACTTCTTTCTTGTGTTCCAACATCTACATTGTTTTTAACGACACAAAAAATTTTAATTAATATTGTTCGTCTTATTAAATATATTCTTGAACAATTAAACAAAACATTATATTTATCAATATCAACAGAAAAAGATTATCTAAAATATATTCATGATAATATTCCAGAATTAAGACATATTTTAGATAATCATCGTATATATATTGATAAAATATCTAATAGAAACAATGATAAATTATTTCCAATATGTATTTTTCAAGAATATTTATTAAATGGAATTAATTTTCTATATTATATTAACAAAATTGATGGTATATATAGTACTACGAGAAAAATTGTAGTAGAAAAATGTGATTAAAAAAAAGAAAAAAGAAAGTTGTTTTTTTTTGTTTACTAAATTAATAAATATGTCTGTTTGTTTTTTTGTTGTTATTGTTGGTTTCTTTCCATTCTGTTGTTTATTATATAATATTGCAACAACAATAACCACCATAAGGTCCAGTACCATAATATGGTGGATAATTTCTTTCATAAGCAGGTACCCAATATTCACGTCTTCCAGAATTAACTGTTGATAATGGTTGAGGTAATTCAATAGTTAATATTTGGTTTTGATCCATACGTGCACGTACTTTATCAGGATCAATATTCGATGGTAATTGATATTGTCTAAAATATTCACGATTAATATGATTACCATATGTATCATCAATATGTTGACCACTTATTTTAAGTAAACCATTTCGATTTATTCGAACCGTTACATTTTCTGGTCTATAACCTTGTAAATCAAATGTAACAATATTATTAGTAGGATTTATTGTTTGTAAATCATAACGTCGTGGTCGAACATCAATATCAACACAAAGACGTCCATGAGTATCAATGGTATTTCTTACAAGTGTTGTTTCAACAGTCGGTCCACCAAGATTATATTCACGTCGAAATTCACGGCATGGTGGACGATATGCACGTATGCGTAATGTACCATTATCATCAAGTAGAACAGTTATTTCTTCAGGTTCATAATCAAATAAATCAAATTCATATGAATATGTGCGATGACCTTGTCCATGATCATGTACTGAATAACGATTTGATGAAGATACTGGTGATCCTAAACGATTTTTTTCTAAGGAATTATTTGTATAAACAATAGGTATAACAGTCGAAGAAGCCATATATTTTGTATGTTAAGAACGATAATGTTATAACGACGAATAGAATACCTTGCTTGTATTCTTTGTCGCTTCTTTCATCATTTGTATTTTCTTCGTTCTGTACAAAAACATATTCTGTCATCAAATAGAAATAGCTAGCTTTAACCTTGACACTATTTTTAGAACATATTCTAGTTATGGGCGCATGTGTATGTGGCTTTTTTTTTTGGTTCGTATGATGAGATGCATATACATACTCATATCGAAGCTAGAAAAAAGGATAAGATGTAGAGAAAAAAAAAAGGAAGAAGATACTCGTTATATGTTATTATTGTAGTCGGCAACTATATTGTCAGTTGGTCGGACACCTACACACCAAATCTTGATAGTATACGATATTAAAGAAAAGAAAAAGAAATATATCTACATAGATTTTCGCTTCGTATACAAAATTTTTTGCATAAAGAAAGTATTCTTGATAATTTTTCATATACAAAATTTAATATTTCTTAAATTTTTATTTTATATATACAAATAACTTAATAAAAAAAATAGTTTAATAAAATAATATTAAAACATAATCCAATGTGTTAGTCTTACATATCGGATTTTTTTTCTTTTCTCAGAAGAAATAATTTTTTTTTTCGGTTCATCTAACTAATACAATCAACGAACACAATGTTATATACTGATATAAAGATAATTGAAACATTTTGTTATGCAATCTATGAAAATTAACGCATATAGTAGTATATTATGCCATAAAAGAGATTGATTAGACTATTTGCTTTATGTAGCAATACAGTTAATAGATAAAAATAGTTGTTAGTCATTTCAAGACAATGTTATCTGATAATTAAAAAAAGATTACGTAGGTTCGATATTGCCATATTTCAAGAAAAGTTCGACTGATACATTCCGTTGAAAGTTCTCAATAAAATAAATCTATTAAAGATGTAAGTAAATTACTTGATATTGTAAAAATACAGTTTTATTCAATTTAATTCTTGCAAATAATGTCAAATTCTTACAGTTCTCATCTTCCATTTTTCATGACTATATCGATAAGTTGGTGGTATTTAATAACTAAAAAAAGAAAAAGTTTGTCAATGGAGCTTTCTTAAAGTTAAAGCGTAGAACTTACAAATGTTCTTTACCATTATTATATAAATACAAAATATGTCAAGTGAAAAATCTCTAGCAGATTTATGTATTTCTGCATTTCTGACAGAAATTTTCTTTTTTGCTTGTTGCTATGTGCTCGTTATTTTCTTAATCTAACATAATCATAATTATTATTCTAATCCTTGATTTAACTGACAAATAAGCCTGTTGCACGTGTCCATTATATATATATATATAACAGCTCTCAAGATGTTACTATATATGTCAATAAGCTGAGAAATATTGATATTGATTATTCTCTAAAGTTGTTACTTGATCAACTGACACTTTTTATGTTGACCATATCACGACTGAAACAAATTAATGTACCACTAACCATCATCCTTGACATTTTTTTGTCTATGTAACAATCAGAAATGGTACGATTTAGAACATTCACAAATGTATTTCAGCCATTCAAGTTTCAATGAATACTTTGAAATGTTCTAGAAAAGTCTAAATTTTGTCGTTAATATCATTCAGTCCCTTTTGTCATTGTGCAAGAAACTCTGGGATCTGGTGTCGGCTATTCTCTTTTGCTATGGAAATGTAGTTAATGACCTTTGATCCCGGTTGCCATGAAGATGGGAAGGCCCAAAACCTTAACTTAAAACTTACACTCATTATTTTCTTTTGAACTTTCGCAAAGTAATATCACTCATTTTGTTAAATACATAGATATGAGTTAATTAGCTCAGTATACTCAAAATTTATTGTTGTTGTCTTAGATTCGATTTGATTATTATTTTGACAAGCAATGTTTTATTATCAGCAAATGATTCAAATTCTATATCATGATGATCGATTAGATTTCTGATACTGAATCTAACAAAAAAAAGTTGCATACGATAATGCTCATATTAGTCTTTCGAATAAAAGTCATACATAAAATGTAGCATTGATATGAACAGTAATACACCAAGTATCGATTTCTTTGATTATTCATTCTTGCAAGATTTTTATTTCATTTTTTTTTACTTTTCTTTTTGCAAATAGCCAACCTGTGCAGTTAAATAAACTAATCTTTCCTCAATTATCAAACGCTAAATAGCGATGACTCGAAATTTCTTTAAATTCATTTAGCAATAGCAATGGTACTGATTCAAGGGGGAAAAAGCGGATCCCGAGATCCCAGGATCCCAATAGATCCAAACGGATCCCGACAGATCCCAATGGATTCCAGTGGGTTTCGCAAGAGGAAAAAATCAGATCCCGGTGGATCCCAGCAAATTCCGGGATCCAGTGGGATCTACCGGGATCCGCTGGGATCCGCCAGGATCTATTGGGATCCGTAGGATCCGCTTTTTCCCCCTTGTACTGATTACATACCTGACAGAAACAAACCATAATTGATAATTAAATCTGTAATCTATCAAAGTTCGGTTTTGATCAAATTAATGTCTACTATAATAAATGTTTAATCGATCATCAAACAATAATGATTATTATAAACAGACATAACATTTTTTTGTTGTCTTCCTTTGTTGTGTACTTTATCAATCTTCAATGAATAAATCAGTTATAATGTAATTCAAAAATATATTGACGTTAATAAAGTCTGAAATTTAACTATACGTATAACATATTTATCTTCTCTATACAACACTGATAAGAAGATATTTTGAATTCTGACAACAATCTTCAATTCGTGTTCCATACAGTTTTTCACTAACTAATAGTCAAAAATGCAAAGATTTCATTTATTTATGTGATATAGAAATCGTTAGTACATCACAGAGTCAAAGACATATTTTGTGGAACTCACATGTATTTTTGAAGAAAATAGTGAGTGTAAGTTTTACGTCGAAGTTTTGCAGCTTTCCTCCTTCTCCCTATTACAGACACGTCCCATTGCAGACCTTAGTAAGTAGTTTTATATTGTAACTTATGAGGAATATGTGGATTCCACATTTCAGCCACCAAGGAGCTGCGCTAACAAGCTTTTTCTATTTATGGTTGGAATAAATCATATTTTTCTATCTTCTATTGAAAATACTCTTAGCATTTGCATTTCGAATAAACCCTTCCTATCCTATTATTGATAGATCGTTTATATGTCTCTCTTTTTATTGATCGTCATGACTGAGTAACCACGTTGTTGGACATGTATCTAACAGATATTATGTTCAAACCTCGGTACTATCAGCCATAGAATGACCCAAAATAAATCACTAATAGCTGTTTATCTTGCTATCAACCGTCCGATAGTATGCTGACTATGTTGTGACATATCCTTGACCTTCTGGCTAGTATGTGATTAGTCAGTGTCGATGAAAAGAACAAGAACTCTGCATCGAGTTGGCCTTTTAGTTGTATGGAAGATATCGGGTTAATGAATCTACCACTAGACTGCAATCCATACTGCAAGATAGCTGAAAGGCAGGAATGTTCTTCTTCTCTCTCTTTATTTCACATTGTATTTTTTACTCTGATGCAATAGTTAATAATGCTTTTTTTTGTCATTAGATATAAACATTTATTTATTTTTTTGTTAAATTTCATACAACATCGAAAACAAAAAATGACGTTAAAATTAATTTCAATATGTTTTAAAGATAAATAATATCTTTTCACTGCACAACAATAATTGAAAATTCATATGCATATATTGTCTATTTACTATCACAAAGAACTGCAACACCTCGTAATGTCCATATATCTGGTCCAGTTCTATCACCTAATGCACATTCTAATTTAAGTGTACATATGTAATTTCGATCTGTTCGACGTGGTTTTTTATAAACAGGTGCATAATAAACTTGTCGACGATCTTGTCTAACTGGTGTTGTACCTGTACTAGGTTCAGCTTCAGCTGATATATGTATGACAGGCATTGGATGTGTTAAAACTTTTTCATTGGCTTTTAAGTCTTCTAACACACCATTTTTTATTTTAGCTCCTTCGATATAAAGACCATAAACATAAACACCTTCACGTGGTGGTTCTCTTAATGATTCGCGATCAGCTCGTAGGATTTTATTTGTTAACACAACATTATCAAGTGACCAACCTGTATTAGCTCGTGTTACTTCCTTAAAATAAAACGATAAAAATATTAGTAAAATAATAGAAGAAGAAGAAGAAAAAAAAGGTTCAAAAATTTTACTTGTCGCATAGCTGTTAAAAATCCTTGTGGATTAAAAAATCCTGTCATCCAAAAAGTAATTGGTCTTGTATCTTTATTAAGTTTTAACCATGAACGATATTGTTCATTTCGTGCATATAAATCAGTAAACCATGCACCCAATGTTGATGATTCCCATGATACTTTTAACCAAACATTTGGAATTTTAGCATCATACATACGATCAAGTGCATCACGTAATTCATCATTCATAACAATTGTACCATCAATAGCTAATTTTAATTCAATTAATGTTGATCGTACAATATTAAGTACACGTTGAAAACGATCAATTTCTTGTCGAAGAAATATATTCATTGGTTCAAGTTTTGAAAGACGATCTTTTACTTCATGAGGAATATAATCAGGTGGTAATTTTTCTAAAGTTTCTGTTGCTATACGATATACAACAGATTCACGTGTTTCACCTGTACCAGCACGAGCTTCTTTTGGTTGAATACTTAATATTGTATCAAGAACTCTTTTTGTTGTATCTTCTTGATATCTATTAAAAATAAAAGAATTCAATAAAACACAATCTGATAGTAAAAGGGTAAAAATTTGGACACCCAGACACACACACACTATGGGTGACATTAGATGAAAGATTGAAAGCGTACTTTTTAATGATTTAAATAGAGCAACATATACTCTAATCTATGGTTTATTTAATGACATAAAAGTCTTTGTTCTTCTGGTTAGTATTAATCGAAAGACTACCTATCTGTTAACCATTATGACATTAATTTTTTTTTCTTCTGACAAAGACGATCTTTCTATTATTTCACTATTTAAAATTCTTTGTTGTTTTTTTCTTACTAACCTATCATTCGCTAATGGATTTAAACCAAATATTTTTCCACTATCATAATTTGGTAATGCATCAATATAATCAAAAACATCTTCTATACGAGTCATTTTTGGTATACGATAAATTTTTTCTTCAAATTGAAAGTTTGGATCAAATATGTCATCACAAAACCAATGTTTAACATATGTTTTAAGAAGACGTTTATCAAAATCATCAGTAACTCGACCTATAAATTGGAAAAAAAAATATTAATTTTCTTCTTTTATAAAATCTTTATTCTTACCTCCATATTGTACTTCTGATATCATATAATGTATAGTTTTCCATTGTATTGACTAGAAAAAAAAAATAAATAAATAAAATAAGTAATTAATTCAAATAAAACATTTTTACTTTTGTTGAATCTGTTTCATCAAGATAATTTTGAATAAATTGAATTGTTGCATTAAAATCTGATTGATTAAATTCATATGGTATATTCCATCCAAGTGGACCAAATTTTCTTCGTTCTTGTACAATTGTATGTAAAAATGCAACTGTATATAATAATGGACGCCATTTATCATGTGTATTAGATTCTAATTGTTGTTCTTGTGTTAAACCATTGAATGTTCGTTTTAAACCTGCTTTTATACCTTGAGGTGGTTCAGCTGTATATTTAATTGATATTTGTAAAAGGCCAATAGGAAATTTTTGATGAACTTCTGTTGTTATCCAAAGACGAAAATCAGGATGTATACGATCAGTATTATCAATTAATTGTAATAAAAATTCTTCACAAAAGTCTAATGATAAATGACAATTTTGTAATAATACCCATGTACCATTTGTATATGCTTGTGTTAATAATCTTCGTGCATGCACTTCTTGTCCTTGTCCCATTGATATAGCATGACAATCAATTGCTTTTCGTTTAGCTAATATTTCAATTTGTACTGATGGATCTGAACCCATAGATAGAAAACATATCATTGGTGAACATTTATCAGATTCTTCCCACATTTTTTCCATATCAAGCACAACACCTTCACCATATTTTGGTCCTAAAGAATGAATTATATAATCATATGCACATTTAACAAAACGTGCTGGTGTTAAAGAACGTATTAAAAGTAAACGACGAAATTTATCTAATTGAAGTTCCCAACCGTCAGGTAAATCAATACGTTCTGGTTCATCTTTCTATTTAAAACAGAAAAGAAAAATAGTTTGAAATTATTTAGATAAAATAAAAAAAAACATAATAATAGAGCAGCAAATCAATTTAGAGCGAAATACTAACGTAGGGAGGAATAGTTAGAGAAACCTATGAAGAGTTTGAATTGTTTATACTGAAGAGGAACTAATATCCAGTCTTTAAACTTATATTGGATCATTAAGGACACCTTGGTGAGACTAGCAAAAGTTTAAAAAGAATTCATCTCTATGGGTGTTTGAAGCCAACCTATGATTGTTTTACTGAATTTTGAGACCCAGCTTTAGATATGTACCAAAACAAAAAATAAATAGCACATTCTGTAGACAACTCATGAGCCTACAAAATCTCTATTCAAAGTTTTTTTTTCTGAGCATGTATAGATTTTTCAAAAAAAAAATTGATTTAGTTTTCGTTAGCGACTAACAGAGTACAAAAAATACTCTTATAGCCAGATAAGAAGTTCAAAACTAGTTCCGAATGGCATAAATCTTTCTCCAGAATCTTTAAATAGTGTTAAGCTAAAAATTTTTGTTTCAAGATTTAATCGAGTCTCTGGAAATCCAGTTGTTCGGAGTCCGATGTTGCTGAAAATATTACCATAGATGTAGATCGTGCCGTAGGATTCATCCTGAATTTTTTATGATTAGAAAGATATGTGCTAATTACTTTTTATTTTACAGTTAGCTGAAAAAGTCAACATTTTTACATATCTCTATGTTAAAAAAACTTATTCACCTAAAGTTGACTCGAAAATTCAGTAAAATTATTCTAACCCTGCTACAAAAGCCTATCGTGATGAACTCTTTTAGATCTATGCTAGTTTTCCTAAGACATCCTTGTAGACCCAATATGAATTCAAATGATGTGTATCAATCCGAGTGGTTCTTTCGTGAGATGAGAAAGAAAAAGACTATTATCTACATACCTTAAACCATGTTTCCCATGCGTGACCAGCACGATGAAGCTAAATGAAAAGAAAATAATGAATGAGAAAAATTTTCTTTTTTCAAAAAAAAATTATTTACAGAATTAAGTATATCACTAAATTGATAAAGTTTTGATAATTCAACAAGATTAAGCCAAGCATAATTTTGTAACCATTTATATGGTGGTTTCTGTGGTACTAAAAAATCAAAGTTTGAGCATATTAAATATTGCAGTAAAAAAGAAAAAGTCATTTAAAATTACCTGTAGTTGCATCTAATGAAGCACCACCTTTAATTAATGTTTGAAATTCATCAAATTTAATTCGACCAGCTTGTAAATCAATTTTTAATGCTAATAAAAGTGTAAACATAAATTTATGCTCTTCATAATAACCTCGAACAGCATATTTATACATTTCATATGTTAAATATTCCATTATATTACTAATACGTTTTGATGTAACTGGTGACTAAAAATAATTATTAAATAAGAAAAAAAAAGAATCCTATGTATTTATTATTTCATAAATAATAATAAATTTACTCGTGGTGAACGTTCAAGTGCTTGATCAAATAATTGTAAAAATTGTTTTAATGATGTTTGATACATAACATTAACAAGTGACATGTCAACAATAAGAAAATAAATAATTGAACTACGTGTAGCAACTGGACGATATTCTTCTCGAGCAATATTAATTTTTTGACTTGTTTCAGTAGCTATTTGAAGTTTATGTTTGACATCATTTGATGTTAGTTTTGTTTTTTTTAATGTTCGAATAAGATCATCATCATCAACTAATGAACCCTGAAGCAAAAAAAAAAGATTTTTTTTTGTTTTTTATATAATATTTGAATGACAAATTCAATATTTACTTTTGAATTACTTAATCTAAATAATAAATTATCTTCAAGTTCTTTAATTCGTTTATTATTAGCTTGAATATCTTCTAACATTTTAACACGTTCACTTTCTAATTCAGCTTTTTCTTTCAAAATAGTTAAACCTAATAATTGATCTTCTAATCCTTTCATTGTAACTGTAAAATCAATAACTGATGTTTTAGCTGATATTTCTGGTGTAAATGATGGATTAGCTAATTTTGTTGTTATATATAAATTAAAACCTGTTATTACATCAACTTCTCTATCTCCAACTTTAACTTTAAGTGTTGTACCAGAACGAATAAAATTTTTTTCTAAAATATTATCTAATGCTGGATCAAGTTCATCTCCAACATCTTCAATTAATAAAGGTCTACCAAGTGATAAACAATCTTCTAAATGTTGTCGAAAATGTTTTGATTGAAAATTTGTTATCTGTAAATCATTATCTAATTCTTTATTTTTTATCCAAACTTTTCCTTGTCCTTGTGGATCAATTAATAATGGATAACGTTTAGCACGTGTTACAATAATAGCATTTTGTATTGATAATTCATCATTTGGTAAACCTTGTAATTTCCATTCACCAACCATAGTTACATCAGTTAAATATTCAGTTACATTTAATCCTCGTGTAAATGGAATATGTCGTTCTGTTAATAATTTTTGCCAATCTTTTGCTAATAATAAACGAAAATCTTGATTAAATGGACCTTGATATGATAGAAAACCTGTACAAAGAAGTACATCACCAATCAATCTAAAATGAATAAAAATTTAAAAACAAAATGTTTTTTTTTTCAATCCATTTTCTTACCGTCCTATTTGAGCTTTAAATTGTTTACTTTCTTCAGTCCATCGTTCTTGTTCATTAGCTAAACCAGATATTAATTCTCTAGCTGCATTCATTCGTTGTAATGTTCGATCAAGATCATCTTGTAAACGTTGTTTTGTTCTCATAGCAATATCATATTCAGCTTGTGTTGCAGCTACTTCAGCTTCACGTCGATCAAGTTCTTCTTGTGCTATTTTTAATTGTGCATTAGCTTTAACTAATCGAGCTTCTTCCATAGCTAAATTTGCTTTTAATGGTAAAACACGTTTATTAACATAGAAAAAGTCTGCCATAGCACGTGTCCATGTTAATAAACCAGCTATAGCACCAGCTGCAACTTTGGCACCATCAGGTGTATAGTCGGGTACACGAAAATACGGTTGAAGTAATTCAATTTGTTCTTCATTAATACGATCACGTGGAAATGATTGAAGATTTTGAAGAAAATTTGTATCAGTCATAATCTATAGAACAAAAAGAAAAAGAAAGAAAAACTTATTTAATTAAGTGTAAACATTTATTTAAATAGATCTATACTCTTAATGACATATCCCAATTTGGTGTAGGTCCTTGTAATTCATTATCGATATTAATTGGATTTATTAATGGACGTCCAAAAAGAATCAAAACACAATCCATTATTTGACGAATAAGACGTGGTGGACGCATTAATTGACGTACAAACGCAATATCACTTTGTTTTATTGTTAATAAAGCTTCTTCAGCGGCCTAAAAAAGAAAATAATTATTCAACTAAATGTTAATATATATCGAAATCAAACTAAAAAACATACAATTAATGCTGGTTTAGCTTTTTCCAATTCAGCATTAGCTTGTATTTTATCTCTATTTATTTCATCAACTAATGTTTGTGCTGTATCTTTAACTTTTTTAACTTGTTGTCTAACGATTTCTGCTGCACCTTTTTTAATAGCAACTTGTTTTAAAACTTCATCAGCTTTTTTATTTGCAAAATCTAATTCTTTTTCTTTAATTGCTAATTCTTCTTTCATAAATATAACCGCTTTTTCAGCATCACCTAAACGTGTAAGACCATCATTCATACGTTTAGCCATTGATTCAATTTCATTTAATTTTTGTAAATATATTTCTTTATAACCATTTATAAATGAAAGATATGATTTAGGTGTAACATGTGTTAATCGACGATATTTTTGAAAATATTGTAAACAATATTCAGCTACACCATCATGTACTGAACCCATACATTGTACAAGTTCTTTTTTAATTATATCTGTTGAAACAATATTAAATGATGAAAGAAAATGATCAGCAACAGCAACAAGTGCATCACGTGGCCAACGAAGAAACCAATCGATTGTACAATTTGCAACAAGACCAGGAAATTGTAAACCTTGAAAGAAAAAAAAAGGATTATTTTAATTTACAAAAAAAAATAAATAAAGAAACAAGTAAATTTAAATTTATTTTACTTCGTTTACGAAATTTTTCACCAACAGGTGAAAAACATAAAGCAACATGTAAATTTTGTCGTACACGAGATAGAAAATAATCATATAAATTTTCATTTGTTGGTGGTCTTCGTGGATATTGTTTTTTCATAATAGGTATTAAGTCTTGACATATTTCATCAATTTCATCTCTTGCAAACATCCCCGGTACCTAAAAAAAAACGACATAAAACAATCAATAATATTAATCACAAAAAATTTCTTTAATAAATTTTTACATACCACTCCTGATGAAAGTACATTATTTATATATTCAAGAAATGATTCATCTTTAATATCTTGATCAGAAAAAATAAATGTTATGCCTTTTCCATCTTTTCCAGCAATACGATAAAGTGTTTTTAAATCGTCTAATAAATTATTTACATTATATGCACGTGTTAAAGTTATTTGAAATGTTTTATAACCAGCAATAAATGATGCTAATTTTGTTAATGATTGTTTACCACTACCACCAACACCAACTAATAAAGCATTACCACGTGGTGTTCGAATTATACGAGAAATTTTAATAAGATGTGTCATAGCATCTTTAAAAAAGACTAAATCCATTCCTGAACCACGAATACTTTCATTATATTGTGTTAAATACATTTTTAAACGTTCTTCAAGAGCATCGAATGAAGCTATAGGTTCGTAAATTTTAGGTGCATCAAAATCAAAATCTTCTGGTTCATCACCTGTTGGTTCTGGTGGATCTCTAGAAAAATTAATAATTAATTTACGTAAGAAAAAAAACAATAACAAAGACTCAAAACTAAATGATCAGTAAAAAATATAAATATAAGATAAATAAAAAAATAATACCTTAAGAAATCGACAAACCATTTGTCTCCTTTTATCATGGATTGATATATCGTACCTAATTCTTCGTCAACAACACGTTCCATTGTTTTAAAAAACCAACGATAATCATCATATTCAGTGAATCTATGAAATAAAACGAACCAGTTTAAGAGCAATAAAAAACAACTAGCCTTTTAATTTAATTTTTAAAAAAATCTAAGAAAATATTTCGAAGGCTACAAATAAGCATCTAATGCTAGTTCTAATTAGTGGCGTGACTTCAATCGGTGACAGGAACTTCTATGGGAGCCACGTGAACCGATACCCACTGTTTCAACTCATATTAGGCCTACGAGAGGGTCTTGCTAAGACTGGAAAAATTCTAAAAGAATTCATTCACATAGGTTTTTTCCTAGCCTAGTTATGATTGTTTTGCTGAGTTTTCGATCTACTTTTAGATGTATACTGAAAAACCAAAACGAAAATAGAATTTCAACGTAAAGCTTTGCCCAAAGATAGGTTGAATGGCTCATAGAATATCTTGAAACTTTCAGGATATGCTACATATCATTCATTTATACTCTGGAATTCTTTTTTTTTTGAACATTCGGTGTCTACCTAGAGCTGAACCGAAAATTCAATAAAATAATCCTACTGGGCTCCAAAGGTCGATAGGAACAAAGTCTTTTAGGCATTCTCTAGTCTTACCAAGACCTCCTTTTGTATTCAATATGAGTTCAAACGCTAGATATTAGTTCCGACGGTTCCCTCGTCAACTTCCCTTAGTTATACCATTATACCTACACCCTTCATTAATCATATGATAAAATGTTTAATAAACTGTGATCTATCTTATTCATTTACAAAATCTGATTGAATAATAATATGTAAAAAACTCTTCATTTTTTTGTTTTGGTTTTTTTTTATTTACCGATCACATATAACTCGTGAACATTCATGTTTCCATAAAGCCATTAAAGTTCTTTCATCATTAATAACTTGTGGAATAGTATAAATCATTCCTTGCCATATACGTGAAAGATCTCGTAAATTAAAAACATAATGAAATTTGGCTGGTGTTGGTAACATTTTAACTTTCGTTAATTGCCATAAGCGTCTTGTAATTGGTACAAGCTTGTCGATAAGTGTACGTGTTTCATCATTAAATCCACGTTCTTTAACATAATGTCCTTTACCAATAACAGAAAATATTTTATCAAGTGATGTATTTGATGGTAATGTACAATTAAATATACAAAAATGTCGTTTAAGACGTTGTGGTATATCATTTCGACCACCACCTGGATGTATCATAGCAGCAAGAAATTGCATATCAACAATTGTTGTAAATTCACCTGGTTTTTCTAATGAATAAAAACCATTTTGTTCCATTAATTGACGAACAATTTCATTTGTTATTTGATCACCCCATTCATTTATTGATGGTATATTAACTAAATAATAAAAAAAAACAAAATTAAAAATTTTCTATAATCTGATCAAAAATAAAAAGAAAAGCGTTTATTCGTTTTTTTTTCTTTGTTCTCATACGTACTATCATCGATAAATATGGTCATTTTTTTGCCTGCTATTGGACCATATGTTGTTCCAACACGTTTATCAACAAATGATTCAATTATTCTTTGAAACATATTTGGTGTTGTAGCCGATGAAAAATTAATTGTTTTATGTATATGTTTTTCAGCATTATATTTCGTCATATATGATTCTATAATAACTGTTTTAGCTGTACCTTGTTCACCGATAAGAAGAACAGACTAACAAAAAATAAAAAATATTCATATTAATTTTAATTAATCTATTTGTTTTTTTGGTTAAAGTTTTATTTACTTTATGTTGTTTTGCTATTGTATCAATAAGAAAACCTGTTCGAACATTATCAACATTTGGTACAAGAATAGATGCATATTCAGGATCATGATCTTTTGGATAGATATATTCAGTAACAACACTACTCCAATGTACCCATGCACCAGTTTTATCATGAACAAAATAATCAAATATTGTTTCTTCATTAATAGATGATATTGGAGGTGTATTTAAACGAAAATTTCCATCTGTATTATTCAATAAATAATCTTGTAAACGAGCTCGATCATCTAATTCAAGAAAAGCACCAACTGACCACATTATTGCAAATACATATAAACGTTCAATATGTTGAACTGTTAATTGATCTTTAGCTTCTTTTGATGGTAATAAACCATTTAATAATTTACATGCCTGAATTTAAAATTTTAAAGTAAAATAAAATTTTAAAGTAAAACAAAAAAAAATCAAAGAAAGTAGTTCTACCTGTGAGACAATCATACATTCAAGTACAGGCATTTTTGATTTAAGATAAAGAGAAAAATATCGATATATAAATGGAAATGATGATTCAAATAAACGCATTAATATTTCACCATCATAACTTGATCGATCACGTTTAATCCAACCCTATTGAAAATAATATTTAATTTTCTTTTGTATGAAATGCGATTTGAAAGGAGTGTTGAAATACAAGGATACAAACTTGGATTCCCATGAACATGACAGACAGTATTAATCAGAGTTGTAATCGGTCTCAGTGTTCAATCTAGAATTTCTCTTTCGGAAGGGAGATTTAAAACTCCGAGAGGGGCAACAAGATCTTCGAAGGTGCGCCGTCCCCTCCCTTGGTCCTCATGCTAGATAAAATTCTGACCGGTCGGTCTTCATAGGTTGGAAGATATTTCATATCAAAACAATCAAACAGCGTGGTTTCAAGAACTATTAATTTTATTTCTTTAATCGAAATGTATTTCATTTTTTTAAAAAGCATAATTAAAACTATGTTACATGAGCTAAACTTATATCATATATGTTTTAGTAAAGATCAAACTTAGGTTTGGATCGTCGTTCGAAGAGAAGCGTTAAGTTTGTCTAAAGAGATTCCATCGTTGGTGAGAGAACTCAAGGTTTTGGAGTTTACCAATCAGTTGATGAGTAAATGACCTTTTTGTCTAGCTTCATATAGAAGTATAGCATATTTATCTTTGTATAAACCTGAGTACAAAAAGGAAAATGAATGTTTTTTGAAGCTATTCTCAGTAACCAATTAATAATGATACAACGAATCGACCAAACTCGACTAGTTACAACTATATTGTTGACATACGATCACATACCACATATCAATAACGTCTTATTATAATATATGAACTACTTATTGCCTATCTAAAGGATTAAATAAAAGGATAGTAAAGAAATATGTTCCAAAATAGATAGAATAAAACAAATTCCCTATGATTAGCAAGAGTAACTACATTATATTTTACATTTTAATCATGCAAGGATTGCACTAACAACTTTCTATATTCAATATGAATACATACTTGTATTAATGGTCGCCAATCTAAACCAGAACTACTCATATAAACCATACCATTTCTACTAACAGTAGCTGGTGATGCATTATCAATATTATGTACTTCAAAAATAATTTTACAATTTGGTGCCATTGATATTCGATCACCATTAGCTAATGTTAATGATTTATTATCATCTAATACGGAATTTAAATTTTCAATCCAAATAGCATCGACAGGACCATCTAAAACAAGCCAAATATATTCACCTTTTTTTGTACGTAATGTTCGTCTCCATAATGTTGAAAATATTCCATCTGTCCAATCATTTGTTGCGGCATCTAATCGACCAAACATTTGTGGTGCTGTTATTGCTTTTGGATTCATACGCATTTCACGATGTGGTTCACCACATACTGTCATAGCTTTCATTAATGTATGAATACAACATGTTTTACCAACACCAGCTGGTCCTAATGTCATCATACCATGACGTACACGTTGAGTTTCATATAACTATACAAAAAAAACACAATAACAAAAGATCAAGAAGAATTTTGATGAGAATGAAATAAATTACTTGAATTATTTTTAATATCCATGATGGATGACAAATAAGTCCAGCTGATTGAGCTTCTTTATCAATAGCTGCTTCTAATTCTGGATAAACTTCTTTTTCTAATCTTATATTTGGAAAAAGATCATTGATTAATGATATAAATAATGGTTCATCTTCATCAACCTATATGAAAATAGAATAATTTTTATAAAAAAATAAAAAACAACAAATCAACATACTAATTTTGATAAATTCATATCTCGAAGTACTCGCATAACAATTGTCTTTTCTAAATCATCGTGACTTGCACGTTTAACTGCACCCAATGTTCGTAAGACAGATAAAATATTTCGTAAACCAAAATCATAATGAACCTAATCATGATTATATTTTTGTTATATACAATAGCCGTCAAAACTCTTCAATCAAGTATTAATTCTACTTTTTCCTCTTACAGTATCTGTCTTAAAAATTTCAAATAGTGATATGAATAGAGAAAATGTTTCCAATAAAGTTATAAGGAAATGAAAGTCTAGGTTTTCAGCGCTCGGAGTAGGACGATAGAGTAGAACGTCCTCAAATGTCCGATCGCTTTTTGATGGAGACTGTATTAAAGTGAGAAGTCATGGTGAGTAGTGTAAAAGCCTAAGAGAGCTCAATTGTCTGAGTCTTTATTCTGGAGATATCGAATTTTTATTGCATTCTTAACACTAAGATGTGTTCCCTATATCAGATCACCATGAATATCGAGTTTTGAGTTTTGACTTGAAACTTTGTACAAATGAAGTTCTCAATGACACTAACTCATTGTGAAAATTTCACTCATTGAAATATTTAGTATTCTGAAGTATCAGTATAAGAAGAATTATCAGAAACTTTTCCAGTATTCATATTTCAGACTAGAAGATTCAAAAATCAATGAAACTTTCACAATGAATTAATGTGATTAAAAGGTTCATTTGTGTAAAGTTTCAAATCAAAACTCGAAATTCGATTTTCATGGTAACCTGAGGAAATCACAGCTTTGTGATAAAAAATGCAATAAAAATTCGACAACTCAAGAATAAAGGCTACAACAATAGAACTCTCTTAGGTTTTTATATTACTCACTATGGTCTCTCACCAGAAAAGCGATCGAACATTTAGGAACGTCTTATTTTGTTGAAGATATTCTGTTCTATCATCCTGCTCTGTATGCTGAAAATTGAGGCTTTTTGCTCTTTAGAAAACTCGGATTTGCACAATATAATAAGAAATATAATTTTCTCATAACTTTAGTGGAAACAATGATCTCTATACAAGTCAAGATTTGAATTCTTTATAGCAGCTACTGTAAGAGCAAAAAGTCAAATTTATACGTGATTGAATAATTTTGACAGTTACTGTATGCATCACTAAAAAAATTCTTCTTACTTGTTTACTAAGTTGTTCTTCACATAATTTATAAAGTGTATAGAATTTCTTTGATAAAGAAATATTTTCTCTAAAACCACATGCAGCCATTTTAACACGAATAATTGGTAAACGATCAGGTATCATCATAGCAACAGAACGAAAATTAATTTTTAAATTTTCAGGAAATTCTTGTCGACCAGCATAACCTGGATTCATGGTTAAAAATATACCAAATTCCATATTCATTTCGATTACATCACCATCAGTAAAAACAAAATTACGTTTTTTTTCTTTTTTACAAGCAAGAACAATAGCTATTTGTTGAGCAGCAACAGAAAGTACAGGTAAATCAATACGATTAAATTCATCAAAGCAACCAAATGAACCTGATTGAGCTAAACCTTTAAATATACGACCTAAACCACGAAAATCCATTTGATCAGAACAATTAAATACCTATTTTGTAGATAAAATTGAATGATTCACTTTAAAAAAACAATTACATATTTTTTTTTTACTTACAACAACATATTTTCCAAGACTTCGTCCCATATCTTTTACAGTTTCAGTTTTTCCTAAAATATTAAAAGCATTTAGTAATTAAAATCATGTCATAAAATTTAAATTTAAAACTTTTTAGAATCAAAATACTTACGAGGGATGGCGTCCAAGTATGACGCATCGAACAAGTGAGTCTTTTACTCATATATAAGGTTCGAAGAACCTTGAAAAAGATTAATCTCTCTGAAATTATGACTATTTTACTGTTTTTTCAATCTGTAATTCAGTATTATCAGAAAAATTGAACGAAGGAATATTGATCCTGGACCTTTATCTATAAACAAATTTCATAACCAATATATACTGTTCTGAAAGTTTTAACTGAAGTGGATGATTTCTTCTACAAATGACTACTATGACTTTTAACATAAACCGAATAATTTGAAAATTTTCATTTAGGAAAATTTTGTTTACTAAGGATTTCGATTAAATCATTTTACCTGTTCCAGCTGGTCCAGCTGGTGCTCCACCCATACTCATATGTAATGCTTGTGCTAATGTAATATAACATCGATCAGTTAATGGTGTAATAACTAAACGTTCAGTACAACCAAGAAATTCATTCATATAAGTAAAATCAACATCTGTAATTGCTATTTGTACTTTATCTAAATCTTCATTAAAATAAAATCTTGTTTGTTTAAGCCAATCAAAATCCATTACAGAACGTATATTTGATTGTAAAAGATCATCAAATATATCTTTTTGATGTACTTGTATTGTTATTAATGTTTCATATTTTGTACGTTCAACAGGTGATAAATCTTTTGTTGTTTGATCAATTAATATTTCAAGAAGATCATTAAAAACTTTTGCTGTTTGTCGCATTAAATTTCTATTTATTTTTGCATGACGTAATGCATCCGTTGTATCACGTGTCCAAATTATTTGAAGACTTAAAAGACCAACTTGTGATGGATAACTATTAAGAAATTCAATAAGATGAAATGATGATGAATCAGATAAAGCATTATAGGCATGACGAATAACACCATGTAAAGATCGTTGAGATTCTTTAAGAAGAGACATTAACCATACTTCAACATTACCTTCTGCTTTAACAGGTTTTTCAAGCTAAATCAAATAAATTAATAGAATTGTTATGAATAAAAATTAATTAAACTTACATCAATTATTTCACCTTCAGATGATTGAATATTTAAAATTTTTTCATAATCTCTTTCATGAAATCGCACTGTTTTAATATTATCAAAAACACTTAATAAATGTGCTTTAATTGTATGTGGATCACTAGCTTGACCTAAAATTTCTAATAATGCGGGATCAGAAACAAAAAAGAAACGTGGAAATAAAAGACGTTTGCGTTCTAAATAACCGGTTAAAGATTTTTGACAAAGTTCAAGTTGTTCAAGAAGATGTGGTAAAAGTTGTTTTAATGTATCATCATTTGTACAACATTGTACAACAGTTGGTTGTTCATGTGCTTTAGACATTATTTTAAGCCATGATTTATCAATTGATGAAAAACGTTTAGCTTCTTGTGGTAATTGTTTAGCAATATCACCACCAACAAAAACAGCTTCTAAATAAACCCATAAATTTTGTACACGCAACCAATTTTCAATAATTTCATTTGTATCTGTTAAATTTTTAACCCATTTTTGAATTTGTTTTCGAAATGGAACATTGTATCTATACAAAAGAAAAATCTTAGAAGAAAAAAAAAACGTTTTTAATTTTGAAATTTACAAACCTATTTGACATTAATGAACCAAGTAACATAAGTGAATCTTCTAATAGACTAATAACTTCTTGAATTCGATCACCTTTAAGTAATAATTCACCTCGACCTTTAAATTGTGCAAAAGTAAATTCTTGCGTTCTCCAATCAGATTCAACTTGTTTTATTTTTGCTTCAATATCTCGTTCTTTAACAGCAGCAATACAAATATCTTCAATATCTTCTTTATATTCTAATAATGGTAAATCCATAACATTTCTCAAACGAAAATCTTCCATTTCAACATCTAAATTATGTACACCAGTTACTCCAGCTATTTGTTGCCAATGACGAACTTTTACAGCAGGATTTGACATCATTTCCAATAGAGGACAACCTATATTTAAAATATATACAATGAAAATTTATCTTTATTAAAACTTACATTCACTAAAATCATCAATAGTTTTTTTTAATGCATGATATGCTGGAAATTCTCTTAAACCTTTTGGTAATTTTCTACAAGCTGTTTGAAAATCAGATAATTCTTGATTAATTTTATCAATATTAACATCAACCCATGCTATATCATAATAACTTGCAACAGTATCTAAGACTTTATTATATAAACTATAAAGACGTTGTAATAATAATAAATCTCTTCGAAGTTTTTCTAACTGAGGATATTCAGTAACGGGTAAACCAAATAATTCTTCTCCACCATGATATGTTTCATATCTTTTATATAAATTTTCTACATGACTTTGAAATAAAATTTGTCTATCACTTGATTCTCGTGGTGTTAAACCAGGTACTGTTGGTCCACGTCGTTCATAATCAATATAAAATTGTCCGCATTCTCGTATAAATAATTTAACATTTTTAATTAATTCTGATCGGTATTTTGGTTGAATATCAAGTAATAATGATGTCACATCAGTCTGAAAAGAAAGAAAAATTTTTTATTTAGACAATATTGTATATAAAATTTTCATCGTACACAACGAGCTTGTAATCGTCCCCATCGATATCGGAGTGAATCTGATTGTTCAATATCTTCTCGAGCTATATTAATACCATGTGCTTGTAACATAGCATAAGATTCTTCAATAGGTGTTATACTCATATCCATAGATATTTCATGTTCTCTTAAATCTTTAACTGCCATCATTATTAAACGAATATCTTCTAAATCTTTAATTTCACGTGATAAACGTTTTTCAATATTTTCAATAAATTTTGAAACATTATGTAATTCTTTTTGATATTTTGTATTACATGATTGACCATAAAGGACAATCCAATCGCGAACTTCTTGGTTAAGAGCAAATTTTAAATGTTCTAAAATGATAAATCATATAAAGAATTATTTTATTTATTATTTCAACATAAACAATAAAATAAAATATACCAGTAAATATAGCTAATGGTCCAACAGGTATAAATTGTGGTTGTGAATTAATATTTGATGTAATATTTTCATAATATTTTATTTTATTTTCAAATTCAGATACATGAGGATCTTTCGAAATAAAAATTCTTAATTCATCATCACGATCTCGTTGCCATAATGATTTATAGCGTGTAAAAATTTGAAGTGCTTTTGTAATATCCTATTGATCAAAAAAAAAATTCAAAATAGAAACAAAAAAAAAAAATAAAAAATAAAATTATTTATTTCATACGGTTTTTGTTGTATTGATACATGTTGCTAATTGTGCTATTAATTTCAGAATATCTTTATTTTCAGATATACTTTTGAAACAATTATTATCTAATGTAAATTGAACTTTGGATGTTTGTGATGGACGGACACGTTCATTGACTTGTGTTCGAGTATTGATATTAGCTGAAGTAGTTGATAGCCTTTGAGGATGTAAATCTGTTGTATATGATTCTGAATTATTATCTATATTAGTTGGATATCTTTCATTATTACGGTCTTTTGTAGGATTTAATGCATCATATCGTTCATGTTCAGCAGAGTACATATCCATTGTTGGTCCATGTTTTTTCTGAAACAGCAGATTTATTTACGATTAAATTTCTTGTGATTAAATTATATTCATGTAGTTTTAAAGAAGAAAAACATGTATCAAAGAAATCTACTTGTTTGCTAGATCTGCTCAGGAAATAAAAATCATTGAAAGTCAACTTAAGAATTCTTTAATGTCAGTTAATACTTCAACAAAATTCCAAGAACTATTGAACTATCTACAAAAATTAAGAATCAACAATACTCAATAAATTTTTCTTTCTACTAAATCTAAGTTCTTTGGTTTTTCTTATTTTTATTTTCACTTACTTTTTTTCGATCTTTACTCCATTGTGATATATTTTTTGAAATATTAATAATTGTATGTATAGCTTTATTTAAATAACTCTGTACTTCATCAATTTGAGGTTGTAAAGTTATATTTGGTATTATTAATTCAGCAAAAACTTTAAATATCGGTACTTCTCGATAATTTTGATCTGAAAATCAAATATGAATTAATTTAATAAAAAAAAGAAAAAGACTATGTTGTTTTTCTACCATAAATAAATGTTGATGCAATTCGTTTTCGTATTTTTTCTAAAGTTATTCTTATAACTTTTATAATAGCATCAAGATTTTGATGACTAAAATAATGAAGTAATTCTGTAATAGCATTTTGTAGATATTCTTTTTTTTGTTTACGTCTATGACGTAAAGATGTTGTTAAAAGATTTGAAGATTTTTTTCGTCCTGTTGATGTTCTTGTTGCTGAAGTTTGTCGTAATCGATTTGTTGTAGTTGGTCGAGTTGGTTTTGGTGAATTTGAATCATTAACACTTGTATTTTCACCTAGAATTAAATAAAGATCTTCGAATGATTTTATTCACAATAAGAAAATTCTAACCATCAGATTCATCATTATCAAAATCTAAATCAACATTTGAATATTGTACTTGTAAATCACCATCACCATTTTTATCAATCAAATCTCCACATAAAAGATCGATAACTTCAAGTACAGCATCTTCAACATGATGAGATTTTATTTGTATTTGTTTTGATGCATAATTACATAATTCCTATTTACAAAAAGCAAATATAAATCATTTCTTTTTTTTTCTTTTTAATTTACTTGAGTATGTTGTAAAAATTCTCCTGGTGTTATAGGTTCATCTTCTGGTAAATCACAAAGAGGTATTCCAGTTATTTCATCAAATACAGCATTAATACGATATGTTATAAGATTATTTGTTCGTTCTAAATTTAAATTAAATTCATCTAATGCTGCATTAACCTATTGAGAAAAAAAAAAGAAAGATTCAAAAGAAAAAAAGTAAAGAAATTCAACGAACTGTATTAACAAAATCATCAATTGTTAATGATGCCCATGTTATTGAAGTTAAACCAGGTTGAATAATATCATTTAAACGATGAATTTTTGGTGTTAAAAGTGCTTCAAATGGATGTTGAATTTTTTCGCGTAAATTTTTATTTTTTTCAACTAATTGTGTTAAATCTTGATAATATTTTTTAAGAATATTTTCACGTTGAGCTAATAGAACAGCTTCTCGAGGTATTTCTAAATTTAAACGTGCTAAACATTGAGTTTCACGTATTAATTCAAGAATATTTGGATCAAAATTAACTAAATATTCAGGATTTGTTTGAGATGTTGATTTTATTATTGATGATGAAAATGAATTAGTTGAACTAGCTGCTAAATTTTCATCATGATCAACACGTATTAATATACTTGAATGAATACCAGTTGACACAACATCTACTTGACGAAGCCATCCACGATGAAATGCAATTTCATATGAAAGAAGAACTTTAGATAATTGATTATAATTTTTTATAATTTTTTTTGCATCAGGATATTCAAGAATTGTTTTATTAGCAACAAATATATCCATAGGTTGTTGAATACGTTTATATAATTGTCGAGCCCAAATAATTCGACCTTCAAAAATAAAAATAAAAATATTGAAAAAAAAACAATTATCAAAGTTTTTATACCTGCCATTGGTGGTAAATCTCTTGAAATAGGTGGTTCTTTAGAATATCTTTGATAAATTTTTGCTACTAAATCAAGATCTTTAGAATATTGTTGTAAAATCTTGACATATTTTTCACTTAAACCTATATTTGGTATTTGTAATTTTTCAAAACGTTTTAATGTTGTTAATGCACGTTCAGTATTTCTTATAGAATCAAAATATTTATCAAGAAATGCATTAAGATTTTGATGAAGATCAGCTACTGAACGACGAAATTCATCTAAATCATTATCTATTTCTTGTTTACGTTGATCCAAAAAATCATAATCTTTTTTCTTTAATGTTATAACAATGCCATTAAATTTCGCATAAAATGATGATATACCTTCAATTTTTGATTCAGCCAAACGTGAATACATATTGATTATTGAATATACATCCATAATTTTTTCACATCGTCGTATAAACGAATCAAATTTACCAAATATATACATTTCACTAAAATCAAATGGACGTTCAGATGAACTTGATGCTAATTTAGCTTTTGTTAATTGAAAATGACGTTGATATTCTTCATTTAATTTTATACAATCACGTATTTTTGATATAACATGTGCTTGATCTTGTGACCAAATTGTTTGAGTATAATTATTAGTTATATAAATTTTCGATGATGTAATCATCTGATTTGTTATCTATTAAACATTCATGAAAAATTTTTTTTAAACAGATTATAATGAGTTTTATAGTAGATTAGGTTAGAATAATACTGACGCCACACTACTCATATTTATGTTAGCATTCAATAAAAAAAAACAGAATATTAGAGATAAAATAGATTACAGTAGGACGTCAAAAACTTACTGATTTTCGAGTCCTCATGCTAATCAAAACCGGAAACAAAAAAAAACTTGATCTTGCTCGTGTCTAGTTATTAGTTATCAACAATCTATGGCAAAAATTTGTTAGATATATAGTGACAAGGTACATTCCTTCTGTGCATGTTATATGTTGTATTTTAATGAATATTTTTATAATATTAAGATTAAAGAATTACTGACCATTGAAAGAAATATTATTTTAACCATTACAACTTCACTGTTTTTCATATTTTGATTTTGTATGAATTTTTTTGAAAATCTTTCATTAATAAAAATAAAACTTAAATTGAAAAATATAAGACTTGATCAATATATTTTAGTCATAATTGTGTCAATCTTGATGCTAAGACTTTTTGTTGCAATATTTTTTTTAGTATAGCATAATTGTCTATCACCAATTAATTTTTTTTTTAGAAAGTGAAGAAAAAGAATGAGAGAATATAATCTTGAAAAGGTATTGACCAACTCCAGTAAAGTTTCCTAAACGTATATTCGAAAAATTCTTGTCGAAAATTTTATTAAATTACGTAGACACCAGTAACGTTTCCAAGAGCTATATAAAATACAAGCGATTTGATCTAACATTTTTATTTCATTGAAAGAATTTGAGAGATGTCGATACAAAAGATTTCTGCAATATAAAATAGGCCTCGAAATTCGATCACTTTTTTATGGCCCGTTCCGGGTCGAAAGAAACTTCGTTTACAAAGATTTTTTTTTCTCAATAGACAGCTATTTCATATTTTTTGGCTTTTATAAAAAGTGATGGCCAAGGGAAGGTAGCATGAAGAAGCTTCCCGTATCCCTTTCGGGGGTGAGCCAAATCTCAGAATAAGTTATGTCAAAAAAGGATAAAATCATCGGGCCGGGCGACCCATTTCGAGGTCTGGTATAACACTAGAAAAGTTATTTAGATCTTTTAAATGTATCAATCTTTTTTTAATGCAGTATTGAATATTCTTTTCATAGACGAAAGTATTTCCTCATTATTGTTCTTCACTTTTTATCGTTCCTTTCTAAAAAAATCAATAGCCGATGTATAATTATATAGCACCATAAAAGATTACAACATTTTGTCGGCGACGAACGATCCGATCACATTGAATAGTAAATAGAATTAATGATCGATTAAAAAAAAAATAATGATAAAAGCGAACAATTTTCTTTCTAGTGTGTTTGACATGTTGTAGACCCGATCTAAAAGAAGTGAAGTATAGGGATAGAAATTTAGACTCACCGTCCTCAGTACGTCCTTATTACATTTCTAGAGAAGGATAGTGAAGAGATATGTTCCAAAATAGATAGAATAAAACAATCCTCCTGCAATTGACAAGACATCGTGTTTCACGTTTTAATCCTGCGTACGTTACGCTAATCATTTTTTAATGAATATTAATCACAAAAAAAATTTTACTATCTACACTTGATTCATTAGTTTACGATTGTAAAAAAAAAAGCAAACTTACTTTAATAAATAAAGACGTCATTCTTTCAGATGTATTATAATATTGTGAAATTGAATGTATCATTCGTACAGCATTAATCAAACCGGGTATATATTCAAGCATTGCAACTGGATCAGAATTATATAATGGTTCGTAAAATTTTTCTAATGTATATAAATATCGTACATTATCTTTGGCTTCATTAGCTGCATCAGTAATTTTTCCATCAAGTGCTCTCCATTGCTACAAAAAAAAAACATGTATATATTTAGAATTAATTTTTCTCTTTTTGAATTTTACTTGAATAAGTTTTGATTTAGCAGTTTGTAAAATAGTTAAAACAACTTTAACTTTATGTGTTTTAACTTGATCAAGTAAAAAATTAAATTTTGTCATACGTCGTTTCCAATAATTTAATTCAGCTCGTGGACCAATATTATCTGCTTCACGACGAATTTGTTCACTTTCTGCTAAAACCTTTTTTTAACAAAAAAACAAAAAAAAAAAAGAAAATTAATTTTTTCTAATCAAAATTTAATTTTTTTTTTTGTTCTTATACTTCTTTCATTTGTTGAATCCATTTTTTCATTGTTTCTTCAATAAATCCTACATATTCATGGTTTGATGCTATTGCAATACAATCAGATGTATTTTTTATTTGTGTTAAATCAAATTTTTCACAGTCAGCTAATAAAATTTTTTCATTAATACTGTCATATGCACTAGTAAGTGTATCAACGAAATTATTTAAATGATTAAGAAAATTAATTTTAATCATTGGATCATTATTTGTACTCCAATTGATATCAGATTTTTGAAAATATGGTATATAAATATCCGATATTGACCGACTTAATGCTTGAAGTACTGATTCAGTATTACATTCGAATGTATAAAAAAGAACTTCCTGAAGAGAAAGAAAAAGATTGAAACGAGATATTTGATAAAAACAAAAAATAAGTTTTGTTTTTTGAAAATATACATTAGCTATATTTTGTTCTGTAATGATAGTCTTTTTTGAATTACGCATAAAATAAAGACATATTCCTCGAAGACGTTGTTCATTAAGATCAGCTATAATCACTTTAGGTTTTGGTGGTTTTGCACTACTTGCACCTGAACGACTAGAATATGGTGAATAAGGAGGACGAACATTATCAACTAGAAAGAAATTATATGAAGATTTTAGAATAAAAAACCAAGATCATTAAATTCTTTTATACCTCCTGCTTGATTACTTTCAATTTCAGGTTCTTGATAGAAAAAAAAAAGATATTGAGAACCATCAACATTAAAAAATTGATTCATTAAGTTAAACTAATGTAAGAAAAAAATTAATTTTGAATGATATTATATTAGAATTGAATACTTACATTGACACTTTCAAGAATATTATCTTCAACTACAGAACGATCTTTATCAATGCGTGTTGCAATAATATCGAATAAATATCGATGTCGTTCATCGAGACGTGACCGTTTCTGTTCACGTTCATCACGAAGACGTTGCTAAAAAATATAACAGATAGGAAATATTATCATGTTTAGATAATATATATATCAAATAGCTCACCGCATATTCAGCAACCGAGACATTAGGTCTCGGACGTGAAAACATTTTTACTAATTTTATTTTATGTTTATTTCTTCTTATATAAAAAAAGAATAATTGTCGTTATAGTTACTATCTTTGTATACTTTTTTTTATATTAACTTCTCTTTATCGCTTCACATAAAAGAAGATGAAGAATCTTTTATACATGTATATATATATATATATACGTTGTTAGGTGAGACGATGTATGTGTATCAACGAACTAAAGATTTCTTACTCGTCGAAGACAAAAGAATAGAAAATGACGCATATATACAAATAAATAGATATTTGAAATAAGAGAATGAATTTTATTTAATTTTAAATAAAAATCGCAATAGATGCAAACAACAAAATGAATATTTATAGTTTTGCTGATCAGATATTGAATGAGAACGAGAAATAAAAATGTAATAAATTGAACAAGATTAATTCATGGTGACTTGGCAAAGTAAAGAGCTTTTTGACATATTGAAGAAAATTTTATTTTATCGATCATGATGAAAACCATATGCTCATTCATGTTTCCCGTAATAGGTATGCTCGTTGACTTTTTTTTCATGAGGTACAGGTGTTTTACTGCAATGTTATTACGGAATAAAAAGTTCTTTTTTTTTCTATAGTATGCTTCGATAAAAAAATTATTTTTTTATTTTTATTGCATATACACAAATAGGAGAATCTTTTGATAATTACTTTTAATTAATTATATATATATGTATAATCAAGATGTAAAAGCGAACGATTTGTATCCGTACTTCTGTTATGCAAATAAGAAAAATGCAAAGGTTTCTTTCTTTCTTTGTTCTACACACAAAAGAATAAGAGGAAAGATTAAATTTCTATTGTTTTCTCTGTAAATATTTCTTCTTGTTATTTTAATCATTTCTATTTGAAAAGGTAATGTAATCACCTGTATATCATTAATATGTTGTCGGCTGATTGTATTGATATGAAAACGATTTTGAAGTTGTTGTCGAAAATTAGAAAATTTTGATGATGCCATAAGAATATTAATTATGTCATTGAATGGTTTCGTCAATTACCATATATAATTGTTAACAAGAAATGACAAACCTGTCTAAAGAGAATAGAAATATTGATTTTCTTTTTGTAAAGTACTTTTCTTTTAGCAAATATAATTTTCTTTTTATTGATCTTTAATCAGTCAATAGAGAAAGGTAATAAATAGCTACTTGAGATAACTCAATTTTCATTACCTTCAGTCATCCTTGAATTAAATACTATGACAACAATGAATTAGTAAGTATAGAAATTATGTTTGAAAAGTTATTGACCTAATATTTAGACTTGTTTTTAGATCATAAACAAAAAAATCAAGAAACTTTATGTATAATTTTCTAAATTAAAGCTTAATTAGTCAGTAGATGCCACTAATAATCATAGGTTTAGAACATTTAACAGTGAGCAATTTTTGATAGGCACATTGATATTTGGTTTTTGAAACACTCCAATACACTGGAAAAATACTTTTTACAGTTTTTCGCATGTACGCTTTCTTATGGAGTGGTTTACAGAACTCAGAGGTACTTGAATGTGAATTTTCTAGAAATCTTTGGTTTTACAGAAATCAACGTGAAGTTTAGAAAGGCTTTTCAGAACCCTCCAGAAGGCTATCTAGAGACTATTTTTTATTGAATATCTAAATAAATTTATTTTCTATACTTTAGAAGCTACTAGCAAGAGCTCCGACTAGAAAAAAAACTATCTACAAACATACTGTAGTAGTGACTATCGTCTATGGCTGGATTTTATTGAACAGTGATTTTAATTAAAAGCCATTGAAAGACACATTATTCTAGCAGTTTCTTATGTTGATTCCGAATATGTGATTACTTTTTTGTTTGGAGGTGTTTCTAAGCTGGAAAAAACAGAGAAAAGCCTGGAAAATCTGTGACACTCAGTCCAGAAGCATCTTTATACTAATTCAGTAGACGTGTTAGACAGAGAAAAACATTGTACGAAAGTTTCATGGGGTTTGGCGCTGTGCTTAAGTGTGCGCACTCACTATGCTGAACATATTTTTTCGGAAAAATCTAAGTTGAGAAAGAATGCATAGTTTTTCCAACATGAAAAGTGTTACAACAAAGTTTTTGTTATAGAACAATAGAGTTGCAGCTTTATTTTCAGAATTTGCACGATTTATTGCTTAGGTCTTTCTACTTTCTTTGGAAAAAATATCTTTTTTATAAGATGACAGAAATGTGACTATTTTGTCGGGCTAAGATTTTTCCAATGCTGTAAAGATTTACAATAATTCTTTTAAACCGAAAAATTGGCCATTAGCCAAAGTATATTGGACACTATTCAAATCACGAAAACAAAATATCACTTTCATTTTTTCACCAAATGTCCACGTTGTTATCCACTGTGTATTTTGTAAAACGAATATTTAAATAGTATATCATTTGATTAAGGCACCCCCTCCCCCCTCCCCCCGGCTCGAAAAAAGTCAGTTTTCGTTAAAAAAATGAAAACTGAGATGAATGCATAGGAAGATAGCTCATCTTCTGCTCTTTCAGAAACGCTATAGTTTTTTTTTTTATCTAATAACCCGTTTTTGACCAAAACTTTTGATGATTTCTTGCGTCCTCTGCATAAAAATGCGGTTTTTTCAGGAAAAAATGAGTTTTGAGATATTTTTCTAGAAAATACGCATTTCAGTGGAACGCATGAGCATTCTAATAACCTTCATCATGCTATATAAAAAAATTTAAATGCGCCTAATAGTAATGAGAAATTAAAATGACTGGTTGACAACAAAAAAAAGCTTTATTTAAAAAGTCTTTTATACAACATGATCATATGTGAACAAAACTGTTTAATAATAACAAGGCTGAAACAACTCATAGTAGATTTTAGTATAACATGTTCAGTCAAACTAAATGATTATCATTTGTCCTTAATTGTAGTTCCCTAAATGACTCCCTAAATGAGTTCCCTATTTATGGCTGTTGAATCAATTAAAAAACTTCTGGTGAGCAGCTTAATTTAGGGATTTTTCTGGTGAAAATATTTATAACAACACATCCTTTTCTTCACTCTCATGTTCAGGTTGCATGAAAAAATACTTTTCTGGTCACCAGAAATTTATTATTTGATTTAGGGAGACAAATAGGGAACTTATTTAGAGAATAATTTATGGAACTACAATTTAGGGCAAATGATAACCTACCACCAAATCCACTATATTCATATCGTGGAGAATAAGTTCGGCAAGTCTCAAAAGAAGTTTATTTATACATATTTAAAAAAAAACGACAATTTACGATTGTTCTCTTCAAATCTCGAAAAAAATGCGTAAAAGCGCGAAGAAAATTGTAAAAATCTACTTCGAAAAATGTTTTTCGATTTTTCTCGATTTATGGTTTCATGATTTTGTATCCAAAAGTTTTCTGTCCCGAATCTTTTGATATATTAAAATTTTTTTTTTGTTGGAAAGAGCGCGTCAAGATGCAGAGCATGACGTTGTTCTTTTTTTGAATTAAGTTTACTTTTCTTATAAATATAGGCACGTATGTTTAAAAAAACCATTTTTAGAGAGCTTTTTAGGCCTTCAGCTTGTCAATGACCTTATCCACGTAAAAATCAAGAGGTTAGTAAGAAAAAGACAACGTCATGCTCTGCGTCTTGACGTGTTCTTTTCAACAAAAAAAATTTTAATATATCAAAGCATTCGGGACGGAGAACTTTTGGATACAAAATCAGTTATTTTTCACCCTTTTTCGGTGTATATCTCTGTCAAATAACGTGACATCGGGCTGAAAATTGTACCACAGCTTCTCCACCACAGGCCCAACATATCCTGAAAATTTCAGCCTGTTCCCTTGTCTTAATGCGAAAATCGATTTTTGAGGGGAAGAGGAGGTGGTCTTAAAAGTAATTCATGAAAAATCTTCTTTTTTTTTATGTAGATATATCTAAAGAGAAATATATGCAGTAGAAAAATGTTTTTTCTATCTTTGAGTTTATATTTCTGAAAATTTGTTTGTCATTTAAAAACATCATATTCACTTGTTATCAAATTATATGATTAAAATTAAGTATTAGCCCAAATCTCAAGCATCTTTTACATATTGGTTCCCTTATTTTGTTGAACGAATTGATTTGCTCTATTCTCTTTATTTGAAATGAACAAGAGAATGAAAAATTAAGATGAGAGCTATCATTTTGATGGTTCAAGTATATTATAGAATTGCAAAGAGAGTTGGCATTTCAATGTAGTCATCTTTACACGAATCTTTACACTCCATAACTAAGATCACTTTTATCACAAAGGGGTTCATTCCACACACATTCCTCGCGGCGATTTGACCTAGAAATCACTTAGTGTCCAAAATGAAATGATTGATTTCATAATCAATTGAGTTGAGACAAATCCATATAGAACATAAATAGTGTTAGATAGACTTAACTCATTCTTTATCTTCTAAAAAAGCAAGGTTTAACTCGTTTCATAGAGACAACAATTGGATTTGAGAGATACCAGAAATATGCGCTGTGCTTAAAAAACGAGGTCGGAATCAGCACGAAGAATGGCAGTAATGATCACTGCCCTAAAGTCTTTTTGACCAGCGGCACGACCACTCCGAACCCTCCTTACATGACGAGTGTGGAGATGCAAGACCGCACCTAATGCTAACTGGAGAAATTTTTTCTTGGAGTAATATTTCATTTCTGAATAACAATATAATGTTGAAACTACTAGGAAAGGATATTTATTTAGGTAAGATTTAACCAGACGTCAATACATATATCTATAGAATGCCTGTTTCCATCTTAAACTATTTGGAGATTAAATTTTGGCAAGTTTAAGTTCAAAGTGATACTATGCTCATCACAGTGAAATTCACTAAGTTTTGATTTAGGTCAATTTATAATCGAGATAATTTTTAATCAACATTAAAAAAATGAGTGTCAGAATGAGACAATGAAAGCAACGATATTTTCAAAAGAATTCAACAGCTGAAATGATTAAGATGCAGTGCACATCTCTGGGAGATACTTCTTGTTGTTGTTACTACGTATTTGCATAATAAAAACAACTAAAGAACACACACTATAATTGTTATAGTCCAATGGAGATGGAGTTGTGAAAGTATATATATTATTATAAATATTCTTCAAGAAAAAACAAAAGAATTTCAATCATGCTTTACTATTATTAGATGTAAATTAAACTTCGAATTTCCTTTCGTATTTAGTACTGCTAGAACAATCAGAATTCCATCTAAAATATCCTTCATTTACTTGGATCCTGCTGATTTATTAGAAAATGAAAAGTAATATGGCTATCGATTTGTCAAACTTTGATATCAATATTAATTATCGAAGGGTTCTTGATCATATATAACAAGCTATTCTCTTCTTTAAATTGTAGAAATTTGTCAAATAAATGTCGTTTTTTGGTAGAAAAAAAAATCAAAAGTATTAAAGATAATAACTAAAGGATTTCCACAATATAGTACTCATATTCTTATGTGTTTATTGTATTTCGCTGTAATCTAATTAACTGTTTCGGTGCTCATTCAATTAATCACTTTGCTGTTGATTTAAATATACTCATCCCATGATCAATCACAAGGAATTCAACTTCGATGATTATACATTTGGAGAAAAAAATGGAAACAACCGATAAATGTATCAAGAATACTGACACATTTCTTTTATACCCAAGTAAATAGGTCAATAGTGAAGGTAATAACTCATGTGGTTGAAATCAGTGATTTTGTTATGATTTATCAAGTCAATTAATTATAAAACTCTATCTTGTTAAAATAGCAAGTCTTGTTGATTTCTCTTTCCAAAAGTCTGTGTTATAGAGAAAACAAAAGCAAATTCATAAGAAATCAAATTTTATTTAATATTTTACTCTTATAAAAGTTAACAACTATCGAAATATCTTTAAAAAATATGTCGAAGAAAAGTTCCACATTGCTGCATGAAATTCATTAGCAGTAAAATGAATTATTATTTTTCCATTAAATCGTGCTTGTCAACAAAATTCAAATACTTCATATTTGATTGGTGATATTCATTCTTTCGATTAACTCATTCGATGACTTATTTATATAATATTTATTTTAATTTACATGTCCATATATATACATGACAAGAATATATACTTTAATAAATACGATAAATATAAAATAAAATTTACTGTTTTATGATTTTTTTTATTCACTAAGGAAAAATAAATTTTTTATTACTGGTTGCAACTGGTGTTGGAGTATTATTAGTTAGTAGTGTTTTTTTTTCTTGTAATTGACTAATATGTGTTGAATGATATGGTAATCTAGTTGTTGTTGTTGTTGATACTGTACCACGAAGACCATCTCTGTTTGTGCTAATTAATATTGGCCGCATTGAATATCCATTGCAAAATAGTACAGCTGATGCATGTTGACCTTTTGATGACGCATCACATCCACCACAAAGACGGCTGAAACTTTGACGGAATTTTGTTGACATGATAGAATAAAGTATTGGATTGATCTATTAATCAAACAACGAAAATAAAAAACTTTGTTGTCCATCAGAGGATTGTATAAGTACATCATTATGCATGCTAGAGATAGATGTGACTGTCTCTCTTTCTTTTCTTGTTCGATGAATACGTTTCGAAAGCACAAAATCGTCTCTTCAGTAGTAGAATCATGAAGATGATGCAACATGCGCTAGAGTGCGGAATAGTCCCGCTTATTTCAGTAGTTATTTTACAAGGAAAGCAATGCTAGTTAATTTAATGACTTTTATATTGAATCGAATTAAGTTTTTAGAAAAATATACAGTTAACAGAAATATTTTACTTAAGGACACCTACTCTCCTTTCCTAGATTTCTCAAGAACAGCTTGACTAAAAATTCTGAAACTTTCACGGTGAACAGATCTCGACTAGTAGAACAAAAGTTATGATAGTCTCAGAATTCTCAGATGCTTCCTTCTATAAAGTATAGGGATTGTGAGAGCCTAAAATGATCTGAAGTTCTCATCATGCCACCGTAAGCAGCTATAATTCATTTTTTATAGCTGAATCTTTTTTGTAACAATTAGGACCGAATTGATGTGTTTTTTTTTTCTTTGAAAAAGATTGTTTCTTTCGCTTAGAAAAACTAAAATACTGGAAGACTTGTGCAAAAAAATATTTTTTTTGCTTAGAGAAAATTTTATTAGACTCGCCAACAATCACCAGAACATTTTTTTAAGAAGAAACAATACATACACTGAATTGACCATAGTTATCACACAAAAAATTTCAGCTCAATAGGTCGAAGAATCTTCGAGAAAAACTACAATTTGTCTGCTCAAAAATTTATTTTCAGAAAAAATGTGAAACAATGTATAGTTTTCACTAATTTGATTTCTTCTCGTATTTTTTAAGGTTTAAAGACACTTTTTAAATCACAATATGTACTCAGTAGATAGATATTATTTCAGACTATACAATGGCCACACAAACCAAAAATTTTGGGTTACAAACGGGGGCGGGAATATCCTTAATTAGCAAAACACGATTTACTCAATAATTCAATATATGCAATGAAGTAATAGATTTTTATAAAATCTAGTCATGACAATTTAAAAAAAGAATATATCAACAACATTCATATTAATTATAATAATAAGAAAAGTCTGTGATTGTTAGTGTAATATAAAAAAAAACATCAAAGTCCATAAGAGGAACTTTGTTATCTTCAATTTATCTCACGTACTTTTCTTTTTGTCTTATTGACTAACGATGGAATCTCTCCAGATGTATCTCTCCGATTTCAATGATTTTTTTGTCTATAGATACGATATAGTGTCCTAGTAAAAACTCTTAAAATATTTAGAATTTTATCTTTTCCTTCAAAAGTTATCCATATTTTTTATTTTATCACTAAAGTGCACGACATGCTATATTGAAGAAAAAATCTGTCAATCAATTAACATGCAAACTATAGGTGAGGAAACAGTTTTTATGATGTTGTTTGACATCTATTATCTTGACATAAATTTCAATCTTTGAGTTCTTTTTCTTGACAAATTGTAGCATTTTGTTTTCTGAAAAAAGATCATACAGTACACTGCTTCATGTAAAACAGATCTATTTCCACTATCGTTGATACTCTGTGTTTCTAGTATGACTACACAATTGTGATTTTTCCTACTGGTTTTACTGGTATTTTTCATACATTCTATCATGAGATATGTATAAATAGCTGCTGATCTTCTATGGAAGATATGATTTAGCGTGTTTGATAATTGACATTATAGTCATTTAAAATATATATAATGAAAATGGATGTTTTTACATGAAGTAGTTTACTGTATGATCTTCCTTCAGAAAGCGAGATTCTATAAATTGACAAGTAAAAGAACTAAAAGATTGAATGATGGATTTTTTAATATTGTGTACTATACACTATAGGGATCAAATAAAAATATTAATAATTTTTGAAGGAAAATATAGCAACTCAAATCCTTTCAGAGTTTTCATTGAAATCGAAAAAGACATTTGAGAATATTTCCTGGTAAGAGAAGCTTTGAAAATAAATATGCAGAAATAATTTCACTACGTTTAACATTAACAGAAGTAAAAAACAATTTACTTTGTTTACACCAACTTTTTTTTCTTTCTCTCGTTGAATCATAAAATTTCTTTTATGATTTCAATAAAACTTACAGCTGAATTAAGATAAAGTAAAGAACGTGTAACAATAATAAGAAATGAATGACGACGAAATCCAAGCTCATGAAATTGTTCGAGACTTAATCGTGGTTGTATGATACCCCAAATTTTATGTGGTAAAATGAGCACAAAAAATGAAACTATTAAAGCAATAAGTAATTGTGCTACTTGTCGTCGATAACGTGTTACAATTGTATTGTCACGTAAAAGAGATTCACGATTAAATAGCATACAGCAAATAGAATAATGCCAATAGCACAGCATAATTAAAATGATTAAATAAATGATTAATGTGCATGGTATAAGATACCAAGTCGCCCATGATAAAGGAAATCGTGTAAAACCTGTAGAAAATTTTTTCAAAAAAAAAGAAACATTGAAGCGAATAAAAATGAAACGGAAGAATTTTTATATTACATGATATAATGAATTCATCATAGGTTGCTTCCACTATATCCGTATTGGTAAATGTAAAAAAAGGAATTGAAATTAGACAAGAAACAAGCCAAAAGAGAACAACTGTTGGTAATGTTCGAAATAAAGTTAAATGAAGAGGGTTTGTCTATACGACAATATTTTCTTTAAAAATATTTTTTTTTAAAAGTATTCACTTACTTTTAACGGTTGACAAATCGCAACATATCGTTCATAACTAATTGCCATAATTGTTAGAACAGAACATGTTGCTGTTATATTTTGAACAAATGGACTAAATCGACCTGAAAAGAAATATAATTTCTTTTTTTGTTTTTTTAAAAGAACTGTGTAGTTTATTTTTTTATTGTTTACATACACATAAAATTGCCCAAACGATGTTTATCTTTTCCGTACAAATGTTGATAACCGTCAGCTGTGCAAAATAATAAAAGAAATAGATCGGCAGCAGATAAATTTGTCAAAAGATAATTAGTTGCGTTGCGCATATGTGGATATTTCATTACAATAACAATAACTAAAATATTACCGGTAACACCAACTAAAAGTATTATACTATAAAAAATACAAGCTACTAATTGTAAACCAGGAATCCATTCAATTGATTGTGTTGTCGCGTTACTATCATTGACAGTCATCATATGGTCCATTAATATTCGATTATAATATGCTGTCAATAACAAATTTTCTGTATATGTTTCATCTAAAACAGTAGAATGAAAAGAAAAAAAGAATTTCTTTTTCTTGTCATTGAAAAAAAAAACAAAATCATAAAGTCTGAATTTATCTATAACTATGAAAAACAATTAGGCTTACTAATGATAAGCCTATATATATATATATATTATGACAGTTAATCAAGTCATAGAATTTTCTTCGATATTATACGTTAATTTACTTTCATCATCATTGAAATATTTAAGAAAAGCTAGATGTATGCTTTCATTCTCAATTAGATCGCGTGATCTTCTCTGTCTAATAACTCTGTCTATCTGATCTGCACGTAATTAATTTTCTCTTGTCATATACGATCGTATTGTTTTCGTCAACAAAAGCGTGCATCTCACTCGAAATCAAATCACACAAAAAAAGAAAGAAATCAAGACTTACAACAAGGGAATAAATATAGACGACAGATAAATAATTATAAAAACATCTCATCATTCTTTTGCCTCAACAGGCCTATATAAATAACTATAATAAGTTTTGTTTCTTTCTTAATTTCCTTTAACATAAACTAATTATAAAACAATTATTTAGAAAAATAAATTATTTGAATATGAAAAATTTTATTCTATTTGAAACACAACGTTTTGAAATTTTGCTACTTTATTAACTATCATTTAGACAAGCTGTCACATATTGTCGCATTTTCATATAACTCCAAGGACCTCAATCAATACTGCATACATAAATTTTCTTTTTCTTTCATTTTTATTTTCATTCATTTAGCGGAAAAAATTATTCTTTTTTTGATAGTTGATTTGGCATACAGTTTCGAAGTCGATAGAATAACATTTGTAAAAAGTTGAATCAAATGAACAATAGAGAAAAATATAGAAAGGCAAAAACATAAAAAATAACAGAGAATGTATCAGTCCTTTGTTTAACCTTCTATCGTATAACTGGTGATACAAAAGTTATACTTATTAATTACATATTTAAATGTGTTTGATGATCTTAATATTCAATCCTATATACCAATACATACTGCACATTAAATCAGATGGAGAGACACATATTTGTAAAAACACCAACTATTAAAAAAAAAGAAAAGAAAAATACTCACAAATGTCAGTCAAACAATTTATTCATGTCATCTATAGTTGTTTGCGTGTGCAATGCGTGTTCTTATAAAAATGACAGTTTGAGATTTTATCTCACAAGAACTGTAAATTCAAACAAAAGCTGAGTAATTCTTCATCCAGAATAGAAATAAAATGGTTTTCTTTCATGCTCAAGTAAGCAAAAAACATTTAGAAAAATTTCTTCACTATGTTTTATTGTTCAGTATATCTTTATTAGCGGGGATTACTTGGAAGTCATGACGGTGATAAAAAAAGAAGATGAAAAGAATTTTTTATTATAAATAGAAGCCTTAACTTACCAATAATGACGAGAATGAATCAATGTATTTTATTCAATGTCGAGTGCATACTTTCAAATATTGTATTTATCTTTCTATCTGAAGTTCATGATTATTATGTCGGAGAGAATATTATTGACTTTTTCAAATGAAAAAATATTAGAATAACTTTTCCCAAAACCAAAAAATACAAAAACAAAAGATTTCAAAATGCCGTCAAGGAACTACATTAATTTTCTTGTCTATCAATTCTCTTTTGCTAAAATAATAGCTTTCTTTGATTGATTATTGCGGAAATGAATTACAACAACGAGATAAATAACAGGTGGTCTATAAAGAATCGTTTAATTCTCTACAAAACCATATACAAATTGATATCACAGAGATAGAAGTAGAAGAGATATTGTAGTAATATTACGAACATGCAACATCAACAACTTTCAAGCACAAAATATAGTTCTCTTGTATTCATGTACTTGGAAGTGGTTCATGTTGCATATCCGCAGTATTAATATAGTAATTACTTTGCTTATTTTTAACTCTAGAATACCCATTTGTATATGTTTTTTTTAGAGAATTAAATGCTGATTTTTTTGAAAACAAAGTTCAGTCTGAATCTATGAAAACTAGACAAGATATTAAGAAAGTAAAAAAACCGTCATTTTTTATGGGCTACTCATTAGAATAGACTATTGAAGAATCTAAGTGTTTTGCTTATTCCAGCATTTATACCGTTCAATCCTGCGATCTTCGTGTGAAGCTCGTCCATACACTGTTTCTTGTTGCATATTGAATCTGACTGCCTTCTACACTTAAACTATAATAGTTTCGTCTACGTCAAAGATGGAATTGATTCAATTTGGTTAGGAGAAAGAGATGAACTGATTTAATTTCTTCTCTGTATAAGGCATAGTTGATCGTTAGAAAAAAGAAACTTACAATGACGATATATGTTCTATTTTTCGAATTATTTTTTTAACATATTCGCGGCGATTCGATTTTCTCAAAAAATAGTTTTAACAAATTCATTTTCATATGCATTCATCTTCTGATAAATGTACTACTTGGCCTTTTTGTTATGTGCTGCAAGCTCTTCTTTTTCCTCTTTGTACTATCATATAAGCAATCTTCTATATTGGACTGAGTAATTACTGAAGTTTGTTTTTCTCTTTCTTATGAATTGTGTGATAGAAACAAGATAAAAGAAATGAAGTTTCGATATTTTTTTCTGTCGCATTCTTTTTGTAGCATTAACTCTGATTCTTTCCTCTGTGATGTGTAAAAAACAGCTGAAATTTTGTGTTGATTTACATATTGTTTGAAGAAACTGATATAGAAGACAGTGATAATTCATCTAGTGATGTGGGTGCTTTGGATGATGATTTCTCTAGAATACAGTTTGAATTTACTAACTCCGAGGAAGAATTTGTTGATGATGACGTAGATTTACAAGTCTGAAATGAAATACATCGAATGCTGAGATCTAGGATGATCATAGAATCGTCAAAGAAGTAACGCCAAAATTGGAACATAATGCAAACAATCCTATTGATCACTATTGACATTTCATCACTGACGAAATTATTAGTCTGATGGTTTGTGAAGCTAATCGACACTAGCTACTTGATTTACAAGGAAACCTATGCCAAAACGGCATGATCATTCTACCGTTTCATGAAAGTCTTGTGCGATTTTTAGTCATTGATATGCGAGTCGATAAGCTGAAAATTGGTCCAAGATAACAATCAAGAAGTTAATCAGCAGCGAACAACAATCAAGAGAAGCGAGTATGTGACTGCAATGAAAATAAAAACTTTCTGTTCTAATTGTGACAATTTTCTTCATCTTGATTGTTTTAACGAGAAACATCACGCTATGCAATGACTGATTTTTAAGAAAACAAAAGTAAAGCAGATGACACATAAGAAATAAAATTCTGTCGAAGAAAAAGAGAAAGGAAGCTCCTCTCAACCAAGTTTCTTGTCAAAATTGACTGGAACTCACTGGTGAGCCACATCGTCGCGAATGTGTTAACTAGTCTTAATTAACTTCACGTAGCATTAATTAACTTTAGCTAGTCTTAGCAACTACACAAACTCATTTTATTTCATATGATCCTCCCTCTAGTCGAGGGAAAAACGATTGCGCGGGAAGGCAAAAAGTGAATGATTGTACAATTTTTAGAGATCCTCTTTGAACTCATTTTAGCACTGTAGTATGAAATTTACTAACCATTGGCATATAATTGTACTTCTATACGCTGTTTTCTTAGGCAAAAATAATACAATAGTTGATATAATTAAATTATTAATCAGACAAGATTCATTTGTGCTCATTTCATATGAGCATGTAGCTCTTGAATAAAGATTTCGGTTAATATAAAAATGATGATGATCTGTCTTAGTTGAGATGCCACGCACCAACTCATCTTTATTAGCTCAATATATATCGTATATGGCTTCGGCAGAATTCAGAACAGAAAGAAATTCTGTTGACGGCTGGTCTTTTTTTGATAAGAAAAAAAAATGAGATCCGCTCGAATTTTTTTAGAAAACATATCAATAGATAGTCCATGTTGAGATGAATGGAATCATATAGTGATGATACACAAATTGAAATGACAATGCCAAAATACGAAACCATCTCTGCCATCAAGAGCACGTGAAGAGAAGATGATGAAATTGTTTGAATGCGCACTTTCGAGTACTGACAGTACAGTACAAGAAAAAAGAAGATTATAGTCTCTCTGATATGTAGGCAACAATGAGATAGACTTGCTCAAGATTTATCATTTGTTTCATAGACCTACTATTTCTTACAAGTCCAAAAAAGAACTTTGTGTGCTAATGAAATAGAGGAAAAAAGATGTATACGTGTCATATTTAGGCACACAAAAAAAAAGTCATACGATAATGGTTGATAAACAGGGAAAAGAACGTGTGTTACAGCATCTACCTGTGTTCTTTTATAAGAATACATTTGATTACAACTTGTTTTTTTTGTCTAGATGAAGGAGCAAAAATTAACGTCCAAACTACGACTATTGCTGCTGTTGATTGTTACCTGTTTAACGTTGATCATAACAGTACTCGTTGGTTTCACTGGTCATCTGATCTATTGGATTTTATTCGAATTATTCGGTCGCAATGGCCGAAGGATGAAACGAAAACTTGTTTTGACCAAAGACGATCGAGATGACGAATATTATGCAGTTATTATCGGTGCCGGCTTTTCTGGTATAGGCATTGGAATCAAATTACATGAGGCTGGCATGTATAAATATGTAATATTGGAACGTCTATCACACATCGGTGGTACTTGGTATGCTAATCAATATCCAGGTTGTGCTTGCGATATTCCATCGAATCTTTACTCGTTTTCATTCGAACCCAATTCACAATGGTCATATTTTTACGGTCGACAACAAGAAATAGTCGAATATATGGAACATTGTGCAGACAAATATGATCTTCGTCGACACATTGAATTCAATACAACAGTTATTCGTTGTGATTGGCTCGACGAACGACAAGTATGGAGAGTAACAACTCGGTTGAAGAATGATCAAGAGAAACAATTCTTCTGTCGAATATTAATTTCTGGTAATGGACCTTTGTCGAATGGTGCCTATCCAACGAATATCCCAGGAATTGATAAATTTCAAGGTCGAATGTGTCACACAGCTGAATGGGATAAGTCAATTGATTTCATCAATAAACGAGTGGCTGTCGTGGGAACTGGTTCTAGTGGAGTTCAAGTTGTGCCCGAATTATACAAGATGAATGTGTCAAAATTGTACGTCTTTCAACGTACACCTGCCTGGGTTATTCCTCGTATTGATCGACCTATACATGCATGGGAAAAACGTCTCTTTATCATGTTTCCAATTATTCAGAAATTCATTCGAGGAATTATCTATTGGATATATGAATCGACTGCACTTTCGTTTACTTACCGATTACCAATTCGACATATATGTCAAGAATTAGTCAATTATAATCTTACGAGACAAGTTAAAGATAAAGAATTACGAAAGGAATTGACACCATCATTCGATGTTGGTTGTAAACGAATTTTAATTAGTAATGATTGGTATGCAACACTGCAAAAACCCAATGTATTGCTTGTTACTAGTCGAATACAAGAAGTGACATCGAATTCAATTATTACTCAAGATGGTAATGAATATCCTGTTGATATTATCGTATGGTCAACTGGATTTCAAGTGCATAAAATTCCGTTTGAAATTTTTGGCTCAAATAGTTTTTCACTTTCTAAACTATGGGCGGAAACAATTCAGGTAAGTGAGATATTCACATGATCAATTTGTAGATGTACAAATGTCTTTTTATCTAGGCCTACCGTGGTATGACTATGCCTAACTTTCCTAATCTATTTTTAATCCTAGGTCCGAATGTAAGTTTTGGTTGTAATACGACTATATTCATGATCGAAGCGCAATTGAATTATATTATGGAGGCGCTTCTATTTATGCAAGAAAGTGATGTAAGTTCCATATCGATTAAGCAAAATGTTTTTGAACAATACAATCAACAATTACAATCAAAACTGAAAAATACAGTGTGGCAATTAGGTAGTTGTCGTTCATATTACCAAGATGCTCATGGGAATAATATAGGTAATTGGCCCGATTTTACATGGGTCTATTATTTATTTATGCGAAATTTTGATCATAAAAATTATCAGATAACCAAAATGTAATATGATACATTGTTTTAGTTCAATATAATCTTTGTATCTTATGGAGAAATTGTTTGAATAAAATAATGATTTCTTTTTGTCTTGTCAAATATCATGTGATCAGACTCGATAATTTATCACTGGGTAAAGTTGTAATAAGCTACTGTCTTGTTCAATAGCTGGTGTACAATCTTTTCATCGTAGCAACATATTTTCTGTAGCAACTAAAGACAGAAAAAAGGATAAATCATCATTACTTGCTTTTCAGATCGTCACTAGATGATTTGTTATATAGTTTCAATTGGCGAAGATATTGAATTATTTCATTGAAAGTTTTCTGATAAAACTTAGTGAAAATTTACTTTTTATTGAAAAAAAAAAGTATTTTAAATGTACAATGCTAGGCAAGTGCTGTTATGCATTCATTATTTCATTCGGCGTATAGTATATTGGATTCGTGGTATGTACGAGCAACGTATGAATGATCATCAACTAGGAATGATTCACACATGCGTACTTTCGAGTTAGACAAAAGGAAAGGACTGAAAGAATCTGAATCGGTCCATTGGACTTTTTTGCATTAAATACCATTGAATAAAATATAGAATTAAAAAGCGAAACGTGACAAATGTTTTAATACTAAATTCAGGGTGATTTAGTAACATTTCATAAACTGTTTCCTTACTTCGATTATGATAGAATAGACATGCGGCATATATATGGTAAAATAGATGAACAATCTGTAAAGCCTTTATAAAACTTTACAAAACCAGGAGCTATGGTTAACGCTGCATTAGAGGAACCTTGACTCAGGCTATATTTTGTACAGTGGAATCGTTTTTTCAATGAACTGTTTCGCTAAAAATCCCTATACGGATTGTCCTAATGTGGGTGTGGAGTATGGGCGAAGAAAAGAACAACACCCTCAAGTCTTCTATCAAGAGCTACTATTTTTAAAAGAAGAGAGTAATTGACTCAAACAAAAGGTTGTCGTCCTTCCTATGACTGATGTGCAATAATTTATGACCCTTGTCTAAGTTAATTATTAAATATTTGTATCCGTCGAACTATTGAAATATTATTTCGGGACCGCTTCAATATCGCTATAACAGTTATGTAACTACTTTGGAATGAAAAAGTATTTTTTTTAAACAAAAAAAAAACCAAGTTGATAGTCTACATGATAGACTATTGACTGTAGAGAAAAAGTTCGAAATAATGTTTCAAGCTATTTCTATGATTTCAGCGTTCAATACTTTCGTTGAATGTTGTGTCCTATAGTAACATCTATGTTTATAGATAGAAATGTATAATAGCAAACTTTGAAAGAAATTTAGTAGGTAAAGAAGCTAAAATTTGAAATAAGTTGATATTTGAAAGCAAACAGATCATGGGAAGAAATACTTGTGCCAATCACAAGAAGGAGACACCGCAATCGATGGTAAATTGCAACATCGGCGTTGAATTTACTCTAACGACATACATAAGTGTCTCAAATCTGTCATCCATTGATACATGAAGTGTCTATATTAGATGTATCTTGCACTAATCAGATATTGTACAAATTGTCTTGTTTTAACAGACGAGTCGTCTTGTTCATATATACATCTATCTTGATTTTTTTTGACTGTTCTTTTCGTCACTTCAATTTGAAAGTTCAAACTTTGAACTATCAATATGTGGTTTAACATTCTCATGGAGATTATTAACTTTGCATTGAAGAATGAAACATTCTCGATACAAATTTTCGACAAATGAACCTGTTGAATTAAGGCGGGTGTGGCTGTGGGTGTTAGTTTTTTTCCAATGTCAGACTCGCACGCACACCTACATATCCACACAGCCATGCCCATACCCATCCACACCCAATGAAAATGACTGCTGCAGAAATTAAAAGAGAAAAGCGTGAAATAAAATTATGCATAATCGAAAAATCAATTACTTTATTCAAAAATATGCTCACGTTAATGATAGTAAGTGTTTATCAAAACGATATTTTTATTTTTTATTCTTAAAAATATTTTAGTTGATTGTTAGCGTGTTGTTAATGATATTGTGAAAGATTTGAACATTCAAATAAATGAGCTATACAATACATTAAAATTTATTAGAAACAAAATGAACATATCATCCTTGAACCTAAACAAAGAAAATATTGTTGACATTATTAGTAATATATATAAAGGGTGTTTCATAATAACTGACGATAAATTGCTAATGATATTTTTCATATTTTTTCTCGACGTAGAAGGCTGAAATTTTTATCATATACATATCTAATGAAGATCTTTTATTTCTGAAAGTTTCAGCTCTCTAGCTAAAACTGGTGGTGAAATGCATCGAGAAGATTGAAATACATAAATTTTCGTGCTCGATTTTTGTAATATTTTTTACTGTGAAAATATTGTAGGGTAGTTTCATGGGTAGTCAACCAAAATATTACAAAGTATTCAAAAAGTTTCCTTTCGTATCAGATTTGTCGACCTTGTTCCGCTGATCATTTTGGTAAAAAAACCTTTTTGAATTTCATTGAGAAATGACGATGTTATACTCAAAATAGTAAACATTGTAAAACCGCTTAAAATGTAAGGAAAAGTCGATTCACATATCTCAAAATGGCTATATTCTAGAGAAATGTGACATGGTAGATTTTGTAGAGGAAAATTTGCTCTACAAAACCCTATAGTCGGTTTCTCAGATAAAGGCGAATAAGATGGATAAATCTCGATTGAACATTGTATACGATATTCCTATCACAAAAAAAGTCTGACATCTTCTGTTTTGACAATAGATAATTTAACTATAACATCATCATTTCTCAATGAAATGCGAAAAGTTTTCTTACCAAAATGATCAGCGAAAATAGTTCTACAAAGTCTGATACGAAAGAAAATTTTCTGAACACTTTATGATTTTTTGGTTGACTACCAATGGAACTATCCTGCAACACTGAGTACGAAAATTTATGTTTTCAATCTTCTCGATGCATTTCACCACCAGTTTTAGCTAGAGAGCTGAAACTTTCAGAAATAAAAGATCTTCATTAGATAAGTATATGATAAAAATTTCAGCCTTCTACGTCGAGAAAAAATATGAAAAATATCATTAACAATTTATCGTCAGTTATTATGAAACACCCTTTATATATAATTATTCAAATGGTAATAGTAGATTATTATTTTCTTTGCCAATGTTTTTATTCTAAATATTTATATTTTTTGAAACACAGATGATAATAATATAGGCAATCACCAATCAACGTCAGAAATTATGTGTTTGTCATCTTGGATCGATTAATAAGGCCAACGAGAAAAGCAAAAAACGATCTTTTACTTAGGGCAATCCAAAAGTAATGACAGTGACATTTTAGTATTCTATATAGTAATGTTGAAAAAACTTTCTTTTTATATACAATGATAGTAAAAAAAATACTCTTTTTTTTTCTGTGATATTTGATCATACTTCAATTAATATCATAATAAAGTTCTAATAAGACCAGTTTGGTTATCATGTGTAACGGTTATATCAGTTCATATTGTCTTCGATATGTATTCTTTTCTCTTACCTCTTTTAAGGCTTTATCATTTATATATATGTATACAAAGACACATGTCGTGTCTTTCTTTTGTGCATCCGCAGTTTTTTATTGTGTTCTTTAGAAAGTGAAAGAAATACAGTTAAATCAAGTCTTAAGACTCTTCATTAATGTTTTAAACAGATAAAGAAAATTTTTCGCTCTTACATTAAACTGCACACTACACTTAATATTCAAGCAACAGCTATTCATGATGAACTATGTACTGTTTTTGATGATGAAGCTTCTTCTTTAAGAACTGTTACAAGATAGTCTCAGTGGTTTTCTGAAGGTGAAGAAGAAATTGAAGACAAAGAGCAACCTGACAGACCTCTTAGTGAACAAGTTCATAGTATTACTAATGATGATTCTTATATTACAATAGAAGAACTGCAAGAGAAAACTGGTTTGAGTTATGGCATCGTTCATAGAATAATCTCCGATCATTTAAAGCTTAAAAAGATTATTGCTTCTTATATATCTAAACAACTGACCAATTCTCAACGAGCTGAACGAGTTCGAATATGCAAAAAATATCTATCAAAACTTGAAGAAGGGAGATGGCGATTATGTGATGTGGTAACAAGTGATAAATTGTGGTTTTATCATAAACAAGCTGCTCGACAATCATCAAATGCTTCTTGGGTGGTAAAAGAAGTTTCTCCACCTACAATAATTCGACGAAGTAAGTTTGCTCCAAAAACTTTATTTTGCATTTTTTTAAAAAAAATCAACCAGTCCCATTCTAATCCATTATGTCGAACCCAAGCAAGCTATCGACCATCAATATTACATTCAAAATTGTTTGCAACGTGTTTTCGAAGAAATCAAGAAGCCAAAACCTTTATCAAATACCTATGCCACTAAAATTTATCATGATAATGGGAGACCACATATTTATAAAGGTGTTTCCAATTATCTTCAATTAGAAGGTGTTACCATAGAGCCACAACCACTTAATTCTCCAGATCTGGCATCTTGTGATTTTTCGATTATTCGACTTGATCAAACAAAACTTTAGTAATCAAACTGATTCCGAATTGTTACATCATGTTGTAACCGAATTCATGTACTCTTTGAATAAACCAGTGTATAAAAAAATATTTGATACATGGATTCAACGAATGCAATTGTGTGTAGATAACCAAGGAGATCATTATGAAAATTTTATAAAACAAAAACTTGTTGAACCTATTTATGTACGTTTCTGCACTGTTGTCAGTGTCTTTTGTGAACGCTAATACGTAGAAACGATAAAGATTTAAAAGAAGTGAGAGAAAAGAACACATATCGAAGACAATATGAACTGATATAACCGTTACACATGACAACCAAACAGGTCTTATTAGAACTTTATTATGATATTAATTGAAGTATGATCAAATATCACAGGAAAAAAAGAGTATTTTTTTACTATCATTGTATATAAAAAGAAAGTTTTTTCAAC